ATTAACAGAAGTAAGCACCTAAATTACTTAGCAATGAAAAATAACAATAATAAGGAATAATAAAAAAAAATACAACAAAATTAAAGAACAAAAACATAGCAAAATGAAGAAAAGGTTGAACAAGCTGCCGCGAACAATCTCCCCCTGCCCTGTTAGGTCATACAATTCAGAAATGTAAAAAGTGAATATTACCTCTTAATAAGAACTTAAATTTAAAATTTAAATTTAAATGCTGTTCTGCTCAATCAAAAGAATTTTTTTATAATATGACTTGAAACTTCGCTCACTCAGCTGCTTGACTGAATCAGGAAGGCTATTCATAATAGTAGTTACATTATAAGAGTAAGATCTTTTAAAGATTTGAAGTTCATGGCGTGGTATGCATAACATGTGCCGATGTCGTATATTAATATTGTGCACGTCACTGCGATACCTGATTCTATTGGCTAAATATGGTGGACATTTATACATAATAATTCTGTGAAAGAGGCAAGCACTGTGAAGGATTCTACGACGCGTCATATTCAACCAATTTGCCCAATTCAGAGTGTGTGATATGTTTTCCCGTCTTTTAATACCATATATAAACCTCAGACATGAGTTCTGCACTCTTTGGATACGCACTTTGGTTACAGAGTCTAAGCATGGATGATATAAAGCATCTCCGTAATTGAATATGGACAGAACAAGAGCTTCACATAATTGGATTTTCAAACGTTGGTTAAGTAAGCTCCTGTTACTGTACAATAATTTAAGCGTCACGTAGGCTCTACGAATTAGTGAAGAAACATGTCCACGGAATCGGAGTGCGGTATCAAGACGTATACCCAAATTACAGCACTCGTCCGTAAAATTCAATTTAACACCACCCACTCCGACACTCAGAGACCCCTTGACCCTGTTCACCACACCACCACTCCCAAATACCATAACTGCTGATTTAGACGGATTAATAATCAAACAATGATTTGAAGCTTCGTGGGCCAATTTGTCTAAATCAGAATTGATAGCTCTTTCAGCCTTGTCAATGTTATTCTCAGTGCATGAGTAATAGACCTGAGTATCGTCAGCATACATGTGAGCAGTGCAATAGTCTAGTACTTTTGGTAAAGCAGCCGTATAAATTAGATAGAGCAGAGGGCCAAGAATTGAACCCTGCGGCACGCCTGAGGACACCACTGCTGCTGAAGATTCCTTTCCATGAAGCTTAACAGTTTGTGACCGATTCAGGAGGTAACTATTAAAAAACTTTATGGCACCCTCCGAAAGGCCAATATGGTGGAGTATTGCTAAGAGAGTGGGGTGGTGAATGGTATCAAAGGCCTTAGAGAAGTCCAAGAGAATCAGGATCTATATATATATGATATGTATATACTTTATATGTATATTTCTTTTTGGGCAAATTAAATAAATACAACCAACTAAAAAAATATTTACTTATTAATAGCAGCCCCTTCGAGAAGTCGTTGTCCTGTCGCTTTAGTTTGTGCGACCCTTTCCGTTCCAGCAAGATCAACCAAATTAAAATGGGATACTCTAACAGGAAGTGGAAGTCCGTCTTCGGTCCTGCCAGAATTTTCAACGATCTGTATATAGAAAAAGAAGTTAATTTTATATCAATTAATAAAAAAGAAAATTTATTACAATACGAAAAATTGTGTGACTACGACTGCTGTTGATATTCATGTTTGTCGAATATATTTTCCTGTTTTTCTTCCCCACCTTCATGATTTCTAATATTTGGTCTTTCGTAGATGTTACCAGTTCTTCGGAAAGAATTAAAATGTTTCCGTCAACATCTTCCCGTGTCTTTACATCTACGTTGTTCTTCTTTAATAAATCGTATATCTTCTCGTTGTAAATTTCTACGTAAGCCACCCTTATGAGGAATTTTGAATCATGTCGAACATCAATGATGTCAAAAAGTTGGTCGATTACACGAGGGATGATACCAGGATCCGATGGAGTTCCATGCATTGTGTGAGTTTTCCCACTCGATGTTTGGCCGTATGTGAATATTGTGCAATGGTATCCCTCGACGCAGGTTAACACCAACGGGGCAACTACGCTGTCGTAAACTTCTTCATTTGTGGAGTCGGTATCGAAAATGTGATCTTTAAGAAAATAATTAATTAGTTAATTAATAAAGAAACAAAAAAATTCTTACCAAACTGATAAACATCAGACCGAGAGTCAGCAGGATCTATTGGACTTATAATATTATTGTGAACTTGCCACTTCACTTTGTCTCTATTGTTCACCTCTCTTGTTATAAGGGGGCGAACCCTTATAACCACTTCTACGTTATCTCCCGACATTGTCTTTATATTAACGAAAACACGTGCGTTTTAGAACATCAAACACTGAGCACAACTCGCCATTCCGTGACAGTCGACGGTTGATTTCAAACTGCTCGCGGCGCCCCAAACGGTCAATTTACATAAGCTTGACCAATCACATGGCTAACTAGATCCAAGCCGAAATTTTCAAATATTTTACAACGAGATTTTATTTATATTTATTAAAATTTCATGATTTATATTAACTCTTATAATTAATCATGCGAAATTCTTTTTATTTTCATAAATTTCATAAATTAAATCGTCGGATATTTATAATAATTTTTATGAAACATTTTCAAAACTAACGCGAAGTTAGCCGCATAATTTGACACTTCAAAAACTTTATTTTCATCCTTTATTTCTAATTATTTACGATTTAAGATTTAAGCGATCTGTTTTAATGATTTATTTAAAATTATTAACATCACGTAAATTAAATCGTTGGATATTTTTAGTTTTTATTGGGAAGTTAGCCCCGGTCGGATTAATTGAGTTAATTTTTAATTAATGCGGCTCTGATTTCGTGATGTGGATGCTTTTAATTATTTGTATGAGATTTTTATTTAATAAAAATGAATAATTCAGGAGAAAATGTGTGGGAATATAACATAAAAAGGGAAAATAAAAATTTGGAACCTTATAAAAGCCGAATACGTTCGGGTATTTCCATGATTACGAAGTGTAGGTTCGGGTTTGTTCGTATAAATTTTAAAAAATTGTGTCTCAAGAACGATTTGAGATATTTTAACCCTCTTGTTTTATCATAAATGATAAAAATGTTATATGTAACCAGTGTTGTTAAATACCCGGGTATTTATTTTCAAGGGAAAATTCCCTGGGTATTTACCCAAGATGGGTATTTAGAGGTATTTATAAAATTTGATTTAAATTGAGTTGATGGCAGTTTTGCAAGTACTTCAAGAATACAGAGTCCATTATCGATACACCAAACTTATTTATAACATTTACAAGAATGCTACAATGAGCGTGGGGTAAGACAAGGCGATATAATGTTGAACCCAAATTGTTTATCACAGTCCTGGAGAGTGCATTTAAATAACTGGATTGGTTTAAATCTGGATTGGATTGATATGGTCCTTATTTCGGTATCCTTGGAGAGATGAGACTGATGCTGAATGTATACAGGAGGCGTGTGCAAGAGTTGGGCTAAATATCAACAAAATTTAGGACAAATCTTGTTCCAAGCTGTAACATCAATATTGGTGATGATGAATATTCCATCTAGAATACTTTCGATGGTATTTTATTAATCTCTGATGCCTTTCCATATTTTGCCGCAGAGATTGCGTTTTGAACCTCACTGATTGATATAGGTGCCATGACACTACCCTTTCTATGGTGTGACGGACTGCTGTCTGTTTCCAAATCAGTTTCTCTATGCTTAATAGGTTTTGGAAATAATTTTTTCAAATGTCATTCATTTCACTATCACATATTATTTTTCCTGTTCCATCTCAGCATAGAGCTGTGTGCGATTTGTGCCTTTATCTTAACTGTCTAACAAATTTATACACATTCCTGGTGTTATTAGCTTTAAAGTGTACATATATTTCGGGAAAGTTTATATTTTCACTACCGACCATTCTCGTTTACGTAATATCTTCTTCGAAAATATTTAACGAATGACTAAATTCAGTTTTTATGCTTCATTAATTCTTGTTGTTTGATTCTTTTCTAGTCATATTGCACTTCCATCAAATCCAAGATCCATGAGATTGTTGATTTCCAATTTTAAATTAAGTAGTTCGTTTAAGATCTTATTATTCTTCTTCTTTTATTCAGGTTGTAACCTGTTTACGCATCATTCATTGTGTTTCATTAGAGCTGGAAATCCAACTTCCTGGTCTCCCGAGATTTCTTTCTAGCTAATCTTTGGTCTCTTTTGTCTTAATCAGCCAGGTTTCTTCCATTCTTTGGAAGTATTCATAAAATTTTTTTATTTCTCTCCTAGCAAATCTCATGACATATCCGAATCCACAAAATTCTCTTACAATTTTGTTCCTAACTCTATCTTTTCTTGTCTTTTCCACTATTGTTCTTAAAGTACTCATCTCAGTTGGTTCGCATCGCAGTCATATATTTTGGCCATGAGGTTCGTGTATCGAGAGATAATAATCAAAGGCAGCCTACAGGAAACTTAGAGACATTTTCATGAACGATATTCCTGTATATTTGAAAAGAAAGGCTGTCAATCAATGCGTGGTTCCTCCTTTGGTTATGATATACGGTTCCGAAACTTTAACATTAACGGTGGCCATTACCAGGAGGCTCAACGTAACGCAAAGAAAGATGGAGAGGTCGATACTGGGTGTAACCCTGAGGGACCACATACGAAATGAAGACCTACGAAGAAGAACTGGCGTAAATGATGCGGTCAACATTGTGGCAAAGCTCAAGTGGACTGGGCGCATGTGGCAACGCCCATTTCATCATGTTCCTCTACATTTTTGTCCGAATCTGTTATATTTTTACTTGTATCACTTTTGTATGTACTGTTTGTCAGATAAATACCCATTTTTTAAATACCTACCCGCCGGGTATTTACCCAGCGCCCATCACTGTATGTAACTGATTTCAATTATGTATAAAGTGTTCCTGGGGCATCCTCTACGTTGTAACTATACGGAGTTTCTTTTATTCAGGGAAGCATGAATTCCTGAATAAGAAGGTAAATTTTTGTTTGCTGTCGGGGAATCCCTTTCCTTGGTTTGTCGACTGTAAAGATGTTCCATTTTGGGAGATTATTTCTTATTATTTCTCACTAACAATACTTAGCTCTTAAATTATAATAACGATGTTAACATCGTTGTTATAATTTTTTAAACCCATCTCTACATGTTTGATTGTTATAGAAATAAAACAATGATCATCTTTTGGGAAAGAAAACGCCAATTTTGAAAAGAAACAAATATTTTATTGTCATATAACATTTTGATAATGATTTTTGATTAATTTAAATAAATTATTAAGTTGATACAGAAATTATTTGAGACAACATTCTTAATTAATCTTGATTACACAAAAATAAGATCTATATTTCATCAAAAAGTTTCCTTTCCTCTAATTTAAATTCAACGCATCACTAGAAATCGATGCATGTCTCCAGCCCTCCAGTTATATTTACATTTAAATTAATTGTAGTAATACTGTTTCAAACAAATAAAATAAAAACGCCTTCTAGTCGAATTTATGAGTTAACAAAATCAGCCGAACATTCCCCACATATGAACGATTCATGAGAAATAATATCCAAATTGATGAGTTTTTGACATGAGACGCACTTTGGTAACGAGTTATTCACCTCTAACTCAAGATCTCTCTCATATATATTACGTAAAACGTTTTGTTCCTCAGTTAAAATTTCTTGTTCGACTTCAGCGATTAGATTCAACATGGAATTTATATCTTCCGGCTCATTGGATATAACCATATTTTTTATGTGTTCCCCACTTTGTTCTACTAATGTTTTTAGTGTTTCTTCTGAAAAATTCCGTTGGGAATCCCTCTGTTTCTCCCTTTGTACTTGTAATCGGTTCTTAAACTCCTAATAAAAAAATAATTAATATAAAGAAAAGTGAGGTTAGAAATCCTTACTGTTCGTATTTCACTCCTAAGGCTATCCACTGTTTGTTTATTATACTTGGAAAACTTCTTTTGGCTGTTGTACGGACTTCGACCGTCTCCTCCTTCCATGATTAAGCAACAAATTGATGAAATTTATGAAAACAATTTCAAACAAAAAGTTTATTCATCGTAGATGGCGACATCTATGAGAAGGTTAACGAATTACACAAAATAGCGGTAAAATTTAAAAGTTCATCATCTAAATTAAGGTGTGATTCCATATAATCGATTTCAATTTAATAAATTAACACGACACTCCTTTCTAACTGTACAGGATTATATTTAGTTAGTCAGGAACCTTGGAGAATACTTTATCATGGGGAATAAATTAGTTACTTTTACTGAGCAACAATTGGAGAATTACCAAGTAAGATTTTTAATTAAGATTTAATAATTTAAATTTTCTTTAATTTAAATAGGATTGTACGTTTTTCGCACGAAAAGAAATCTTGAGGGTACAAAAAAGATACAGGGAGTTAAGGCCAAATTTAGTCCCGAAACGAATGACGGGAAATGAAGCTGTTGAAGTAAAAATTCCCTTGGAAAACATGGAGAAGTTACCCGAATTGCGGGAGAATCCTTTTCGTCGTCGTATTTGTCAAGTTTTTTCGCGAGATGGTAAAGGAGCTTTATCGTTTGAAGATTTTCTTGATTTATTATCTGTATTCAGCGAACAAGCACCCCGCGATATTAAAGTATATTACACATTTAGAATATATGGTAAGTCACATAACTGGATGATATCGAAATAATATGTAATAATTCATTAGATTTCGATGGGGACAATCACATAGGGCCCGAAGATCTCGAGCAAGCTCTACATTTATTAACAAGAAACGAACTATCATCCGAAGATATACAACAAATTGTTGAGAAAGTTGTTGAAGAGGGTGATGTTGATGGTGATGGAAAACTCTCTTATATGGAGTTCGAACATGTTATAACTAGAGCACCCGATTTTTTTTCTAATTTTCATATTAGAATGTAAATTCAAAAACAATTTTAATAAAGTAAACTAGAGTAATAAAATTTTTATTAAAAATGCCTAGTCACTCAGGAACTTACAAAAACGAATCACTTCTTAAACAAATTTCCCACTTAAAATTAAAATATTCTAATTTTACTACTGATGATTACAGAAACAATCTAAAAAGCTACAATATTCTTTTTATTCTAATCATAACTCTAAAAAAATAAATCTAATTGGGGATAAATTAAGTGATATTTCGTTTACGGTTTTCTGACTGTATAAGTAGTCACTTTTCCGTTATCATTAACCGTTGTGCTCGCTTGATGGAAACTACTTGGCTTTCCATTTACATCAGACGAACTAGAGAAACTGCTTGTAGAAACGCTGTGGAAACCTCCAGGTGCTCCATCGGGACTTGCAGCGAATCTGGTGTTTATATTGGGAGAGTTCTATAATATAAAAATAAATAAATTATTTTTTAATTATCGATATATAAATTTCAAAAATGTACGATTTAAGGTGACTAAAGTGAGGTCGCTTGCGATAGAGGCCCTATATTGATACCATATCGGAGCAAAAACTACAAAAATTCACAATTTAGGATAACTTGAGCATAACTTAATAACCCTAACACCGTTTCAACGAATTGCTCAGATAAAAAATTATCTTCAAAACAAAATTACTATACTACTAATACTAATTTTAACTCTAATCTACCTCATTGAACATTGAGAAAGAATACAAAAAGGCAGAAAAAACATATAATTGGAGGCGTTTTGAAACGTCCTTGAGATCCTATTTAGCAAGTTTACAAAGACTAATGACCTCGTGTTTTCTCATTTCGCAAAGTTATGCTTGCCATAGAGTAGAGAATGGATTAAAAAATTGAATATTCTTACCGGATTTTCAGGAAAGACACCGGCTGTTTGATGTATACCACCAGGTCCAAATGCTGCTGATGCAGCGGCTCCTTCACCCCCATTTCCAGAGTAATGTTGTTGCCCCTGAAAACCTGCATATGCAGGTACTCCTCCTGGAAATCCATAACCGGCGTAACCACCAGGAAATTGTCCAGCACTAAATCAAATTATTAATTATTAATTTGTTATAAACATTTAATATTTGTAAATGGAAAGATAAAGTGTTAATTAACACGCCCATATTTGTTTAATACCTTTTCGATGAGATTGAAGATTTTGCTTGTGATTTACCATTATGAGCTGTGGAGAAAGCGTAAGAAAAGTCGCTGAAATGAAAGCGTAAGTTCCGCCACCGAATATGAATTTGTGAAGGTTTGACCTTTTAACTTACTTCCCGATGAGTTGCTCGTGATATTTTCTTAGGGAGCCAACGTATTGCTGTAGAAAGTTTTGGAAATCAAACTGTGGGAATTGCGGGAAATTCGGAGGTGCACCATCCCCGGAAAATGATCCAGAGTAACCATATCCATAACCGCCTGTGACTTTGTTATCATTAGTATTATCGGTACCTGAGTATCCGGCGAATGCGGAGGACGCAACAGCGAACAGAACGAATATAGGAAACATCTTTTCGCAACTGGCGCATCAGTTTTCTTATAAACAATATATTACCCACTCTCTTTTATAACAGGTATAGTTATTATGTGCTCCGACGCTAACCGATGTTTCTCGAGTTCACTAAAACTGGTTATTAACAATTATTATTCAATTATTATTTGCACTATATGCTCCCACGGTTTAAGCACAAAAATTATTTTTCATTGACGCTAAATAATCAGAGAAAAAAGAAAATCGTGTCAAGTTCATCTGACATTATAACTTGAGATCGTTGGGTGAAGGTCAATTAAAAGATCCCAGAATCTGATTCAAATAATGTTTACGCGTTTCATTTTTAAATTAAAATACAATTTTAATAACGGCTCATCTTCCAAGGTAATTATTTCAATTATACCTTTCAACAGGATCTAACAATTTGTTGCGCAAGGAATTTACATTCAAATGCAGAATAAAATTTTTTTTAAATAGATTATAAGCCATTTACCAAAATAACAATTTTTAAAAGCTACACAAAAAGGAACAATAAAAGAAAACCGCAGCAATAAAAAAGAACATCTATTAATTTCTTAAAAACAACGTCTAGAACGATTAGATTGTGTTTCAATGTTAATCTAAGGTCAACGTCTAATTTGTTGCTGAATTTCCAGATTACGTAAGGTTTTAAATATAAATGAAATAATTTTGGTTGCATACTCAATTTATTTTCTGATATCATATTTTTTTAATAAAACAACAGGAAAATTATCTTTTGTGTACCCTTGTATTTCGTACGGCTTATTTTCAATAAATTCTTGAACATCTTTAAATTGAAAATCTTTACTCCCATCTAAAAATTAATTTTAATTAAGAAGTATTCATTATAAAATTATTAACTAATTTGAACCCTACATAACTTCTCCGCAGTCTCAAAAGATGGCGATTGTGTTGAAGAATCCTGAAACGAAGGTGCTGGACATGGCGGACCTTTCTTTCTTTGGCCAGGTGGTAAAGAACTTTCTGGCCTCCCTTGTAAACCAGGAGGAAGTTGATGACATGGTTTCTGATTTTTATTGTGTTGAGATTTTTGATTACCTACAAACATAAATTGCTGAGGATGCACACGATCCGGTCTTCTAGGAAAATAATCTTCTAGATAATCAGGGGTATAAGGATCATAATAATCGTCGTGATGATTGCGGTTCGGAAGATGATTTCGAAAATAATTTCTATGATGATGATGGTGATGATGATGATAATTACCTGCCAAGGCGACTAAAAATAAAACAAAAAATTGATTTGAATATATAAAAAAATATATATGAAAAGGTTAAAGAACAACCTGTAACGATGAAACAAAGCAGAAATCGAAGACATGATGTTTTCAATGGCATATTTCGTTATAAACTAAAAGCCACGAGCAACCTGTTTTGGGTTGTGGAGTGAACTGCTTGTCTTCAATAATGGCTCCCGTCTCCTTGGTGGCTCATCTTGTAATACTCGTTCATTGTATCACATTTCCAAGGACACCACCGGTCCCCGTCTTTTTGAAACGTGCCTTAATGCTAATTACGACACCATGAATTCGTGAGATTAATTGGCATTCACAGATTTGTTAATAAAAAAACTTAAGAAGAATCGATTCTTTGAGGCCTTTGTTTTTTGTTTTCTGCTTTGTACATCCGGCAAGAAAATTACTAAGGAAATTGATGATTATTAATTATTACCTTCAATTCAATCAAAAAAAAAAAAATTAAACTAAATTTAAAAAAAAGATTTGTATTTTTATAAGTTTACGACATTCCTATTTCGAAATTGTGAGGTATCGATTGACTCATCGATTATTCTAAATTTATTCAAGGTGGTTTTTAGCATCACCCTCTTAATGCCAAAGTTAAAAAAAATTTTATCGGTTTCGTATTTTTCCATATTATAAGTTACATATTTTATCGATTATATTTCAAAAATTAACTCTGTAAATTTTATCTTTAACGATCTCAACCACTTTCTCAACCGGTTAGTAAAACTATGGGACCTTGTCATACAATTAATTGTATAATTAACCGGTGAAAATATATATTTTTGCTGATTGGAAAAAATTATAATCTACGTTTATAAAGAAGCTAATCATCATATTGTTGTGCTTGCTTGATCTCCTTTTATGAGTAAAGGTCTCGATTGCAGCGTCTCGTCCACAAGCGACCTTGGCACTAACTTTAAGAGTCTGATCTTTAAGAGTCTCTCTCTAATTGTAAGTATCTTTTAATGGCCAAAAAGAATCTCGTAATTGTTATAATAATAAATGTATTACAATTAAAAAGTATGATATTTTTAATGGAAAATTTCGCTTTTATAAATACCATTTAATTCTTGAGATAAAATCTGATTAAAATTTCTGAAACTCAACCCGAACGAATTGGTATAAAAAATTAGTATTTTTCATAACTTTTTTTAACATAAACATATAAAATTAACATATTTGCATGATAAAGAAGCATTTGTCTCAAAGGAGAAGATTAAGTAGGTCGTGTTCATACGGATGATTGCACATCCGCTCTATCAAACCAACCCATAGAGGGACCACGATCTATTTTCTTTGTAGTTACAAGTTATTTATGATGATTCGCGATTATAGTTGCTGTTATTATTTTAGAAACTTGTTTATTGTGATACATACCCCGATAATAATAAAGTTTCATGGTTTTACTAAGTTTCTATTATTAAGTGTTATCTATTTTAGATTAATCGTTTAAATAATAAAGCTTTTGTGTTTAAATAGAAAAATTGTATTTTTTTTCTACAAAGGTGTTTACAAAAATTGTTTAAAAATTGATTACAAAACGTGACTAATCGATAAGACTTTTAGTTCCTGGTTGGTTAATTAAAAAACCAAGAATGAGGAATACTAACGGAGTAACACTCTTTTTTTATTTAAGGAGATGTGGCCGAGTGTTGCAGCAATTTCGCTACCAATGCCATATAAACGATAATACCTCACAAGTTGGCCAGCAGTTACGGAGATCTCCCAGTGCAAGAAGGTCGAGGATGATCCGTTTAGTTTATCTTTCGTTGGTGCTTTGCTTCTTGCACATCGGTAACAAACTTAAAAATTTCAAGACGAAAACAAATTGCCGGTGGTATTTTTTATGTCGTTTTAGAATGTGTACCGAAAGGTATTAAGGAAGAAGGAAAAGGAAAACTTTTGTATGCAAACCCGAAGATTCAGGTGTTTTTAAGAGAAGGTGACACACCTTTAGAAGAAATTGATACAGATTTGGCCGCCGCTTTTAATAGTTACGCATTAAAACACAACAAAGTCATCGTGGGTGTACCTATAAATGAAAAAATTGATGCGAATGAAGCGAATAAAGCCAACGAGGTCGATGATGGTAACTCAAAATTAAATATACCAAAAATATAAAAGATATATATTATAAATTCTTAGAACTATGAGTGAGTAATTTATATATAATATAAAAAATGTACCAATAAAACCTTTCAATAAATACCTAAAGCCGTTTTTATCTTATCTTATCACTAACACCTTAACTACATAGATTTCAAAACTCACTTGTTATAGTTAATTCAACACTCCCATTTTGAGTGTGGCATTTAGCGTTCATTTGTTTTGGGTAAGTAACTCTCTTTTAATTAATTTTTTTGTAACATAATAATTCAAATAACTTAATTTTTTTGTTCTCAAATACTTTATTAAATTCAAATTGTAATCAAAATAGGGGTAAACGCCCAAAGTTTTTCTTATCTAAAGACTGAAGATAAGAAAACTTGAAACTCAAATTTTGAAAATTATAAAAATTCGACATTAATAATTAAATCTTTATATTTAATAAGAATTGATGTAAAGTAAAATTTTTTTTATAATCCAGGTTTTATACTTTAAACATTGTGACTCATTAAGTAATCATCGTTACAAAACTAAGATAAAATAATCGAAAAGTATTTATTTGAAACGTGGTTAATACTTAACACCGTTACAGATATGGCTCGAATGACGCCGATTTTTGCATACCTAACAATCCTGTTTTGTTTAAACAACCACATCGATGCTCAAAATTATGGAAGTTCCATTGCGCCGTATCTTGTGGAGTGTTACAACCAAACCGACCTTTTCGTTGCTGACAGAAGACTTCCTTCAACTATAAACGTCCTTATTGATCTTATTAGAAAAGCTGAGGATGGCAGAACTACCCAGGATGCTAGGCAACTCTCCAGTGAATTAATCCATAGGTATTAATTATTATTATTTTTTTTTATCAAAACATTAATTCCAATTCATCCATTTTACAGATTTAGGCAAGATGGAATATTAAGATCAACCGATACAGCTGAAGATACAGAGTTTTCTTTACCATTCAGCCCCGTGGGGATACAAGCATCCAAAAATAGAGTACTACAACTCATCCTCATTCCAGGATCGGCTGTTAATTTTCCAAATGAAACTTTGAATGCACTTGAAAGTGTAAGTTGGGTTAAAAATTATTAATTAATTTAGTTAGGGAGGGTTCGGTTTGTGAAATTATTTTAAAGTCCAAACTAAACTCAATATATAGAAATGCAGTAAAACCTCCTTATAATGGATTAATATGACCTGTCTAGTTCTAGATCCAGTCTTAGAACTAGAAACATTCAGGTTTAGCCATGCTTCTCTCAAGACGGCTAATCCTGAATGTTTCTATCTCTAGGTCCAGTCTTAATGTATGACCTAAAAAAATTTTATCCGTTATATCCCAAGTCTGTTTTAAAGAGGTTATACTGTGTATATAAATTTATAATATATATAAATTAAAAATAATATATTTTAGTGTTCTCTTCACTTTATTTTATCAAGCACTGTTGACACAACGATTCGTAATGATGAATCAAACGTTTGTAATCGATTGGGAAGATATGAAAGAAGAGGAAGAAGTGTTGATGATGATGTTGAAGTTTTTGAGAAGGATCAATTATACAAGTAATATTTAAAAAAAAATTAAAATATTAAAATAATTAATTTTTAAATTGTAATAGAGCACTTCGTGGAAACATGGAAGAAGCTGCTGAAACACCGGCTGAGCCAAGTGATGAAACACCCGAAGAAACGCTTGATACGCAACATGAAGAAACCGAAGATGACCCAGTTGAATCCCTTGACGAAAAAACTCGTACGGGTGCTTTACAATCTTTGAGTGATTGCCCGGTTGAAGGTGGTGTAATTTATACTCGTTGGGGAGCTGTTCAAGCGGGCACTGTAATCGCTGGCATCGCCGCCGGGTTAGCACAACAAACAATAGAAAACCTCGTCGACAGCAGATTTGCAGCAACTCTAAGTGGCGATTTAGCTAAAGCATTATTGTTTCAAACTGGAAGAACAGGAGCTGTACGTTCTGTGGGCGCAACCGGAGGATGGAACAGCACCCAAGTACCCAGATGGTATTTTATTAACAGCAATACAAACTTCGAAATGACCGATGCTGATATTAGAGCTGGAATTGATGGGTTAATTATCGCCCAGAATGTTGTTAATTGGAGAAACAGTTTCCAAACGATCAAAGTTTCCCAAATACTTGATTTATATTATTCTCAACGAGGAGTTTTTAACGAAGAAGTTAGAGCGTGTAACAGATATAATTTATTAGCTACTGTTGCACCAACTGAAACATTAATTGCTCAAACCACTGCTTTTACTCCTCAATTAGATCGTTTTGCTGTTTCTCCTGGTTCTATCATTCCAGCTGGTATACCAACATTATCACAAAGAATTGTTAATTTGTTTAATCAATATGCACGTAAGTTTATTTATTTAAATTTATTAATTAAAATTTAAGCATATATAGGCAACTCAATACATTTATTTTTAATTTATCTTTTTAAGCAACGATGTCATCATCCGATCTTCAATGCAGTGTTGATACAAAAAGTAGGAATAGAATCGCAACGGAAATCATTATCGTTTTAGATACAGCGTGGACTCATAACGTTGCCCAAGCTGCTATTTCTTATATTTTAGATAATCTTGATGTTAACAGATTTGAAAGTAGCTACATGATTATTAACGGTGGTGATGGGGGAGTTATTGTTAATTCTAGTACAACGATCTTGGATTACCATCAACGTTTTAATTTGACAGTTCAACAAGCTCGTAAGTAAATTTATTCTTGGAAGTATGAAGGTTATTGAACTAAAATTAGAATTAACACTAGGATTATCACTAGAACTAAGATTACACCTAGATCTAGAAATATTCAGGTTTAGCTGTGCGTCTCTTAAAACGACTAAACCCGAATGTTTCTAATATTAATTCTAATTTTAGTTCAAATTTATTATTGTAACAAAAAAAAATATATTGGATTAATTTTTTTAGATCAAACTGGTTTTCAATATAGCAGAATGTACGCTGAAGTAGAAAACATAGTAAGGGAAAGAATGGATAATTTCACTGACGTAGGAGGAAAATCAACAATAGCGGTGTTTATGCCTTCTCAAGCTACCGTTTCTGAGGCGGATAGGAATTTTGCTCGGGAGAGACTTGAAATGCAACGCTCCTTATTACCAGATTTACGTATTATGGTACTTGGCCCTGGTCAAGCTACAGTTTATACCGATTTAACAACCGGAGGCGAAATGGATGTATTTACTTTACAAAATTCCATAGATGGAACAAACATTGTAACGGCACTTAATCCATTTTTGGATAGAGTGCGCGATATACCCAGAAGGCTTATTAATCCTGCGTGCAGATCTGATTTCTCAGGTTCAGAAGGAGAGACGCATACACACGACGATTTCCTTGAACCACAAACAATTAACTATTACAGAATTTCCCCTAATTACTTTTTCGGAGATGGTGATCGTTCGTTAATCGTAAGAGGACAAGGATACGGTACTTTTGTTGTTTGCACTTCAAGAACCGATATGTATGTTAGTCAAAATAGCACCGCAGCTGATAGAGACTGTAGGAATATCAATTCTAATGAAGAAACGTTTATTATGGATGGCTTTTGTACCGGGGGGTTAATTCTAGATTGCGCACCATTTTACATTTCAGTTCAATCAACGGCGGTTAATACAATTTGGCGTTGTACAGGTATTTAATTTAAATTTCAATTTAAATTAATTTTTATATAACACAATTTTTCTAATTTTAGATGTAGGCTGTAGATTCCCTGATAATATCAAATTTACATTTACATTAGTCAACTTTTCTTGCCGTAGCAGTTCCACAACCATCATGGGAAGCGTAGCTTTAATAGCCGTAATGTTAGCGTTATTGAAATGGTAATTATAAAAAAAATAATACATATTGAAGAATACATTTGTAAGATATCAACATTGTAGTTCGATAATTTATTAACATAAGTATTTTTATTTTAATCAATTATTTTTTTTTGTTCTTTTTGGTATTAAACTTAGCTTTACAATATTTTTGAAAACGATTTTCTTATTCTCCACCAATTTTTCCAAACCCGTTCCCTTAATAGACATTTTATTTGCATTAATAAGTAAGAGATTGTGAGATTTAGAAGGTGTTGTTTAAACGGAATATGAAGGTGTTGTCTTATGGTACCGAAACCATGGATTGAGGGCGTTCATTCTGTACCGGTCGAACCAGTTCTTGGAAGAAACCCAACATGCTTTCTTTACAGGTAGCAAAACCAAGCTTTTACTTTGTAGAAAAAAAATAATAATTAAAAAAAAATGTGTCAATTTCGAAATGTTTAGTGTTTTTAAACGAGTATTTAAGAAGTTTATAGTAGTACTTATTACGGTATGAAATTACAAAAGCAATTGTGTTCACTACGCGTCTTTAACTAGGCGCTCGTAAAGCGATTGTTCCTATTTCCAATTTTAACAAACACGTTCTGGGCAGTTACGCAAATCTCCATGTGTAAATATCGCTTTATGATCGTAGGCATCGTAGGCTTGTTTCGAATACTACTGGTAAACAACTTCCACTACCAAATCCAGAACCGTAACGAAACATTTATTTATATCCCCCCTATAAAAACAATTTTTAACAAAAATATGTTACAAAAAAATTTATATAAATATTTTCATATCTATTTTAAACTTATTACGCCACTGATCTTTCGACCATCTGAAACTTCTGGAGAGGATTCTGGAGGCTCAGCCTAAAAACCGCAGAGATCAACAGCTCAACAGTTTAGTTCGAACCGCGATGTTCTTCGTCACGTTTTTAACGTTCTCGTTATCACTATCGTTAACACTCGTTTCCGGTTTAAACACAACGACCATCTCATCGTTAATTAGTGCCACGTCTTGCGCACAATTATACGAAAAAGGAATCGAAGCATATTTAGAAAACGATTTCGAACGTTGCGTTCACTATTTAGAAGCTTCCGTAGAAAAATACCGGCAATATAGCCGTTCTCTTCATGGATGCCGCATCGAATGCAAAGATCGCGCACGAGATGTCCCATTTCTCTACGAAGAAAACATCGAGGACTTACAATTTTATGAAAAAACACTTAGAAATACACTCTGCATTTTAAAATGTAGAGCGAGCAAATTTTTACCTGAAGAGTATAATTTAAATCCCGAAACTGAAACGATTTTTATTGAAAAGAAACCTTACGAATATTTACAATTATGTTATTTTCAGGTAAATAAATAAGATTATAAATTTATTATTTATTAATTTTTGTGTTAGATTGAAGAGTACCAAAAATGCGCCTCAGCGGCTTTTACTTATTTAGTGTATCACCCGGATGATAAAATAATGTTAACGAATTTGAAGCATTACTCGAAACTTCCTGGGGTCGATGTAAAAGACATCGTTAATTTTGAAGCGCAAGTAACTTTAATAATTATCTTTTAATTTGAGGTTGTAATAACATCTTTTTTAAGATGTACGTTTATTTGTACGTACACGGATCTGATGCTCACATAAATAAAAATTGGGACGATGTCATCCAAAATATGGAGGAATCGATAACGTATTATTTATACGCAGAAGAAGAATGTAGGGCATCTTGCGAAGGTCCTTTTAATCAAGGATGGTTCCCCGATTTTATACCTTCCATAGCAAGTAAATAATCTAATTCAATAAAAAAATAAATAATATTCAAATATTATTTGAATTATTTACAGATCATTTCGCTTATAGTTTAAGATGTAAACGAAGGTGCCCAGAACAACTATCTTCATTAAATGGGGAAAAATATGATGATTTATATCCTAGTCATTACCATTATCTACAATATGCTTATTTTAAAACTGATAAATTAAAGGAGGCTTGTGCAGCCGTTGAAACTTATTTGATGTTTTATCCTAATGATGAAGTGATGATGTCGAATAAGGAATATTATTTAAAGCTGGATGTTAAAAAGGAATGGTTTAAACCGAGGGAGGAAGCCGAAGAATATTTTAAAAGGGATCTATACGAAAAGAGATTGTTTAAATTTATTATGAAGGAATTTAATGAAGAGTTGGATAAGAAGAGAGTTGATGTAAGTGAACTTTATTTTCGGTTATTAATTCATTTTCACCGCTATTTATTAATAATGGTATTTTTTAATAAAAGCATGATTTTATTTAAATTTATTTTATTTTAAGTATTCTTGGTTTGCTTGCAGGATTCTTCAGCAAATGTCAAAGAAAATGCCTTGTGATTCTCTACTTATGCTTTTTTTACTGTGTAAATATCTGGGATAAATTAACATTGATTAATTAATTAATAAATGTTCACTTTTTTTAATTATATCTTAATTATAATTTTATAAAAAAACACGATTATACTATTTTGTAAATAAATACTCTCTCTTCTTTAACACCTCACTCTCATTAATAAAATTTAGTAAATTAATTTTTTTTGGGAGACAGATAAGAAAAGGAAATAAAATTAAAGTTAGTAAAAACGCGAAAGATTTAAACGGAACTCACCGGTATTTAGCCGAAGATGTATTAACCGAATCGGAATGCACATCTTTGATTTATTTGGCGAAACTGTTTGCTTTACCCGGGGATGGTTACATTGGAAACAGAACTCCACACACTTTGATGGAGAATTTCGAAGGTGTTACTTTAAGTAGGACCTCTTTACTCACCTACGTTGGAATGTTAAACGCAAACGACCTTAAATTAATAATCAAAGTTACTGAAGACGCTAAAAATCATATTCAATATTATTTCGAATTAAACAGAAAGTTGTATTTTACTTACACCCATTTAGTTTGTAGATCTCCAGTTCCAGGTAAATTGAAAAAATTTTTTTTTAGTTAATAAACAACAAAATCGTTTTAGGATCTCCAAGTAACCGAACTGATTTTAGTCACGTTGTTCACGCCGATAATTGCAACTTAAAAAAAAATTTAAAATGCGAAAAAGAATATCCTAGTTACACGTACAGAGATTATAGCGCTATTATTTATTTAAACGATGATTTTGATGGAGGTGAATTCGTTTTTGTTTCGGATTTTTACGGGAAACAATTGGAGGTAAATTAATTATTAAATTTTATTCAACACAGTCTTGAGAGACGCAAGGCTAACATTTTTTGTTTTAAAATTTTTTTTAGAGTACTATCATCCCAAAATGTGGTCGAATGGTGGCATTTTCATCTGGAAATGAAAATTTGCACGCTGTAAAAGCGGTAACTAAAGGATCAAGGTGCGCTTTGGCCGTTTGGTTCACTTTTGATAAAAAGTATTCAGAAAATCGAAATTTCGCTTATCAAATTTTAAAGGGGGCATAATATTAGAATAGAATAAGAAATGTAAAATAAAATGTTATGTTGTTTGGTGATAATGAAGAAAATGGTTATAAAAAAAATCTTATTTATTAAAACTCATATCCTCGCTACTTTTTATTCATCTCTCTGATTAGTACATTTCTTACATTATAACATAATTAAAAAAGTACACCTACGATATTTTTTTAATTATTTATAAATAATTGGCAGTTTATATAAAATTTTTCTATGTAATCGTACAGGCGTTCCGTGTACGTGCTGGATGAACTCAAAAATTTACCGCCAAGCGATAGAGAATTACAAAGTACATTTAAAGAAAAAAAAAATAAAAACGTTTTTGTACACAACAAAATAAAAATTTGCAAGATCATCAAAAAAACACCTTCGCAATGAAAATATTACTTTGGTCTTGCAGTACAAAAAAAGTTAACGTATAGAACAATAAATTGCGAAAAGTTATCCATAAATAAAAATTATTTTTTCATGATTTTTTTTATTACATTTTTTTTAATAATTTCACAGTCTTATTAAACGGTTTTTAATAACATCAAAGAAAAAAACGAAAAAACCTATTAAAAACGAAAGTTAATATTATAAAACGAAAATAATTAATACCGCGAATTAGAACAAAAAATTATATATGAATATATTTAACTACAAATGAATTCAAGTACAGATTCACATTGAAAAAATTCCATTCTTTTGTGATTACGAAAGATGACCGTGCCTGCACTTGTACTTCAATCGTCGATGAAAAAAACCTCCAATGACATATACTCATGGCAGTGATACTTTTATTTATTTATATCTATTTTCTTTTTTTCGAGAAAATCAAAAAATATCATTACAGGTTTTTTACGCAATAAAACAAACAAAAAGGTACAATTAATAAATTCAATTAAATAATTCCTTAGTTATTAACACTATCTATTTACATATATATCATAATTAATTGTACTTGTAAAAATTCATTTAATTTAATCATCTCCGGTAGATTTTTTTTTGTACACAAATAAAATCGTTCGTAAAAATATACAATTGAAAGAATATACAAATGAATTTATTTTTTAATTAACTCTTTTTTTTATTAACAATGGGATGTGAGTTTTTTTTTGCAAATGGTATTTTTTAAGAAGGCAGTGATTAATGTTTTTCGATTTCTTTTTAACTAATATTTCTTTTTTCGCTATAATTTATAATGAATAAATAAATTTGCAATGAAATTATCGAATTTAAACGAATAACTCGAAACGATCTCTGAACACAAGTATTGCAGTCTAATATTATCCCATAATCTTTATCTTTTTAATTTAAATTAATATTTTATTTCAATTTTTTTTTCGGATTTTCAAATATAAAAAAAATTAAAAACAAAAATTTTCCTAAATGAACACAAATTATACAAAGTTATATTTTTATGTCATAATTTTCTTTGTTTCAAGATGATCTAGTGAAAGATGATCTAGTAATGAAACAAATATTAATTATTGCAATTTTATATATCACTCTGTTATAATCAAAAAAGTAACTCAATTAATAATTCAGTTAATAAAGAAAACGTTTTATTTTTTATCGAGATTCCATACAAACCAAACTTAATTTTTCCAATTATTTGATTGGTAATTTTCATCTCTAACTGAATCTTTTGGCCAATTCCAATCTTTTCCTTTCGGCTTAAATTTATCCCTCGGCGCATCCACGTATTCCTCTACGCTACTTTTTTGATATATATCATCCCGCCAATGTTCTCGATAATAAAATTTCTTTTTATAATGTTGATCAGGTTTCGTTCGTTTTTCTTCCGCGTGCCTTTGATACTTTAATAACGGATTTTGATTGGGACTTTTTTCCGTGGCAACAACCGGAAGTTCCGGGCTGTACGAAGCCGTAAGATTTGCTGGCGATGAAGGCGATGGTGTCCGCGGCGGTCCTAATTCATCGCCGTGATCCAACGTCGGCGAGCTTTCGACACTCTTACATTTATTTGAAGGCACCTTAAATAACGTTGGTTTGGCATTTGGATTTAATTTTAACATTTGTTTTGTGGCTGGCATAGACGTCGATGGGGCTGTTGGTATATCAAGGCCGATTCCGGAATCCGGCGACGTATTACAACTTTCGTTGCCCTCCGTTGACCTTCTACGCTTATCTAATTCGGTTGAAGCAAAAGCCACCAAACGATCGAAACCTGACGATATTCGATCTTGCCATTTAGATTCTTCCGGTTCTTCTTCAACTTCAACATCTAATTTTAAGTAAAAAAAAATATGTAGAAAGAAATTTTTTAGTATAACAAAAAAATAATAAAAAAATGTTGCTAAATGTAAAAGGAAAGATGAAACCTTCACCAAATAATAGACAGTATTAAAATTTTAATAGGGAAAAATAATAAAAGAGGCGTTTAAAAGCTACTTACCGGTGATATATATTATTCAGCTGGCTTAATCTAGTATGGTACGGTAAATATGCATGCGCGCTTATGAGTACGCGTGTTTGTGCATGCCTCAACTGTGCTGATTCCTAAGTCAACGCAAACAAACTACTGTAAGTAAACTAGAGAATACCATTTCCACCATTACGACCATTACCGACAATTTTTTGGAATTTTAATGTGTGTAACATTTTTTGGATATAAAAATTTTGTCCACAACTATTATTATTGCATAATAATTATCGATTAATGCAAACTCAAAATGAGACTAATAACTGGTAGATTCCCCAGAGTAGAGACGAAGAATCACAAGAATGCGACAAGCGCTAAAATATGGTAAATATGAACGTAACAGAGGACGACGGTGGTGAAGAGACTCCTGAAGAAATAGATAAAGGCCTAAACACAGTGCGAAACAATAAACCTTGGAGGCATTCAAATCGAGTTAATCAATCACAATCCAAGAGTAGTGAAGGAACCCTTAGCAGATGAGAGCAAATTATTCATAAAAGAGGTAACATGAGAAATTGTGAAAATTATAGAGAGATTACTATTACTAGTTTGATTGGTAAGCTTATCAGGCGTAAATTAAAGACAAGGGTGGAAGGTCATCGCTCTATTAAAAAAATATTATTATTTAAAGCACAAAAATAAGAACACTTGAGAGCATTACTCATTGTTACAAAATGCGAGTACGTTTGTAATAATAATATGTTTTAAGTTCAACAGATAAGGTGAAATTAAAATGGCTTATTTCTGGATTACTCCAAAAATCACTCTGACATAACCCAAAATAACAACATAAATGCGCGTTTGTGTTGCCTTGCTGCATTACTATTTAGGACACTAAATAACCTAAAAAAACTCCATGTTATGGCGTGGTGAAAAACAGTTGTGGACAAACCATAATCATAAAAGTACCATTTTTTGTACACCACTCTATATAATTTCCATATTATAAAACAATTTCGAATATTTGATAAATAATTTAATGATTAAACCAAAAGATTGAATTGTCGTAATGGTTTTATATTAAAAATAAAGTTATTTTTTGAATATATTTTTTAATTTAATTAATTATTTAAATAAACCTTTTTAATAAAAAAAATTAACCCACCAAAATATACGGTAACTTGTTTTTGTAAAATAAAAAAGTGCAATGATTAGTAGTAAAATCGATGAAATCTATCAAAAGCAATACTAAAGCTCTGCATGCAAACCAAAAATAACTAAAATCATTAAAAAACCGACTACAAAATAACTATAACAACACCTTTAAAATAATTTTTTTAATATAAAAATGAATTCAAACCTTCGTCGTGAGTTTTTCGTTGAATCGGGTTGCTCCTATCATCTCCATCCAACGGTAACGAATGAACGTCCCCTGCTGAATTTTCCGAGGGGTTCCGATGATTATGATTATCAGCGTATGAAGAAGATCTTCGTATTGTTGTCCTAATCGGACCTTGTATAACCGGCGATTCTCTTTTGTATTGACAATCATTTTGGACTGTTTCGGTCTTAATATGACTACCTTCTTGATAAACTAAAGCTCCCGGAATATATCTTCGATCAAACGCATCAACTTCTTCTTTAATTTGAGTTGTATTTAAAACGCGAGCTTGTAAACTAGCCGCCAAACCTTCCGGTACAAAATTACAACGTTCCGCTGTTGTTTCTGGTTGAACAGACGGTTTAACATCTGTGTGAAAGTATGATTCATGATAAGGTTTTAAATCAGCTCGAGGTAATGGTGTGTATTGTTCATTTTGTGAATAATTTGAATTTGTTGATCCAGAACGTACGGATGGGGGATACATAATTGTTGTTCTTGGTGAAAATTGAGATTGTCTCGGTGATATTTGTGGTTGTGTTGCGTAAGGATGCGGTTTTGGATGATTATGAACGTATGCTAAACCTTCAAGACCCTCAGTTGATGACGGCCTTGAAATTGGACTGTATACTTGTCTTAACGGTTCTGTTTCTTTATTGATCGGTAACGTGTCGTGTACTTTTACATTCACTCTTTCTGGTCTCGGTGGGATGTTTGCGTTAACAACCGAACGGGAAGTAACAGTTGTTGTACCTTGAATATCGCTCATATCAACAGCGGCGTTTATAATAGACTGATTAGATATTTCTAACGTACGTTCGATTTCGCCCGATACCAAATCACCAATCGTTCGTGTTGCAACCATTCCATCATTTTGCGATGAATAAGTATGATGTTGTGCTGCAAGTTTTTCTTGCGATAAATGACGCCTCAAAGCTAATTTGGCTGGGGAAACTTGTGTGTAATCGGGTTGTTCTTGACGATGACCAGTTTCACGATAATTATCCATTACAGATCCTAAACCTTCTTGTTGCGAATATCCAGCACGATATTCTTCCGGTTTAACAACTGTTTCCGTTTTGTTGTATTTATATTTATTATGATTATTGGTTGTTTTATGATCGGGTTCGTTTTTAATGTATTGATAAGTGTATTGCTGAGAATTATTATGTAAGTTAGGTAAATTGGTGTTACTTGGTGGAAGATAAGGTCCTGAGCTGGTCGGACTATATATTTGCGGTTTCCGGTCCTCATTTAGCACAGATGTTATGATACTCTTTAAACGATCCTCGAAGTTTGTTATTCTAGGTGGTTCTTGTGATCGCGACGTATTAATCGTGTTGATCGGATTTTGTTGATAATTATTTAATTTAGCTCGTTTTGAAACAGCTTGAGGAGCTGGCATTGCATTCCGAGATGATCTTTGTCCATTTCCGTTCGTCGTGTGATTTTTTGTAACCGGTTTATTTGACGACATTTTACTAGCTTCTAACATTCTTCCTTTTTCTAATATTTTTTGGGCTAAAATTTCTGGGTTTTGTTCCTCGATCTTAACCATATCGGGTACTTCCGGCCATTCTTGCGACCTAGTTCTGTAATCTCTCGATTTTCTTGACACCTTCGAGTTTTGTTGACGAACATTTAATGCTTGGGCTTGTTTCCTTTCCTCGCTGCTTTTTTCTAAAGACAACACTTCGTTTTCCAACATTGATACTTGATTGTGTAGCTTTTTCCTTTGAGACAGCGTCGATGAAATCTCCCTTAGAATGTATTCTTCGGGAACAAGTGGAGAAACATCTCTTCGTGTGGGATCTTGTTTAGAGTACTTTTCCGTTATTTCTTGTTGGCGCTGCGTAATCAAATTTTTTTGTTCTTGCTCCAAACCGTAAACTTGAACTTGCAATTTACTCGCCTTCGCTTGCAAATCTTTGTGTCTAATCACAATCTCTTTAGCTTTCGCCAATAAATCAGCGGGTGATAGCGCGTTTATGCCCAACTCGTTCATTCTCACTTTCAACAAGGCCACACTATCATCGATCAACACTTTAATTTGCTTTTCTAGTTGAGCCGCCCTGTTTTGCAACCGCTGATTACGCTCCTTCTCTTCCGTTATTAAATTCTCCACGTTACCTTTATATTGAGGCGTTTTCATTTCCTCGATCATACTCATATATTGAGCCCTGTACATGTCTAATAAAATTTGTAATGCGTACGGTGTATTTTCGGGAGCTGGCGGAATATCCAATTCATCGTGAACCATATCTGTGCTTAGAGATGTTAATTTTTGATCTACACAACCTGGGGGTGGTGGCAATTTTTTACCATTTGCTAAAATCAAAACAATTTAATATTATCGTCTTAGCTTTATGCTGACTTATTTTGTTAGAAAACTAATACAACAAGGTCATTGTAACACTTGGGAAAAATTATTATTATTATTAAATATAAAAGTAAAAAAGTTTAAGACAATTACCTTGTGGTGATGTGCTCAGTAACGTTTGACTATGCAACAAATCAAGTCCATTAATTTTAATTGCTTTCTTTGGTTTGGTTTTTCGAACACGTCCCCGTCGTGGTTTCGCCAAAGGTTTATTAACCGCGTTATTACCACCTTGGACTTTTCCACCGCGTTGGATTTTTCGTCTCAACTTCTTCGGTTGACGTTTAACCTTGGATCCGACGACCTCGTCTTCGCTTTGACTGCTTTTCCCTTTGTTTGAGCACCAATCGGACCAAGCTTTTCTGGTTGTTGGTCCGGCGGGATCGAAAAATTCGGAATCGGAAGATGAGTCCTGCATTATTTTCGATAAATCTCTGCGGGCTTTCTCGCGGGAATTGCGAGACGAGTTCGAGTTGTCGTCATCGTTAACGGTTCCCTTTGGATTACGTAGCCTTTGGAAGTATCGTTCGAGTTTCGTGCGATCGATGATGTGTAAATAATAAGATACTGGTTTCCCAGTCCAAGAAACGGAACCTCGCAATGGTGACATCTCTGAAACGTGCATTATTGTACCGATATCGCTTAAGTTACGATCGGTTATACGAAAATTTAATGGACAAAAACTTTTTGAAGAAACAATCCTAGCACCGTCTTTTAAATCGGCAAATCTTTCTTTTAGTTGATGATCTACGTTTGGACCGAAAGCAAAATTATTAACGAACACAATAGTGGCAGAGGTGATCTTTTCCCGATGTTCTTCGTTTAAAAAATCCCCCTTAATTAGCTTATAATCCCCAAATTTCTTTCCGTACCATTGCATCCAAGCGCGAAAGTTTTTGTTCATACTTTCTGCATATCTACTCGGAACTTCAGCGCGTTCTACTCCCAAACAAATTTTACACGGAGTCGCTGCGGCCATTTGCAGAACAACTTGACCAACACCTGACCCTAAATCTATGAAAATATCATCTTGGGTGATATCGATCTGATCGATCATTTGACAAACTAAATCGTAGGATGTTTCACCGTACACTTCCGGTGAAAATGGCTCATACTGATTTAGTTTATCAGGGTCTGTCACTGCTTGGTTATAGGTTTGTTGTAGAATGTGACGCAACAGACCTCTAGATGGATATTTATTTAACCGTTGCGCTGGTAAAGATGTTCCCTTCTCCTAAAAGAAATATGCAATCAATTTTTACGGTTGTAATTGGAACGTGTATTCTTACCAATGCAACAATGCTATCAATCGCGCGATTAAACCGATCACAAAGTAATTTCATACTTTCATAACTTCTCGTATCATAGTCGCAGAGGATGTTATTCTCCAGCGGTAGTTTGAGCTCTGGGAGGTCCTCGCAGACCCAACGAATCGTTTCCACAATTTCCAGCGCACCATCATGTCGATCCTAAAGAAAAAATAATCAATTAATAACAAAATAAAAATAATTTTAGGTTATCTTATTTCATGTTTTTGTCATATCAATGTCCATTAATATAATATCATTGAACGATACATTATATTCACAAATTTATGTTTTAATTTGTTTCAACTCAATAATTGTAAATAAAAAAGATAAAAACATTAATTGTGTTAATCAATTTTATTTAAAATTGAAAAAAATAATTTTTACGAAAATTCTTAAATCATGTCCATTACTATTAGGTCAATGATTGACATTCTCGTCAATTCTAGTCATTTGTAAACACACAGTTCGAGTCAAAAATGAGTGAATGTTCAAAAGCAGGAAATGTGGATCAAGTTGAAAACGAAGAACCAGAACTCTCATCTGAAATTGAAAATCCTACGGATACGAAGGAAGAAACCACGCATGATGTATCTGAAGAAATGTTAGATGAAGGAACAACTCAAAGTGATACTTTACCTAGATTGGTAATTCCTAGTTTCGTGGCGCATAACTCGCGTTTTGGAATTTCCGATTTCGTGGTAAAATTATGTATGGAAGAAAAACATAAATGGCTTTGTGCGATCCCAATCGAATTTATTATAAATGGTGCAAATACACGCGGATTTCACAGTCACCCGATGTTCGAAGAAGCAATGTTGGTGTTAAAAGGTGACCTAGTCATAACTCGTATCAGTAAAAGTCAAGAACCAATTGTAAAAGCAGCTCGAGGTCTGTATTATCTCATTCACGCCCGTTACATTTTAACAGACCAAGGTTTAGCGTACATTTTAAAGAAATACCACAACCACGAATTCGGGTGTTGCCCCCGGTACTTTTGTTACAACCAACCTGTCATCCCCTTCGGATTTTCGCCGGATCTTGAACGCGATACCATACAAATTTTCTGCGGAAAATGTTCTGAAATATATTCACCGAGTAATACAGTTAACCACATTGATGGGGCAGCATTCGGACCTCTATTACCAGAAATGTTTTACCTACAATTTCCTCATTTACGACCTCAATTATCCACAAAAAAATTTCAACCCAAGTTGTATGGATTTAAAATACACTCATCATGTTATCAACAAGAAACTGATACCGATGATGAAGATTCTGATGATGCCGAAAAATTTAAAATACAACAATTTAGTAAAAGAGTGCAATAAAAGTTTAAATCAAATTAAATTGTAATTATGTATTAATAAAGCATTTGTTTGATGAGGAATAATTCTGCATTTTATTTTCATAAATCTCTTTAATTTCTTTTTAACATTTTGGTTCAGTTCTGAATCCACCCTCAACCGCCCCAAGTTATGTTTGTGGCATAAAAAATGTTCGCCCTAAGTATTGTTCATAATATTATAATTTATAGTTTTATAAACTCCAACAGTAGTTGACATATCTGTTGTGACAACTAAAATCAAACACACTGACACATATATATATAGTCATAATTTGAGTATTTGGTATCTTGAAATTTTTTAATTCTGAATAATTGATGGGACAAAATTCTTCAAATATGCATATGAGGAAATAGAGTCACATGATGGTATTTTCGTGCGTTGGCAAGAATTCCAATAATGTCAGATATCAATTATAATAAAATTCTAATCAAGTTAAAAAAACTTCCAAGATTTGGTACAAATAACAATTCTCACTGGATCTTAATAAATAGGAGACATTCCTATATACTTAATAAACAAATAAAGGATTGCTTCTAAAGAATGCAGTTTATAAAACAACTAAGCATTATCTTCTTAATATCATATTTCCCAAATAAGGATTAAGCTGCATATCGAAGAACAATAAACTTGAACCATTTGTTAAATACCCAACTCCATTTCCTTTAAAACTTAGAATAAGATTAAAAAAAAACCTTAAAAGCAACAAGTGTAAATACATCAATCACCTGGAATGGATTGTAAAGATGATTAAAAGATATGTATCTACAATAGAATGAAGCAAGAGGATCCAGAACAAAATTGCTTCTTTGAAGAAAACCTTTGAGTATGAAATCTCTATATTAATAAGCACAATGCATCTAAAAAAAGAATGAATTATATTAAAGAAAAACCCACAAAATGAATTTTATGCTTGAAGAATCACTTGACGTCCTTTGCACAACATACATATAAACAGTATTTTTGTTCTTCAAGAAATCTTCTTTCCATTATATGTATAGTAATATCCATTATATAGATGATATCTAAATTGATTAGTTATTAAGATCTGTGCAAAATCAATTGTGTTAGGTGTGAGATAAATGAATATAACAGTTTAGTATTAAACGAACAAAGTCTAATTTGTATTTACTTACAGTACCACGGCCAGAGGTTAATGGCCAAGTGTATAAGACAGGTTCAGCACCCGCTGGAGAATGGAGCTTGAGCTCCATGTCGCGAATATTGAAACCGTCAACTAAACAAACTACGGCCACCGTTCGTCGGTTGCATTTGGAGTTTAAAGGCGCGACCGAAATCCGCGTATTCCGAGGGGAAATAAAAACGACTACAAACAGTGAAAACACGCCATGGTTAGCGTTTTGAGGGGCTGCGCGCGCATTCACTGTACGTCGGCTTCTTGGAAAATGCAGTTAGGCTGCCGCCATTCATAGCGTTATCAATATCTACTTCTACACGTACGCCTCTTTTTTCCCCCTAATATTTGCTTTGCAATTTTTCTCTTTATGCACTCTACGCATAAGGGACTCCGTTTATCAGCTGATCAGAAAAAAATACAAACTCGATATGCCCAAGAAATTTTTATTCAAATTTATCTATATCTTATTGAAATATAAAACGATTTACACAATTATGCATTTTATTTGTTTAGTTGTGAAGCTAACATTTAATTTCATGAGTAATCTTCGACGTAAATGTTAATAAGCTACGTCCGTTTGGCGTCATTGCGTTACGTTTTCTCTCGGGATTTACGCTACAAGGAAAAATGAATTTTCCAACATATCATTAAAAACAATTTTACAATAACTTTAGAATACCTAAAAACTATTGTAAGTATTTTAAATTACTAAGTTGGCAACAAGTTTTAGTCCTAAATGATTCATCAACCGTTATGTTTAGTCATAGTTTAAATAAAATCATTCTTTAAGAATTTTTTAACAATTTTAATAAACAAAATAACAATAATAAATAAATATGGTTATTAACAAATAATTTAAGGTTGATTCCCCAAATTCGTTGACAGATCATTTTTAAATTATTTTCTCTTTAAAAAATGTTGGCAATCGTGAATGTTTGCACACGTGCTTGTGTTTTTATCTATTCTAGCACAAAACCAAGATAATTTAAAAGGAAATAAATTCTTTTACAATTAATTTATTCTATTTTAGTTTCTCTTCTAGTCTCCGTACAAAATAAAGAAGCCTACAATATCGAGTTTCAAAACACCTTAATGTTATTCAACATCATTAAAATCTGAATATTTTTAGATACATTAGATATTTTTAGATTCTCAAGCTTGATCAAGAAAGTTTTTGCTATATATCTAATCAAATCTAATGACAAAGTTTAACTTTTAACATTGGTTCCTTTAAGTGTATCTTTTGAGGTTGGGTTGAGCATTAATAGCTTTGCTCCTCATGACTTCATCAAGGATTATATATTACGGTTGTGTATGATGCTTTCTATCACCAGGTATTCAAAAGATGCATTTCTAAAGGCAATATATCCGAATAGTATCTCTCTTAAATCTCTCTTAAAGCTGTTGTGATCTTTTTTGATATTTTTTTGAAAGTCCACTCTACTTATATAATCATATACTATATATTTTTTTAAATATAAGCATCTTTTTATGAGTTTTTTATGTTTCCTTTTTATGTTATTCTTTTTTTACGTTAACCTTATTTCCCGCCATTCCCATTATGAGTAAATGGGACATTGTATTTTCCATTTTATTTTTCAAAATTTTACAGCCTTATTATTCGTTCACAATTCAATCCGTCGTAAATTTGTGTTAAATTCTGACCCGTTTGAATCGACAATCGTTTCAAACAATTGATTTCCCTATAAATTCTCATACAAATTGTGTTTAATAACTCACTGTTTCAAAATGACGGTCAAATTTTTATGCATAAAATGAAAAAAAGGATTGTAGGCAACCCAATTAACACAATTTTATCAAAAATTTGCTAAGTTTAGAAATATTTTGAAATTTTTGTGATTCATATATATATATATATATATAATTATCTCATTGAAAAACAATTTTTATCTAATCAAAAAAAAACAGACATAAAAGGGTCAATAATTTAATAATTAAACTTATATTAAGAGATAATTTTTACGTAACTTGAATGAAATAAATAACATGACAAGAAATGTTGGGACATCGTTTCCGTTTTAGTGATATTATGAAAATGATAAAGACGGAAGGGCTGTCGAAACGTCGACGTGCAGCGTCGGTTATAAATAATATACACCCTTCCAGTCGATATTCTAGGTCTAAAAGCGTCCGTAACTCAAAGCAGGGTGGGGATTTCGTTATCGTAATCCAAGGGTGTTTCGTCACATTCCATTTAATAAAATAGTTTTAATCCAGTAGTCCACGGTAGTTCTAGGGACCCTATAAAAAAATAAAGACAAATCAATTCTTATCTAACGAAGACTGATTCCAAAAAAGACCCGGCGCCGGTGTAAAATGAGCGTGGAGCCGCAGGACGATGACAGTCTAAAATTAGGCAGCAGGGAGAACAGTACCGGTAAAGATCTCAGTCAGTCGAGAAGTAGTATCAAGAGCACAAAAAGTATTGAAAAGGCGATTAATTCAAGTACGGGAAGTTTGCGGGCTGACAAAGACGTGCATTTCGGGAAGGAAAGTGTCAAATCGATTAGTCCCGATCATTCCGCGACAGTTTCACACAAAATAATCGCTAACTGGCGTAACGCTTGCAGCAAAACCAAAGATCGCACAAAAGATCTCCTAAAGCGGTGGAGGACACTCCCCGAATACGAAGACGCGGAAGGACATAAGAAAAAAATAGGTGCTTTGGAGAAAGACGAAACCCACCGGAATGGTTCCGGCTGGAGTGTTCATGTTTGGAGTAAGTAAATAAGTTCTTTACACAATATCGATTTCTATACCATTCATTTCCATTCTAGCCACTTGGGTTGATAGACTTACAGGAGACGCTACTGATTTTGAAGACGACGACGAAGTATTCCAACCTAAATTAACTGCTACGCAGAGCAATAAGTTTTTATATTTTTTTAATACCCTTTTGGATCATGATCAGGACAATCTCATCAGTGAAGAGGATTTTGAAGCATTTATTGAAGTAAGTTTTTTTCCAACTTTCGTGGAACCATGAGAATCCAAGGCAATTAATAATCAAGTGGCGACCAAATTAAGTGATTTAACATATTCATAAATTACATAATATTCTTTATATTTACATTTAATAATTGACGCAATTTTTTGTTTACGAGCAAATATATCAATTTGATTAAATTCGATAAGATTTTTATAAACAAACAATATTTTTATTGCTAAATTTGGCAAAAAAACGCCACAATTAAAGCCACACATCACTTGATCATATTTTTTATAGATTCGTTGTTTTTTTCCTTTTAAGATATTATCATGCAATTAACCTTGAAGATATTTTTTATAATTTTTGAGGAGATAACATTTTATTATCATCAAGGTTAAGATCTCTGTTATTTTTAATTTAGGTGATTATCTTTTTTTGTTAAAGCGTCTTCGCCATTTCGCCGATTGGTCAATAAACTCGCAAGAATACAACACATTGCGGGAGGTTGAACAAGGATTCATTGAAACTTTTTTACAAGACTTGGGCGATGACAAATTCGGATTCACCGTCAATGATCATAATTATATTACGCAGGATGGTTGGCTTTACAAATGGGGATGTTTGATACTCGGTTGTCGAAATCTCTCCGATTTTCCCGTTTGGTTGCAATATTTCGTGAAAATATTATTTCAAATTATTAATAAAAGTGGGAATGGGATTATTTCTCGCGATGAATTAAAATCGTTTTACTCATCTGTACTTGGATTTGAATCGACGAAAGTTGATGCTACTTTTGATGTTGCTTATCGTATGTTAACCTCGGTAATATTTTTTTTTATTTATACAGTATGTAACTAAAATCACGCACACTGTATATAAATATATATATATATATATATTTTATATATAATTTCTTTTTAGAATGGTGATCATCCATTAACATACAGGGTATACCAATTGTGTTTTGCCAACTACCTCTTAGCTCGTTACCCAAACGGACCTGGTCAATATATATTTGGAGCAATACCTACGTTAATAACATCGGCGTTATTTCCGATTGATTATTCAGCTTTGAACACGCAACCGGAAGATTTGGAGCAATATATCCCGGATCAAAAGTCAAATAGGCGTAGCATAATAGTGTAAGAAATCTTCCTTAAAAGAAATTAAAACCAAAAATTGTGGAAGCTTTCGTTCCGTAAACGCACACCCTTCCATGCTACGTGCACTTCTTAAAAGGTATTTTCTATCACAAGTGCACCTTTAACCAAAATTCAAAATATAACGTTAAAAAAAATAATAATGAAATTCTAAAGCTATGTGATACTTATTATTAAGCGTCATTGACGTTTTTTCTTACTTACTGCTCACTTTTACCCTAGAATTTAAATGTTTGTTGAATTGAATTAATGGAAGTGAAAACGTATAAAATTAAAGTCAATAAAAAAAATTAATCAAAATGTATAAGAAACAATAATTATAAGTTAATAATTGTTTATTAAGATTTATTATGGTTTTGTTGTTATATTTATAGGTTTAAATAAATTGGATGCAGAAGAAAAAGCAGTCTTTTTTTTAAATTTTCGTTTAATGAAAAATATAACAGAGTCATGTCATAAAAATAATATTAAAAATTACTTTAACCATCTTTGTTTTGATAATAATAACATTTACAAATGTGGAGGTTAAAAATAATTCTATTAGAATAATATTTCTATTATTCTCGTGCAGAACTGAATCTATCCCTCTCATTTCATTGTAATTTTTTTAATTACGTAACAATAAAGCATATTAGCGATGATATTAGACGAGTACTCATTAATCATTTCGTTATCTTCCCTTGTTTAGCACAAACGTTAATTTTTTTTGTTACGATCACATTTGAAATGTATTCTCCGTCTTAATTTGTATAAATACGAAATATATCTGTATATATAATATATGTATGTATATCTATTTAAAAAATTATTGTGCCGTCAGTTGACAATAAGACTGATATACTTTCCTCATAGAATTTTGCTCGTAACATCTTTTAAATAACATAATTTCCAGATAAACAGGAAATTAGATCTCAATTCATATTGTACGTGTTATCTTTTTTATATACAACTTTTTTATGAAGAATAATTCATAATTAGATTCTTTTTCTGCCAATTTTTTTTCTTTCTATTTAATAATTTCTTTTTAAAATCTAATTATGAATAATTCCGTATATAAAAACCTTACCAAAAAAAATTTTAACAAATAACAAGATAAAAATGATTTAAATTTCGTATTAAAACGTAAATAATATTAATGATAACGATATATTACATATGTGCTGCTCTTAAAATTATTATATAAAATATATAAAAGACTAACTAACAAGTAACGAAGTGGTTTTTTTACGCTTAAACGTTAAACAATTCCTTGTTAAGAAGCGCTCTGTTACATGGGTCTAATGGCGACAAGATCCGAATGATGGCTATGAGCGTGATGTAGATCGACACCGGTGCTAATCGAACCGTCACTTAGGTCTTGATGTATTCTTGATCTTCTGGTTCGTTTATGATGCGTAGGATGACATCGACAATCGCAGTGCATTACGCACAAAGCCACCGATGTGGCGAGAGTTATTATAAATGGTACAGCAAAATAATGTATTATAATAGCTACTTGTTCATCTCGTTTATAATGTGTTAGTACCACGGTTCGATTTTCTTGAGAATGATGACATGGAAATTCGGTGCCTTCAGTACCATACATTTCAGTAAAATTTTTGCAGAGAACCGATGGAGGATACCCACATCCTTTTATATTTACTAAAAGCACAGCATCTTCGGTTTGATTGGGGTTTGCACTAGAATCATTATAGCTGACATAGATATGCGTACAGTGGTATGTGTCACTTGTGCAACCTTCTCTACAAGAACTCCAACTACAATTAGCTAAACCAGTTAGATCTTCACGTCTAGTCGTCACACAATTAACAGGTTCGGTAACAAAATTCGATGCAAGTGTTGATATAGCTGGATCAACATAAAGTGGTACGAGAAATAGTAAAGACGAGCCGGCGGTTATTGCAATTATAGCCAAAACACTGGTTGAATAAAATAGCGCCCTTTCCCTACATGATCTGCTCGTTTGGACACGGTTACGTTTTGATAAAGCTAACTCTTGTATCTTACGTTTTCTCAGTTCTTCTTGTTGGTCTAGAAGCAGCTCTGAGCTACTGCTTCTCATGTTCGCTAGCACTCTAACATCACTAAATAACGAACACGGGGTTTTAAACTTTTTTAATAACTTCACTTCTATTCGTACTGTATATAATGATCCATTGTCGTCAAAAGACAACCTGGACGAAAGAAAAGCGCATGCTCCCCAATACTCCCTCCGAACGGTTTTATTTCAGAGGGTTGACACCTTTAGTGAGACTACTAGAGATATTGACGAGTGATCTACCCTCTTTTTTTTTAGGCCAACCCAACCTTACTAATCACTTTTCAAAAAAAATACTAGTATTTATACGAAAACTAAATCAACAAACTTCACCTCTTTATTGATTTCTGGTTTTCTCTAGAGATTACAAGTTAAATAATGTTTTTTGGGGGTTATGTACGTGTTCATAACAAACAAATTTTTTTTTAAAAACTTGAGTTCTTTCGAGTTTTTGGGTCAACGCAAAAATCCCCAATGGGATAGATTTATGAAAAAATACTTAGCTACCCATGTCTTTCTGTCCTTTTTGGTTTGTGTACTCGTTGGTCGGCATTTCCTGTACAGAACGGATTCCTTGATAGTGAGGACTCCTCCTCCATATGGCAGAGAGAAATGTTGAAGTTTTTCCCACAAACCCATTTCATCCAAAAGTGATGGGAACAATAAATATTACAAGATATAATATATTATGAAAAAATAGGATTAAAAATCAAAGAAATTTCTTTGCTAAAAACATAAAATGAATTGTAGACAACCACACAATCGAGCATGCATGATGAAACATCTATCTGGAATAATTTGTGGTTTTTGTGGTAACCTAATTAATAAATAACCTTATTAATTCATTATTTTTTAATAATAATAACTTTTATAATTAATAGTACTTCGTAATATTAATAAAAGTATGAATCGTTCATTATTATTTTTTTATCAGTTGGTATCAAACTGTCAAAACATAACCTAAAACAATTTCTCTTAAATTTTTTTTCAAAAAGAAATTTCTTCTTGAACAATTCCGAAATGTCGGATAACGAAGATTACATGTCGGATAAATTCCTTGAAGAATGGTAAATTAATAACCACGAAAAAAAGCAAATCTTTTATTATTTTCACATTGCAGCACCAAATCTGATGTTAGACCGGGGTTACTTTTCAAACAATCCCAAAAAAGATCTCTCGACCAACACAAAAAAAGCTTAAACGCTAAGAAACCTAAATCGTACAAAGAACAGGAGAAGGAAACCAGAGAAATCGGTTTAAATACAGCACTCCCATCGAGTAACGTAGGTTTTAAATTATTACAAAAAATGGGTTTTAAAGAAGGTGAAAGTTTAGGTAAAAGTAGTACAGGGATTAAAGAACCAGTACCGATCATTGTAACAGAATCTTCTTCTGGTGTCGGTAGAGAAAAAGAAAACAAAGATGTTTTAGCAAAAAAGGAAGAATTAAAAGAAAAAAATTTGGAGCAAAAAGAGCAAGAATTCAAGCAAGCAATTTCCGAGAGGAATATGATGTATATATTAAGCAGAGATTATTATAAAGCACAGAGGGCTTGCGAAGAATTAGATTCAAAAAATGATATTTTAACACCAATTAAGGAACATTTTTGGCCTTTATTAACCATTAAAAAACTGAAAGAAGCTGAAAATAATAAAGATAATGATGAAAATGATAACGAGGATGACAATGATGAAGAAGAAGAAGAAGAAGATGAACCTCCGGAAGAAATTACAAATGAGAAACTAAATGAAATTATAGATTATTTAAGAAATAATTATTTATATTGTTTATATTGCGGGTTTTGTGGCGATGACGTCGAAGAATTAAATCGAATTTGTCCTGGACCTTATAGAATAGATCATGATGATGAATTATAAGTAAATAAAATAATTAAAAATTGCGCGTTTACTTGGTAAAATCCCCTTCTTAAAAGTCGATTACATCATTAATAGGATAAAAAGCCAATTGTAACAAAAAGTCATTTATTTTTATTGAAATATTTATAATTTATATTACAAAAACTATTGTATTTATTAAATAAAATGAACATTGAAATGGAAATGAAATTATTGTGAACCTGTTGAGAATAAAGCTAAAAGTCCTGAAGCAGCACCAATCGAAACGGTATAATTAACAGCAGGACTTAATGATCTGAACAAATAAAAGCTAGCAAAAATAACAATAGCTAAATAAAGAGCGTTGTTGTAAAAAATAGAAAATGTGGTTGCTTCGAAATCAGCCACTTCATTTTTCTTCCATAAAATACGTTCGTTCTTTTCTTTATTGCTCATTTTCTTATCTTCAGAGAGTTTTTTCGTCATCTCCCTGGTTACGGCATCTTCACGTTTAACAGCAATTTTGTGTTTTAGAATATACTTGGTGTTTCTGTAAGCCATAGCTAGCAAGTACATGGAAATGGCAGTTACCACGCAGAATAAAATCAAGGATGTAAAAATATCAATCATGTGAATTCTCCAAAAAAGCCATATGGGGACAGCAGAGACGATGAAAGCGTTTCCATAGAAAAGGGCTGAAGATTTCGTGGATACATTTCTGCTAAAGTCTTGTAACAGAAGTTCCTCTTCCTTTGTAAAACCTTTCGCTTGGTGCTTCGACATTTTTCTTTTCTTTTTAATTGATGTAAGTCACAAAAGTACACTTGAGACTTCGAGAGAAACCGAAGTATTGTTAACGAGTATCGACGTATACTAAATGAAGGAAACGGTTTGTAGTTACGACGCGCTACTTTTCGGTTCCACGTTTCCAATCTAAATGCCACTTTGGCTACAACTCGTTTCCAGATTGCGACTTTATTACGGAGGAGATTAGGGTCAAAATCCTTTAATGATTATGGAGATACAGCGACATCTGTCGAATTTAAAGTATTATTTATATATGCCTAAAAGAAAACTTAAAACTAATTGAAAGTTTATAAAATAGAGGGAAATTATCTTGATTAAAACGTTATTTTTTAATTAATTAGGTAATTAAATTCTCTAATTTAGAAGGTTTAGGTTATATATCTTCGTATTTTCGGTTGCCTACGTCCAAAAATGTTATCATTTTAAAGATATCAACCATTGTAAGATGAAAAGAATTGAGTAAATTTTCACAAGATAACTGCTTCATTTATTCAAAAGAAAATTATTATTACTTTTTTTCAGCACAACTTCTATGTAGTGTTATTTAGTTGCTTAGGCATTGGTTCATATATTCAAAAGAAAACAAATATACTTTTTTTCAACTCCACTTTTATGTGTTAAACGCTTCAATATAACTGCGTTATCTAGTTGTCGAGGCAGTGGTTCATTTTCTGAATAGGGTAAGGATAAAGTAAATTTTCTACCAAAATCTTGCAGACAAGTTACATGAGAAATGTTAAATATTCCTGCTAATTTTCTAGTGCTTGGGTCATTTTCAACTTTATGAACGACCGCTTCATCTATTTCAGCTTATTTTCCTAAGGTATAATAAAACAATAGAAAGATAAAGAAAGCATAATACGATATCAAAATTTATGCAGGATGTTCAAACAAAAACTTGCAGAAGAATCAAGAAAAAAATTGAAACATCGTTTATTAACACCCTGTACAAAGTATAAAAGTAGGGGGGAATTTACAAAATAGGCAAATGAATAATCAGTGAAATGGTTAATAAAGTTGCCTACATTTAGGTGTAAACAGAATCGAAACAGTCTTATTTATAAATATCGATAGTGATACAAAGAGAGTAATATTAAACAAACACAAGATAAGTAATCAAATCGCAAGTAAGAGATAAAGCAGAAGCAGTACCCAATTGATGTGATTAAAGTGTATCAGTGTGAATCGAGTGTTCGAGGCGATAGCGTTCTCGGGGTTGGGGTACTCGCGATAAAAGTGTACAAGTAGTAGAAGATCGGTTTTTTCGAGGGGTAACTTGAGCCGATTGTCACGGATAGCGGAACAGTAAATCAGGTGGCGCCATCTGGTCAGGGACCAGGAGGCTGGTGCTACTTGTCAGCGTAGGAACCACTACAGGTGTGTCTCCGGTCATGCATTCCTGAACACAGAAACGCGACGTCAGGAAAGGGGCTCCGGGACGACGACGACGACGACGAACGTCACGGAACGGGCAACAACGGGTTACGGGTAACAGAACATCGAAATCGCGAATCGGGGACTGAACCACACTGAACAGTCCGGTGTCCCCACAGTCCACGGTCAGTCTACGGAGAGTTAACTACCGACCAACAAGTAACTAAAAAAGAATTAATAAAACAAAACAGACACAAAAAAAAGAAAAAAAAAACAAATTTTTTTTTTAATTAACCAATAAAAATAAATAAAAAACCGGACGATTCCGGACGCGTCCGGCGTCGTCGTTTTCTAAAGTGAAGAAGAAAATCTGTTGTGCGGAGGTGGGTGTCGGGAGATTTTTCTTATTATTTTTTCTTAAAAAGATAAGTGTCGGAAGATATGGCCCTAAATCCGGATGAGTCGGGTAAACAGGTGGTAAGAGTTGATCAAGACTCCGAAACGGACCTGCAGGCTCTTTTCGATACCGTGTTGAAGCCGGATTCAAAACGTCCCCTTCAAGTGCCGTGGAGTATGCGGAAGTTGCCCGATTCGTTTTTCAACCCGCCATCGACCGGTTCGAAATCGATCAACCATTCGCGCGAGAACTCCGTTGATTCGGCATTCGGATCAACCACTGGTACAAATTCTTCAGCTACGTCAACGGGTGCAACAATTAACCCTGTACAACCAGTTCATCATAGGGCGCATAGTTCTCCAGCGTCCCTTCAACAAACATACGCTGTCGGACAGCAACAGCAACAGCCGGCCCCGGCCCATCACCACATCAAACAAAGGTCCTATGACGTTGCCACTAAGACAGAAGATGCGACCCCGTTGCCCCCCGGTTGGGAACAGGCTCGTACGCCGGAAGGTCAGGTTTATTATCTAAAGTAAGTAGAATACAACAAAAAAGATATAATAACAAAAATAAAAAAAGGTTTTTTTTTCAATCAATTCTTTTTTCTTTCTTTTTTTCATTTTTTTTTCTAGATAACTAACACATTGAGTGTTATCGTTGATTTGATGATAGTTCAAAGGATTAAGGATAAGAATTGATTGAAGAATCTCTCTTTTTTTGTTTTCTTTTTATTTTATTATTGTTTTTGTTTGTATAAAAAAAAATGAGAAAAATAAAAACGTTGGTGTCTTGACTGCGTATTTCCTTTTGGCGAGAGATCTCCATCTTGCCACTTCGCGCTCTTCTCGGGCGCACACGAGATATTTTTAGAATTTCAAATCTCCGCCGCTTCGCGTTTCTACACCGACGGTACCTCGGACGTCGAACCCTCTGGTATAACTTTAAGTTAAAATAATAACGCGCCGCAAAAAAGAATAACAAAACCCTACGAGTTACGCCGAATATATTTATAGAACAAACTAATATTACGACTATTTTTAAATCTTTCAGTCCATCTCGCTTTTTGTCCTCTTTTCGTCCCTTTCGCTTAATTCGTTTCATTCTTTTGTACATTTCGTTGCTGTTCTAAACAACAATCGCATTCGCGTTCGTAGTCCGCGCCGCCGTCCTCTTCGAGAGAACGCTTTCTAAAACGGGGCCTTCGTTTTGTAACAACCGCTCGACGAAGTTGCACCGCTATACGTTATGTAATGTCCAGCTGATACGCGGAATATTACCGAGAATAAGGGGGGGCCCTCGGTGGAATTCCGAACGCCGGGTCCCGTTTCTGTCCCAGATCGCGCCTCCAAAAATACGGGATTGTTTTGCATTCTCTGCACAATTTCCAGTTCAACGCAAAAATCAAATCCACTAACACACATCTAGTTTTCATGTCTATACCAAAAATATTTACCACGACAGAGATAACTTTTAAGTAAAAAAAACTCATTTTGACGAAGAAATTTGTTGTCTTCTTCTTGTAGACGATAAGAAGTTGGGGAACAACATGTTATGATATTATTATTATTATATTATTATTCTATTAATAATATTAACTAAATATATTTTATTAACCTTTCTTGTTACCCTTATTAATCTTTCATGTCTTTAGCCCGTGGACATTCCATCTTACCAATTTTGGTTTTTGCATTGGTGATGGATTGGATTGGATTGGCAGATGTGCTCGCAGCAGAACTTTCTCCTGCTTTTCAACATTCATCACCATAAACAACATAATCTATTATATCCAGAATCATCATTAGTGCAAACTTTTTCTTTTTAATGAAACATTTTTTGGCCCATCGACCATAGTCTTTCTCCCCGGGATAGTCTTAGTTTGAATTTGGCTTCTTCTTACTTTGGTGATAATTTACGTAGAAGGTGTAGCGCGTGGTGACGAGATTGGGTAGTGATAAAGAGGTTTTCAAGGTATTAATAGGGAAGTTGATGGCATCATTATGGGATTAACATTGTAGACGGAGATGGATTGGAGCTCGTTGCTATTATTAAAGAGTGGATTTTGCGGGTGTCGGATACGTGTGATACATTTAAGAGCTTCTAGATTCCTCTAGATATGTGCAGTGCATGTGATTTTTGATCTTAATAAAAATCACAAATTTTAACATTTTATGAATTCTTCCCCAGTTTGATCTGGTTATGGATAATATCTTTTTGAATCATTACACACAATGTTTGTCCATTACTTTGTTCTGCAACATCGATTTTTATAGCAAAAATAGTCCATTTAGAGATTTTGAGCTTTTTTATTTAGCACCTGCAAAACGGTTACAGCTAGAATTGAATTAATTATGAATAATGCTTTTTTGATTCATTATAAACAATTATTATGCATAAAGCTTTCTTCCATTGCTTTCGATGTTGAGATATAACCCAATTTGTTAATTAAAATCGTAATTTTTGTGTTTAGAAAGTGGTGTTAGCTGTATTTGATCTGAGTGTTAATAACATCTTTTTAGTCCATTACACACATTTTTGGTCCATAACATTTTTCTGCTTTCGTATTGGTTTTTGAGTTATAACTTATAACCTTTATTAATAAAAATCGTGAATTTGATTTGTTTCTATTTTAAAATTTTGTAACGTGAAGTTACGATTGGTATGGCTATCAGATATGAAGTAATATGATGAAGTCTGCTTTGTGCAACTCTGTGTGTTAGTGCATAATTAAAACAATTTCATTAAATTTTAATAAATGTTTTTGGCGACATTTTTTCGTACTCCGCAATAATTTCTTGAAATAGAAATTTCCCTTTGTGTGTTTCCTGTATAAAAAGCTATAAAAACGGTTGAGTTCTAAATCAGCAATTTCTCACTCGGTTTTAGTACCTATTAGTTTCCTAATAAAAACTGCAAACAAGCAGTTAACGGTCGTATTGCAGGTTTTAGTGTTTATGAACTGTTTTGGAAGACTGGAAATAGTTCTTTTAAATACTTCTTTCTCTTCAGCTAAAGAAGGGTTCGAATTAGTACTCTGGTCAGCTTCGGAAAAGATCTGAATTTCTTATTAATGCACCCTTAATTCTTCTAAGACTGCATTTTTTTGATTAATAATTTAGGTTAAATTTTCCTTTGTGCGTTTCCTGTATAAAAAGCAATAAAACTCGTTGAGTTCTAAATCAGCAATTTCTCACTCGATTTTAATACCTAAAAGTTATCCAATAAAAGCTGGAAACAAACGGCTAACTGTGTTTGCAGTTGTTAGCGTTTATAAATTATTTTGAAAGAATGGCAATAGTTCCATAACCGCATTTTCTTGGCAGAATAGAATAGTGATTCTATGGTGCTATGTTAAATCAGAGTAACCTTGTAATATTTCTTTGGGCCAATACAAAACACAACGAAGATCCTTCCTCCTAAGAATTGCAATGTTAATATTAAGAAAGTGTTTGGAACCAACATAATTCTTACCAGAATGGTATAGAGGAGTCAAATTGAGGACTATGAAAAATCGGAATAATCAGATATAATAAATCAGATTTGAATTTCATTTTATGGCAAACAATTTATTTTCCCCGAAATTAATAAATATCTAAGAAAAATCAAGCTAAATCTTTAGCTAAGATTGTAGAGCAGCCTCAGCCTCACGCGAACTCTGCTAAACTCAGAATAAAGTTTATATGTTTGAGGTTGAGACGCTAAGATATTATCTATATATATATATATTTTATTGCGATATTGTTATATAAAAAGAAATTAAAAGAAATGTTTTTATTCTATATGGGGAATTTGTAACCACAAGTTAATAAAAATTCTTTCTTTAAAAGCTGCAAACAAGCAGTTAACGGTCTTATCGAAGTTTTTAACGTTTACTGAACTATTTTGCTTGAATGAAAAGAGCAATTTGGGTTATAAAACCGAAAAATGCGATTACTCCGGTGCAGTATTTAATGCGCGCTATAAAATAACTAAAAATACATTGAATTGGTACACTACCGTTGATTAAGATTTTTACGTCTCGCAATTCAGAATTAAATTCCATTCGTACAAACAATCCCATTTATATGTTTTCCATTCTGCATTTTAATTGTTTTGTTATTTCCATTTTCCAATAAATCTTTGGTTTTAAGAGTAACCAACTAAAATTTGTTATACCCGTCAAGATTGAAATGTAGCATTTTAGAGAGAGCGTGGGTGGTTTGGGAAAAGAAAAATATTCAAGTCTAACAATAACAGATTGGATTTCTTCATCACTCCAATACGCAAACGGAAACATGATAAACTTTTGCTGCGGTTTGTTTTTTTAAAAAATAATTTATTACACCGTAAGCACGTGAAAAAGTCTCAGAGAGAAAACGCATCTTACTCTTATTATCAACGGTTTATTATTTACTTTTAATGCGATATTAACTATCATACTTCCGGGTTAGAAAATAAACTTTTGACCCCGTCAGCTATTAAAATACAATCGTCTTCGTAACCTTTTAAGTAAATAGCTACGTTAATGTTAATATCGATATTAGAAATTGATAACCTTGGCAAAGTGAAAATAGCCAAAACGAGTTCTTCGAACACAACATCATAATAAACTTAACCTTACTTAAATAACGATAATTTAAACTTTTAAGAAACCTAGAAAAACTTTTTTTTTAACGCAAAAAAGAAACTCCTTATATGGATTTTTTTTAATACGAAATAATACTTATAAATAATGTAATGCGATGTAACAACGTTCTTCGTAACGCGAAACGCTACGAAGAAGTTACGCAAAAACCTCACGAAGTGATACTAACTAATAGGAAGTAATACAGAGGCAATAACGAAACGTTGCGAAGTCAACGTTGATACATGAGATATATATGAGTCACATTTCTAACTGCTGGGTTTTTAGATTTTCACGTGAACCGTACGTGATCACAATATTTCCTTGTTTTTTTTACCTTCAACATTATTATAAAAAAAAGTTAAATTATAAAATGTAAATAGTCTTTGTTTCAAATCACTTCTCTTATTGATTACGATTATATCTATCTTGACCATAATATATATTTATGCTCAGGTTGTAGTTAAAACAAAAATAAATGAATTTAATAAATATATAAACTGGTTTTTGACGTATTTGTCGATTTAATTATATTCAATTTGGTGACCTTGAGAACAAAGTAGAAAATCTCGTACTTGCGTATATTGATAACCAAAAAATCGTCTTGCTTTGAATGTTTATCGACACGTTTGTTCCCAAACAATAAAATTTTTATCAAAAAAAAATTTTAATCTAATCGAATACAGCAATACTGCGACGTTCGCTTTGAAGCGCCGCCCGTGTAATTTCTCGTGTATTAAATCGGCGACAAATCGAATCGACAGTAAATATTGTAATTGTAGATACAGTTAGTCGGAGAAAAACGGTTAAGTCTGGTCGGGCGTAATTTTTTTCTTGGATATTTCAGTTAGTTCTAGCGGTGAATTGGTTTTGTCGCTAAAACGCTTCGTCAGGGGACGACGCCAGGTAGCCTCCTCAAAGCTTTTTTTTTTCCAAAACGTCTTTTTGAGATAAGGACGACGGTTCCATTCATCTTATCTAAGACGTTTTCGAATCTACCTTCGCCCAGGTAGATTCTCTATTATCTTTTTTTTATTATTTTACTTGTTTCGGGACCTGCTATTCTTTTCTTTGTTGTCAAACCGACTCTTTTAAAGGTGGTAAAAACCTCCAAGGACAGGAACATTTCCCATCTAATTTTGTTCCGATTTTTTTTTCGAAAATGTTTGGAAATTTTGTATCTTGTTTATAAAAGTAACATCTGGTACTATTGTTATACGACATTTTTAGATATTTATTAATCATATCAAGAATGTTTATTCATCTTCTCTTGTTTATAGCACGTGCGTGGACGATGATGAAGCGTAACGCAAATTCCAACAAACTTTTTATTACTAATCGAAATTTTCTATTTTACGAACAAACTTCAATATGTTGTATGTGTATTCGTTTACTAAATTCGTTTTTAGGTTCGCTCTCTTGCGTTTTATTGGGGGGAAAAGTTATTTTTGGGTTGATTTTGCTTTTGGGGCACGTGGATGAGTGCCACGAGTCAACTTTTCGTTCAAGCAAAGAAAAACGTTTTCAGATAACACAATAAATATTTAAATCACTTAATACATAATTATTTGTACGTAATGTTTATTATGAATACGTTTTCTAATTCATGGTATTAAATAGGATGTTGTGGTGAGTCATTCGAGGGTTTTTACTCGTCATTCGTAGTTATTGATTTTCACAAAAATATATAAATATATTTTAGTATGAAAATTTTCGCTTTGTTCCTGATGATTAATTAATTAAGTAGAATCCGAAATCGGTTAAAAATACCGAGAATGTATTCCCTATAGTGTTTCTAGATGTATATAGCTCGAAATCAAACATTTTTAGCTCCAAGCTTCGTTGACAGTGTTTATAGAAGGATATAGCATTAATGGATCTGCCTCGGAAGCAAACGACCTCGGCTTAATTAGCTTCTTTATGGTCATTTACAATTGAAGAGTTAAAACATACATTAACCAGTATTGGGTATTAATTCCACTGCCTCGGTTGCAAGCAACCTCAGAATCAAACATTCTTAGCCCCAAGCTTAGCCGATAGTGTTTATAGATAGGGTTAATGGTTCTGCTTCGGCCGCAAGCGACCTCGGCTTAATTAGTTGAAACCAAATATTATTAGCCTAAAGCTTCGCCATTAGTGTTTGGAGTTGAAGAATCGCGAGTATATTTTGAATGAATGGCCAGAATCATAGTGTTAATGTATTTCTTATAATAATAAATAATAATAATATATAGATGTAATTAAAAATGATTTTATATGCAAATTCGATCAAGAAAACAAACGGAGTCTAAATGTAGTTTTGATGAGTCATTGAAGGGATGTTACTTGTCACGCGCAGTTGTTAATTTTGATGTAAAATTGACCCATATAGAAGTTTAAAAAAAGATTGTAAACAGTTGAATTTTTTTCGTAATATTGAGGTAGAAAATTGTTGATCATGCGCAGATATGATGTTAAAATAAAATCGGCTAAGAACGGCGGACGCGCGGCGACCGTTTGCGGTCAAAAATTACGTAATAACGCCTTTGTTGTTGCGCTTGGTATATTTAGAACGACGCCGGCGGTGGGGACGTTTATCAATTTCTAGCTACTATTTGTGAATGGAACGAAATGATTCATTGTCACGAAAATATCCTCTCTCTGAAAAGAACATGGCGCCAAGAGTTTCAGATGCTCGATCGTAACGTTTTGACGACGGCGACGATGTTCGACTTTCGACGCCGGTTTTAATGACGAATGCTATTGTTTTTAGATCTTACTCGTCGCGTCCCGTTATCTTCGCGACATAGATAACGTTATATGGAAACAATCGAGGTGTTTATGTTTTCGGTGAAGGTACGAGAAACGATTTCGAACGATGGAGATTAGTTTCTTTTTTTTTTGATTTTTCCTCGTCGCATCCACGGCTATATTTAGCGCCCGTTTCGGCCGTTTCAGTCTCCATGTCGGGCCTTTTTATTATCATATTTTTTCGGAATAGCACACCGCGGCCTGTCGTGTGTATTTTTTCGTAAATAGAGTGAGTTATTATTAATTTTGATCACGTATAAATAGCGATAAAATAAAAGAGTGGCAGATTGCCAGTAAATGGAGAAAAAAACGTTAAGGCGGGACCCAGCTATTTTCGACTACCCAACAGGAAATAACAACTTTACGAAGAAAGCCCAATAGATATATAGGCGCGCGTATTTACGCCGCACAGAAATAGACCGTAATATATCCAATATATAAATAATCTCCACTTTTAACTTGCCCTATCTCGGTTATAACACTTACAACTTCTTCACTTTATATAGAATTATATTATGATTTAACCATCAGGAATTACAAGATTTTCGGTCAAATTTCATTTGGCAGTATGTTTATATACAAATAAAACTAACCTCAATTTAATTTAAAAAAACGTAAATAATAACATCAATCTTATTAAAGTTAGTTTAGTTTAAATTAGTTTTTTGTAAAAACTTTTTTCACAAGAATGGAATGCTTCTAGAAGGTTTCTTCTCGTTTCTTTACAGTCATATCACGCGCACGACGACATGGGAAGACCCAAGGAAGACCCTGGCCACTCAGGCAGCCGCACAACAACACCAAAGCGCCGAGCAACTGTTGACAACGCATCAAGTAACATCTCCAACGCAAACAAACAGTACAGGTATAAAAAAATTCTTTTCAATAAAATGTTCTCATTAGTAGTTAGTTATGTATCGAGGTAATCTTTTTATTACTTCGTTATATCAGCAAATATAATTTTTTAAATACTTACACTTACTTTTATAAATACTTATTATTTTTTTTCATTAATTTTTTATTAAGTTACAATTACATAATTTATATATACATTTACATTGTCCACTATTTAAAAACATATATTTGAGATTTGAAAATTAGATATTAAAACATTGCAATATAGCATTATTAAGAAGCCGAGACAGCTGAGTTGCCAAGGCAGTGGTTCCAGTATTTGAAAAATAGATAATAAAACATATCAATGGAGTATTACTTATAATCCGAGGCAGTTGGGCTGTCGAGGCAGTGGTTGTAGTATTTGAAGAACAGATATGAAAACGTATGAATACAGCATATTGAGAAGCCGAGGCAACTAACTTGCCGAGATGGTTCCAAAATTTGAAAACTATATATTAACATATCGCAACACAGCATTATTAAGAAGCCGAGGCAGCTAAGCTGCCAAGGCAGTGGTTCCAGTTTTTGAAAAACAGATAATAAAACATATCAATGCAGTATTACTTATAAGCCGGGGCAGTGGTTGTAGTATTTGAAAATAGATATGAAAACGTATGAATACAGCATATTAAGAAGCCGAGGCAATGGTTCCAGAATTTGAACACTATTTATTAAAATATCTCAATACAGTTATGAGCAGCAGTATTTGAGAGCTGCGGCTAAGACGAAAAAATTAAATGTTAATTAGTTATATCAATTTTTTACAATTTTCTTGATAAGTATATCGAAACAAGTTCAAAGAATAATATTTTTAATATCAATCCTTGCCATTTTTTACAATAAATTATCAGATCTTATCATATTGAATGATCGTATCAAAAACAATCTAATTTTTATTTTGTGATTATTAATATAAAATTGTTGAATTTTCGGTAGGTGTAAATGGAAGTTCGGACGTAGAATTAGGACCATTGCCGGAAGGATGGGAACAAGCACAGACGTCAGAAGGTGAAATATATTTTATAAACCATCAAACGCGCACAACGTCATGGTTCGACCCAAGAATACGTACGTTTTCATTTCTCTTAACAAATATTAACTACTTGTGCATGTCTTTTCGTAGTGAGCGGGGTCATGGGGACCAAAGTCCGAGTTTAGTCCGAGCGGACCGTAAATGTCGATTGATCTTCGGTCGACTTTCGGACCTTAAAAACCCGTCGTTTATTTTTGTTTGTTTTTGTTGATCATTTCTTGTTCATTATTTCTTGTTGATCATGTCTTGTTAATTATTCCTTGTTGATCATTTCTTGTTAATTATTTCTTGTTGATCATATCTAGTTGATCATTTCTTGTTGTTTCATGTCGCCGAAATTTAAAAAATAAAACTTTTTGGTCCGCTCTGCGACAAATCTTCAACATCTTTCTACTTTTTTGACTAGCTAACACACTTATCTTCAACTCTTTATATTTATTTATTTATTTTCTACTTTGGAGATGGGGAAAACGTTAACACGCTTGGAATGCATTTTATACTCACAGAAATATGGTTGTGGATAAGTATTTATTTAGTTAATTTATTTAGGGGGATTTTGGGTGCAGTAATTAAAATTGCAGTGAAATCTGTCTTTAAAGAATTTTGTTATCGCTCGATTTTATTTTTTTTTAATTATGGAATGTGTGAAATTCTTTAAATAGCAAGTTCAATTTCTAAACGTTTGAGATAAGAAAGCAATTCGATCTAAAATCTCGTTTTAATTTTTTTTAAGCAATAAATGGAATTAATTTTCTATAAATACAAGTTGGTGGGAAACGGTTTATTAAACTTTTTTTCAATGCATCCTACGCAATTGTGGTCATAAAAAAATAATAATTACAACGGTTAAAACGCGTTGAAAGCGTTCATAAAAGACTTCGCCGGTCTTAAACAATTATAGATATTAAGACTTTATAGTTATTAAGACTTTATAGATGTTAGGGTTTTATGAGCGTTTAAAGCTTGAATGGATTTATTCATGAATCGATTTAATGAATGACAAACGTTTGAGGTTTCGAAATGTTTGTAGTAATTGTATAAAATTGATTTTTATCGTTGTGTGATAGATTTCACTGCAGATTTAAAATTGAAAATAAAACAGATCAAGCTGAAAGAAAAGTTGCCCTTTACAGGTATGTGGGTTGATTCATTAGTAGCGTTTAGAGCCATTGTCAAATTTTTATAAGAAGCAGGTAAAGACTTAAAATAACAGTATAACTATTTTATAATAGTCTTTGTGTTTCTTTATTTGTTAAACCATCCGTGCTAAATCATGTTAATTAAGAAAACTGTATTTTAAAGAATATAATTTATTAATTATAGCCCAACACGTGCAACGTTCGCAAGTGCTCGGAAATCAATGGGTACAAGGTCCAGTTTCTCCCCAATCCCGATGCGACAAACAATCAAAATTGCGTTTGCAACTACTCCAAATGGAACGTGAACGTTTGAAACAACGGCAGCAGGAAATACGAAGGCAGCAAGAGTTGATGATGCGAGGAAGCAGTACCGAATTGCAAATGGACCCGTTCTTATCCAGTTTTACCGAACATACTCGTCAGGAATCGGCCGATAGCGGACTGGGTATGTACTATTTTGAAACACACCAACAGCAATAGATGTCTACAACATGTAAGCTCTGTTTGCGCTCGATTTTTATACTATAACATTGCGGTCTCTATCTGTTAAGGTATGGGAACGACCCTCTCGATGCCGCAGACACCCGAAGACTTTCTTGAGAACATCGATGATAACATGGAGGTGAGCAGCGACAGTCACACGATGGATACACCGGATATTTCTCTCAGCGAGAACATCGATTCAACAGACGACCTCGTGCCCTCGTTGCATCTTGGCGAGGAGTTTCCGAACATAGAGGACGTCCAATCGTTGATAAGGCCTGAAAATCTTATTTGGTTGTAAAACTTTATTTTTTTTATATTCTTTCGCGTCCTCTCCCGTCGCTATATTTCCGTCGATCAACTCTTCTTCTCATTAATTTTTTTTCTAAGAGCTTTTTATTTTTCTCTTTTTTATTTTCTATTTTCGACGCATGATACATATTGGAAACTCGTACACGGTAAGTTTACTACATTTTATTTCTACGGAAATGACGATATATTTTTTATTTTGATACCTTTTATTCATTATTTTTTTAGCGAAAATATATCGCCCTTTCTTTTATAATTTAATAACTTAAATAAGAAAAAAATATATGTATATACAGGTTGGAGGAAAGTCTAAGAAACATTCAATTATTTCAAAAAAATCCTTTGTTATCTATACTCTAATATTATCTCTTAGGTTTTAAGGTTTAAATTATCTTTAAGTTTTAAGTTTGCTAAATTAACTGGGATTTTTTCCGGTTAATTTAGAACCCAAAACAAACCTTTAAATCACTTTTACTTATACATTAAAACAATCAAATGATCTCCACTGTTCAAAAAATTTTTTTAGATGTAAATATTGAGAATATATTTATACAAAAAAAATTTTATTTTTTTTATATTTTACAAAATTGAAGCGAAGTTGTAAATATTTGTTAAAAAGAAATTATTATTTTGCGGCATAAATCTGCCTTTTAATAATGTGATAGTAATATAATGAAAATCAAACGAGTACAAAAATTATTCAAGATCACAAAGATTGTTGATATGTATAAAATGGTTATTCTCAAGAAATTATTTTTATTCTTATCAAGGTACAAAAATTAATTACTAAAATTGTTTGAACTGATTGAGTGTTTCTTTACTCTGCTACATCTTCGTATGTAAATATTTGTTGAGATTATTATTTAGAAAAATTCATTGTAAGTGACCAATCAAAGTTGCAATCATAAGCAATCAAAATATATTTAAAAAAACGAAACGGTAAAGTAATACGCTTCTAAAAATGCAATAATAATTAATAATCGATTTATACACGATGTTAACAAATAATTGTTAAAGTTCTATATTCATATAAAAATACGTCGCGACATACATATTTATGGAAACGTTATTTTTTAATGTTGGGTATGTTTATCATACATTTTATAGTTTGTAACTTTTTATCTTAGTTGTTGTAGTATATAAAATTAATCGAGATTTAGAAGCTCCAATCAAAACGAAAACGAAAAAAAATCAAAAAATTATTTTTTCTCGTAATTTATTTTCTTATTTTTTTGTCCCGTTTAAAAAAAGAATAATAGCTATTAAATGAATATGCCGAGCCTCTTCGTTCTGTGATTAGACGGAATATAAAACCTTTTTTGAAAAATCGCAATAATGCCGAATTAAAAAAGAAAGAAATATTGAGTATTATAAATATATGTATACACATTTATAATTATATATTTACATGTTAGTAGTTGAGCGTATACGGTTTTCGTATACGTTTTTTTAGCTGTTTTTTTCATTTTCTCATTTTACATTTGTTTTTCTTTTGTAAGTTATTCAACGGCACGCCCTTCTCCTGATAGGAAAAGACGCGCGGCTGTTACGAAAATGAATCAAAATTAACTTTTAAAAAGTTTTTTATAATAACGTACACACTTTTTGAAAAAAACACTGTCGTTTATGCTCACAACGTATAACAAATCCATCCATATGAGGTGCCTTTACATTTTTGTAAATATATTGGACAATATATTTTGTAATCGTTAGCGTTAACTAATAATATACATTTATTAAAAAATGAATTAACATTAGGAGTGCCTTCAACACTTAAAAAAATAATTTAAAAAATCTTTACAGTAGATTTTATGTAGTACTAAGCAAGTTTGACAGCAATGATATTTTTACCATAATTTTTTTTATATAAATATATATATATTGTGTAAATTGCATCACCGTCGTGTTATGGTTATGCAATTTTTTTTATATATATGTTTTTATGTTTGGAACAATTATAGGCAGTGAACAATAATAATAATTATTATATTAAAAAAATTAAATGCTGAAGCGATACAAAACTTCTTTCTAAACCGAACCACTTTCAATAAAAAAAATTTTGTTCGGTTCGATTTAGCGAGTGAGGTCTAAACGCGTTTTTTTTTCTTTTTTACGATATAAATTGTTCTTTATAGTTAACAATTAATCGGATCAAACGAGACGGTTGTTCTAATTTTTTTTTCTCTGTATATTCATATTACATATACTTGTGGTGAACTATATCCGTGTTTGTAATGTGCAGTATCTTTTTAGGGCCTTACTTGTATTATATTATACATCTGATTTTATTATGTACATTTTGATAAGTTAACATTTTACTCATCTAATTTTATTTTATTTTTTGTTTTGATTTATTATTTTTTTTTTCGTCTGCAGCTTAGCAATGCTGCAAATCCCTAAATATTTTTCTTACATATTTTTTTTCTCTCCTGATATTATGTATGTAGTAGCCATGTAATGTAAATAAAATACAGAATTTAATTTATCGTTGTATTATTTCATATAACCAACCTTTATGGCGTCAATTGTCTAATAATCTAATCTTTTATTCTTCCGGATATATATGTAGACTTACAAAAAATTAATTTTAGGCAAAAATGCCTCTTTAGATCATCATTTCTTCTTCATAATTAATAATACATTTTTAAACTCTTTTAATGTTAAGGAAGGCAATGATGAAATTTGGAGATATCAAGACGATATTAAGAGATAATGGAGATGTTGAAGCAGGTTAAGTATCGAGAAATGTTAAAAATTTAGTTTATTATCAAGTTGATTTTTGCAATTTGAGGTCTACAGCATATTAGTCATCGGTTGATAGAGGTAATCTGGATAAATATCAGAAGCCTTCATATTTATATTACAACATTAAATTCATGAACCATAAGATTTAAGAGTGTATTAACTCATCCGTTTACATAACCACGTTTAAAAAATTATTTATATCAACAACCACAAAAATATACAATGATACATAAAATGTTTTCAGTACTTGTTTGCCTCGGCTTGAGATGCTTCAAATTGCTGCGTAAATACATATTTTTGTCGATATTTACACATCTGGGAGCAAAAGGCAAAGAGTTAGTTAAATATAATTTTGGTATATACCCTAATTAACAATATTTGGCGGAAATAAGACATGTGAAAAGACTAAGATCAGTAATAGGAACTGGTTCTTAGGTTGGTAGTTAAAAATTGGACTTGCATTAAAAACGATGATGAATTCTATCGATATCAAACTTTAAAAGAATATTATTTCATAAATAAAATGTCTCTTCTCCATCAAAACACCATTTGGATATCTAAAAAAAATATAAATGAAGACCCAATTATCATAAAGACCAAATTATCATAAATAAACAATGGACATATTGGAAGACAAACTTCTTTATCTTCTTTGACTTTTATGTTCGTTATAAAAGCAATGATAAAAGCGTTTAATAAAATCATTTAGATTAGATATTCGCATCCATTTCCTTTTCATAGCCATTGTTAACCCACATAATTCCTGATTATATTAATTGCTGATATTAACAAAAAAATGAGAAATTTTGTTACTGTTTTATTTCGATTTCAAAAAAAAAAAAAGAATTATTACACTTATCTTAAAATCTATAACTAACTAACCTAGTAACAAGGCACAGCAAGCGTACTCATCAGTACTGATTAAAAAAATGTACTTACTAAGGACTACGCAAGTTGGTTGAGTGTACAAAAGTAGTAAGGAAGAAATTAAAAAAAAATTGTAAAAAATGAGTCTTAATAACCGTCCAAATCTCGACGTTCCCGTTCGACAATTGATTATTATCACCGAATGCACATAATAATAATAGCAATTTTAAAATAGTAATTGTTGAAATATAATATAAAACGTAAAACATGTGTGAATCAAAAGACAGCTTAGTTTTAACAAGATTTATTTTTCGATTCGAAAATAATCACAATCGAATATGCGTGAAAAAGTTTCTTCTCCTAACTGCAAAATAGAAAATGTCAATGGTAGTTTTTTTCGGAAAAATACTGTTAAAAATTTTTTCCTAAACAGTTTCTATTTCATTTTAATTTTTTTTATTGCTATTGAGGTCCTATAAAAATATGGACATATATACAAGATGGCTTTTAAAAAAATACTTTCAGTTAACAATTTGCACAGAATCGAACGTGGTAAAAAAGAAACGATGGAACAGTCTTAATTTATTTACACGATAGACGTCTTACACTTTGTCAGAGGTATTCGAAATAGGCTCTATTCTCGACGTCTAGGCTTTTTTATTATTTTCATTTTATCCAAGGCAGTGGGTTAGGTACTCAAAAACAAAACTTATTGCACAAAACACAGAGATTCAAAAAGAAAAAAAAGTAATAACAATTAAAACGAGATGAAGAAGACTACCGATTTGTTTTTTTGCTTTTTTTTTTGTTTGGTTCATTATTATATGCATATCTGTGGGAATAATAAATGGAACCCATTAAGTACATTTAGGAACGTATTAATTACTCCCTGACTTGAATTTTCTTTTAACGTTTCTCGTTCCCCCTTTAATTATTCTTTTAAATTAATTAAAATAAAAAAAACAACACAATCCCATGACGTGTGATGATATAAATACTGACTTTCCGAGAGAATTATTTCGGTGGCACTAAGAACTAGAATTATATTTGGCTAATGATATTAAAAACTATCGAAAATAACAAACGATATAATAAGAAATAGTATTTAAGATAGCACGAAAGAAACAAATCTTTTTTTTGTCAAGTTTTTTTTTTTTTCAATCTTTCGATTTCTTTTTTTTTCCTTAATTTTTTGAGCACCGCAAAGGAACCACAAACATTGCTCAAAAGTTCTGCTGTCGTTTGCGTTTCGTATCCATCGCTTCCAAGATAGGTTGTCTTTTAGTTTGATATCGTCTTCTTAACTCGTCTATTTCCCTCTCCATTTCTGCATCTAATATCGCCATTCTTTGTTGTAATTCTTCGTAACTCAAAAATTTTAACTATAATAAGAAAGTTAATCGTTATTTTAAATGTTTTTATTACATATTCAAACTCTTTATACAAGAATAGGTTGAGTTTGATAAGGATTGATAAGATTTTAGTTGTCATAACAGATATTTTGACTACTGCTGGAGATGTGACAAAGTTGTAGTAAAACATGAAAACTCGAAGAATATCTTATATAACATTTTTGTCACATCTCCTGCAATAATAAAGATATTTGCTGTGACAGCTAAAATCAAACACACTGTATAAGAAAGTAATGAATTTAATACTTACAAATTCAAAATCGCCATCTGAAAATGGTCGTTGAAAATTTGGTCGTACTTCCGGTTGTTGAACCGCTTGAGGGGATGGCACTATTTGTAAATGAAAGTGACTTTGAAACCTTTGTTGTTCATCGGCGTTAACATCACCGGTGCTGTCTAATGTTTGTGGTGTCGTGACGCCGTTACCCTGTTTAATTTCCGCTTCTTTCTTATCAAAATGTTCTAGAAATAGTGGTCTGTATTTTTTTCCTTGTGCTGAACCAGTATCGTGTCTTTTCATTGTTTGTTCGTCTACATCATTATTTATCACCATTGTTCCTAAATCCGATTGTAGTTCAACCAAAGTACCGCTAGGTGACATATTAACTAATGTTCCTCCTTTACTAGGAATTAATGTACCATCATCCGTACAATTAACCATCGTTTGGCTGACAGCTAAATCTTCATCAGATTCTTCATTAGTATTTGGTTTAGCTCCGATAGCAATATTAGTATTGCGGTGTTGATTTTCTCGGATTAAATGCGCGTCGGCTATCATTGTGCTAAGAATATTTGGAGCTTTTGCGTTACCGATAAATTCATGCTGAAGAAGATCTGTGGCTGTAGCTCGTTGATCTGGATTTTTAACCAAACATAAACTAACAAAATCAATAAATTCAGGGCTCCATTTGTCCGGTTCGCGAAATGATGGCGGTGGTTTTGTTGGTATCATAAAAATAGCTCGCATTGGATGAATATCGCCATAGGGAGGTTTACCTTCCGCCATTTCTAGCGCTGTTATACCTAAACTCCAAATATCCGCGACACAATCGTAACCAATTTCTTGAATAACTTCTGGTGCCATCCAGAACGGTGTACCAATAACGGTGTTTCTTTTAGCCATGGTATCAGTTAATTGTCCCGCAACTCCAAAGTCGGCAAGTTTGGCATGTCCCTCAGAATTTAATAAAATATTCCCAGCTTTAATATCTCTATGTATCTTCCTCCGCAGATGTAAATATTCTAAACCTTTAAGTGTATCACATAAAATGGTTGCAATCTCGTCTTCGCTTAACGTTTTCTTTCGTAGGCGCATTATATCCGATACAGAACCAGCTCCACAATATTCCATAACAATCCAAAGGTCGGTGTTTTTGAAGTAACTCCCATAATATTTCACAACATACGGACTGTCACATTGTTGCATTATAGAAATTTCTTTTATTATTTCTTGGAGGTCGGTGTCTACAGGTACTTGTTTAATTGCAAGCACCTGTCCGGATTCTTTATGTAAAGCTTTATAAACGCTCCCGTAGGAGCCCTCACCCAACTTACATATTATATCAAAAACCTCTTCTGGTTGTCTCGTCAAACTCTCTTCAGATAACTTTTTCAATTCACTAAAAATTAAATAGAAATACCAATAATACACATCTTTCTCAAGCTTAGTATTTTATCGTTAACCAAAATAATTTACACCGATAGGTTCAGAATTTCCTCTTTGGTTACATTATACGAAAATTGATAATGTGTCGTTTGGCGATTATACCGTTGCCATTGTTCCGATATTACTTACCTTTTGGAAGACATGATCGGTTCTGGGTGTAACGTCATTGAAAACAGACTAATACGGCCGAGATAGACATTATTTTTATAGTTTTCCTATTGTAAATAAATTTAGAAAAATCTCGTTGCACACTCCATGTTGTCCAGCGCTCTGGTTTTGACAAATGGCACCAATTGGTAAAACAATGTTAAAACAGAATTCTACAATTGTGTACATACAGGTTTGATACTGCACTAAATTTATTTCTTGTTATTGGGGTTGCCTACGTTTATTTTTAATAGTTACTGATGAATAAATTGGGCGACACTTTTATAATATGAAGGGGTCAGGAGAAAAAAGTGCCAAGCATCATGTTTGTTGTTTTGAGATATAGCAAGTTGAAAGTTTGGCTAAATCCATAAATAACATTTTAGTGCAGACAACAAACCAAAGTTTTTTAATACAAAGGTCATGTATCTATATACCGTTAAAAGTGAAGATGATTATAAGATAAAAATGGTTGTATAGAAAAATATGCACTGAATAATGTTGCTTGGCATTTTTTCCCCAAAAATAAAAGACATTAGGTTTGTTTGTACTTTTATTAAAACACACACTGTCATCGACAAAAAATACTCTTAACCAAAAAGGTACTTTTCAAATAGGCCTATATTACCACAACATCTTCCTTTTGGTCGTCTACTTCAGCGGAAGACTGTAGGCCATTGTAATATCCATGGTAGATGGGAGGAATGTATTGCATCAAGGATTTGACATCATCTTTTTAAATGTAGTGCTGGAATAGAACTCCTTCCACGTTTCTTTATGTTCAACACTAAAAACTCTTCGTTCATCAACTGTTTGAGTTTCATTTGAAAAGGTTCTTCGCTGTCAAATTTAAAGCAGATAGCTTTGGAAAATCGTGGAGGAGTAACACCATCTGTACAAAACTTGCTTTTTGTGTTAAAGTAGGTCTCTTGCACCCTAGACAAATCGAGGAAATCCTCACTCATCATGCATGTTACGATGAAGTTCAGTGTTTTGTTCCACACTTTGCTACTATCTCTCTCCATTGCCCAGGACTGTACACATTTTCTACACTTTTCTATTTTTGAAAAGTCACGGTCTGATGGAAGATAAGTATGCCCAGTTATCAGGAAGTAATGTTCTATTGTTTCAAAACGTTTACTAGCTACAAGGTGTGACCAAAGCGACATTATGTTCCAATTTTTATTTTGTCCTCCGCAGTTGTCGGTAAATATTACCAACTTCTTTGCGTGGACATTTGCTACTAATAAGTACTTTACAATACAGCTTCCTATTTCATCACTACCCCTTTTTCCAACTGATTCATCCCACATGAACATAAAACCTTGTCCAGAAGTTAAGGATACCTACGTTATAGGTCCACAGTTTCCTGCAGTAAAATGCAGGTCCACATGACAGTTTTGGTGTAGGGAGGGTTTGTTGCTAAATAATTGGGATCGCTGTCACTGTCATCAAATTCTTCATACAAGTCTTCTAGGTTTTCATAATAATCTTTAAGATTTCTAACACATTTCCTCTTTCCCTCCATTTCTCATGAGGAGCTTGACACTGTCTTCCCCAAAACTTTGCAAACAACCAGTTGAGGTAATAAAATGCAATGCAAATACAGAGCAATCTAACGGCAATAATTGAAATCTAAACAGTGCTGCTTGTAATTTGTTCAATTTACTCATAGACAGCACTGCTAAATTCGGTTAGGCCAAAATGATGCTTGGTACTTTTTTCTCCCGACCCCTTCATATTTCATACACATAAAAAAAATACATGTAATATTTTGTAGCATTTATTTTAAGATAAAATCAATTAATCGCACGCCGTGGGTCCATCGCCTACACAAGCAGCAAAAGCCATGGTATGAGGAATAACGTTTTGTTGGATAACGCCCGAAAAGAGATGGGCCCATGGTCCACTGGCAAAAACGCCAACATCATCACCACCATGAGTTTCAGAACCTAATGGAGCCAAAGCGGGGAATTCATAATTTTTATCATCTGTAAAAAAATACGATTAAAAAATTACTTTTTCGTGATTTTTAGACTTTACTTGTGTTATCATTAGATACATCGTATCTGGCTCCGTTGACATCATTGCGATGTCCAGGTCCGTTTCCGTAAGAAAGAGTTAAATAAGGAATACCATCAGATCCTTTTCCACCGACACCAAAGATGTTATTTCCTCTATTAGCGTAACCATTGACGTTCATAACGTGGGCATGATCGGATGTAACGACGATAAGGGTGTCTTCTTCGCTGGTGATATCTCTAGCTCTTTGAATGGCTTTTGAAAATTGGACTGTTTCATCTAAAGCTTTATGAGCACGAGTGTCATGGTGAGCGTGATCGATTCTGCCGCCTTCAACAAACAAGAAGTAACCATCGCCTTTCTTTGAAAGCAACTCAATAGCAGAAACTGTCATTTCTTCTAAGGAAGGTTCTTTATCCGTGGTTTCCAAGTTATAAACGCAATGACTGCTTTCGAAGAGTCCCAAAATTTTTGATGTGTTTGAAGGAAGATTCAAAAGATCGTCTCTGTTCCAAACGTAATGAGCGTTGTCTCCATTAATATCTTTCCATTCTTCAATAAGGTTTCTTCCATCTTGTCTTTTCCCTTTAGAACCTTCTTCATCGGTTAAAGTATTTGGTATGAAAGCCCTTCGGCCACCTCCGAGGATAACGTCGAAATTTTTTCCAGTTTCGCCATGAATAAGTTGATCTGCTATATCTGGACAAGCAGCCGGTCCATCACCATAAGCTTCCCAATCTCTATTAGCTGTGTGCGCATAAGCACCAGCTGGAGAAGCGTGGGTTACTCTTGTTGTGGTAACAATCCCAGTTCTCTTCCCTTGTTCTTGGGACCATTTTGCTATGGAATAAACATGAGTGGATTCGTCTAAACTTGCGTCACAATCACTTTTTGTTACTCTCCCATCAACACCGATTGTTCCATGGATTGCTTTTACGCCGCATAAATATGCGGTTGCTGTACATGCCGAGTCAGGTACTTGAGTATTTAAACAATATGTCTTAAGGAAGAAACAATAATATGTATGTATATAAAATAAATAAAAAAATAATTATTTACTTTAGATAACCCTGAATATGGGAATTCCTCGAATGATAATGGAACACCTTCTCCATCGAATCCTCCAATTTGTCCATTATAGACTCGTGCCGCTTTTAACGTGGGGATTGACATCCCATCACCGAGGAACATAATAATATTTTTTGCGACATCTTAAAAAGAAATTTTTTTTAAATATTTTTAAAGAACAACATGCGGAGCAATACTCGTATTTATTGGTGTATTAAGTTTCTTCTTAATCGTTTCTTTTGCTAGATCAGTCCAATATTTAGCATTGGTTTCTTCTGGGATGATAGCGTAAGGTCCTCTGCTTATTGGTTCATAAGAGTGCATGTAAGAGTCATCTAAATGAAGTCAGTTTGATAAAAAGAAAATTAAATAAAAATAATAGTATTTACCATCCTCTAAATGTTCTTGAGGAATAATATTTGCGAGTGTGCTAGCAAAAATAGCGATGAGTACAACTGTTAGCTTACCCATGGTGATTCTGATTAACATACATCGATTACCTCTGTATTTATACCGAAGTAACTCCAAATAAGTCGATCAAAAATCACCTGATAGTAAAAATATGAAGATGTTTGATAAGATATCAGAATTTTTTTCATCACGTTTGGTGAATTATCACGTGCACGAAATAAATCTTGTGTAGTAAGTCTTGTACACTATACCAAAATTTACGACTTTGATGTCAAAAACTTATCTAACACGTGTTATTACGTTATTGCGACTATTTAATTTCTTTTATCTTCGTCGCAGATCAGTTTATTAACTTACTAAAGTGGCCAATATTTTTAATCTTGATTGTACTTTAAGCTACTTGTCTTTTGTATTGTAAAACGTTTAATTTTAGACGTTGATTTTATTACTATAAGAAATTTAACGATTATTGCCTTTTTAAATATTTTTTTATTTAGAACGAGAAAACATTTTACAAAAAATAGGAACTTTTAAATAAACACAAACTAACTTAAATTACAAGAAAAATCGAACTTATAACACAAAAAATATTGCACAAAAGCAATTACGACTATTTTTTTTTGTCAGATTTAGAACTTAAACTATAATCACAAAAATGACCGAGATCGTGCAAAACTAAATACGAGAGAACGTAAAATTAAATTGAACTGAAACATGGATAAGTAATGTTTTTGATTATTCCTTCTTTTCTTTTCTCTTCAAAGGTCCCAAAGAAACCGAGTGACTTTCAATGTGGGAGAAATCGTAGTTGGGGAATTTTCTCATAAGTATTTCGTAGAATCTTACTTTGTAACAAACCATAGCCACAGCTCCAGGTTCAAGTGATAGTGACTGAAAAAGTAAATGTTGCATTATAATTAATTACAAAAACTTTATTCCGAGATCGCTTAAAAATTGATACTATTTGACTCAAAACTGGTCAATCCAGAATGGAGAAAGCAGGATTTAATCACATTAAGTCGACGTCGCTTGCGGGCGAGTCTCCACAATTAATACTATTTGAACTAAAAACTGCTACCTGCTACTTCGTCTATCAAATTTATCAAGTGATTTTTAATTTTGAGTTACAAGTTGAGATTTGAATTACGAATTTTTTAAAAAATAACATATTTTAGCTCGTAGCTAGTAAAATCAAAAGTTTAAGTGTGGTAATAGAAATGAATCTCACATCGCAAACAATAACAATAAGGCCTGTTTTGATTAAGGAGTTCTGTAGTTCCGAACAGTTCTGAATCTTTCCGCACATACGTGTAATATACAATACGTATGCGCAGAAAACTTGAGAACTGTTCGGAATTACAGAACTCTTGAACCAAAATAGGCCTTATCAGGCCTTATGTTATTGTTTGGTTTTTGAGATTGGAATCTATGACGTTGATTTATTTCATATATATACTATCTCCTATATCGCTGACTCCCTATCTAAGCAATGAGTGGCGAGCATTTCCATCAAAAGCAGACGGAATGATATATGTTTTGTCTTTGTCGTGCCTCCACGTCGCGAAGGCGCTTGCGCGAATCGTAAATTTTAAAGAGTTTGAAGTGTTTCGCGCGTATTTTATGCAGCTTTGAAATGGAATTATTGTAGATAGTTGACTTTAATTATAAATTATCGTAGATGCATCAAATAAATTAGAATATATGTACTTTTGTGTGAAATTGACGTGGAATATTGCTTTAAATATCAACTTTATGTAGGTTGTTCATTAAACATTATATTCTTTACTTTTAACAAATTTTCTTCACTTTCTTAACAAATAATAATTACATTTTAAATTGCTTAGTCCTAAAATATTTTAATAATTATGTTATTATACACATGAAACCTATAATATACATAACTAAATATTTAGATTTTAGGTTATGTTTATGTCAAACATTTATTTGGTGTTTTATAAACATCAAGGTCATCAGCTGCTATTAATTTTTAATTTACCGTCCAATAAGATAAAAGCGTACTCACCACGTGTTCACGCATGTCTCTTGTGTAGACGGGGGCACGACAGAGACAGATATATATATATCTGCACTCTGGTGTTTACACTCTTTTGCTGCCTTAGTCAGCGATATAGGAGATAGTATATATATGATTTATTTATTAATTAAATACTTTCACGTTGAATAATTAATGAATTAAAGGAATTAAAACAGTTAAAATAATACTTGAACTAAAAGGTAAGGTAAACCATAAACTTAAATGAATAAGTTTGTGAGGTTATGTTTGTAAAACTTTTAAACGATAATAAATTTTAATTCATAATAATTAAAACTTACCGAATAATATGAATAAGCATTCATTAAGGCGTGCATCAAATCAAAAACAAATTCATTAATATATTCGTATGTTGCAGAAGTTACTTTTTTCCGAATCGTCTTTATACTTGCGGGAACCATAACTGTATCAATGGATCCAGTGTAAGCTAACAGCGTATTCAACTCGTCGGTTTCAAAAGTGTCCAATACTTCTTCGAGAGTGACGTATCCCGCCATGGTAAGTCCTCCACCTTCGATTTCAAAAACTTTTTCAGGTTTGAATGCACGTGCAACTTGTCCAGCTGCAGCTAAATTCGAGAGATCTTGATCTGGAACTCTTGATTGTGGGATTACTATTCGAGACTCGGTTCTTTGTGGGAAGTGTACCACTGGGTTTTGTGGCGTATTTAGCTCGAACGGTGCGAACGATTCTAAATTTTGTTCCAATATTTCTTGTATTCCCGGCTCATTAGGAATATGTACACTGGGTTGTGGAGGTGGCACACTCACAGATGGAGGTGGCGTTGATTGAAACGTATTATACACTAAAATTTTATTATTGTAGAATAAGGTTGTAGATTATGAAATGTGATACTCACTATAACGAGATAATTCTTCGAAATAAACCGGATCACCGTAAGGAGGGATGTTGCCGCTACCGGATTCTTCCACATAAGGGACGGTTTGATCGTTACCAGAGGATTGACCATAAAGAGATGGGTCGATGTAATGAGAGGGATCGACATAATGCAAGGAATCACCATATGTAAGGTTTTGATCATATTGAGAAAGTTCTCCATAATGAGAAGAGGTTGCATCATACTGAGAGGTTGATGGCTGCGACATGTGCATCCATGAATTGTCTTGCGGGAGAGGTTGGAAGGTGTTATAACTTAAATCTGAATGTCTTCTGAAAGGAATGGATTCATCCTTTTTAACTAAATCTTGTTCTGGAACTGCACCAGCATAGCTCATGCCGCTGGAACTTGACGAACTAGAATCTGTTCTTTTGTGTTGATTGTAAGCTTTTAATACTGTGATATCTGTATCCTTATTTTCTTCCGGTACATCTAAACGGTTTGGTTCTTCACTCTCAGGTTCGTTTTGGTTATCTTTTGAGTGTGCAGATTCGTTATCCGAAATATTTTTAAAAATTGATAATGTGTGAAGAAGATCACCAGTACCCATCGAGCCGAGCAAACTTTGAGGAATTGGTAGACCAAATTGGTCCACATACTGTTGTTCAACATATTGCTGGTTTGCAAGTTGCGGGTCAACAGATTGCTGGGGTGTTGGATAATTTATTGCCGAACTCACAGGAGGTGTCTCTTGTTGCTCCTCATTCCAAGCCCTCTGATACTGCATTTGTGCTTCGACAGTATTATTTATTAAGCAGAACATGCGCATAAGAAAATATGTTAAGTCCCTGCTACTCCCTTCCCACTGTTGGAAGCAACGACTAAATCCGCAGCCCAAGGCTCTTTCGACGTTTCCTAAAGATCCTGGGCGAAAACCAACATATTGTCGCAACAAGTTCCACGTATTAATCAAACGAATAAATGCATATATAAAATCTTTGGTTATCCAAGATAACCCCTATTTTTATAAATAAAGTATAAAAAAAAATAAAATTAAAAAAAAATTAAATTTTTAAACAATAATGAAATATTAAATTAAAAATATGGATTACCTGCGTATGAATATTAGATATATTGTTATTCGGTAAAAGAATATCACAGCGCGTGTTAGCACATAAACTTTGAATATTTTTAAAGCACGGACGCATTCGATTTTTGCGTGCAATTTCTTCAGCAACTCGACAACCGTACTCTAATAATTTTAGAAACTCGTCTGGTGATATATCAGCTAATTCTCGGAGATCTCCAGTTCCCTACATGATCATAATCATTTTTATATAAAAATACATATACAATGTGTTTGATACTTGGGCAGATTATTTCTTCTATCACGAACAATACCATTAACAACATTATGGAAGAAATAATCTAGGCCGACTTCGAAGACGTCGGCCACCCCAAGTATTGTTCATAATAACAGAATATTAAATATGGAGTAACGTTTTGTCGTATCTCCAACGATAATCAAGATATCTGTTGTGACAGCTAAAATCACACTGTATAATAGATAAAATAAAAGTTAACCTCTAACAAATGTCTTAAATAAGCTGGCAGTCGCTCTTCGAACGATTGTACTTGCAGCTCTTCCCCCTCATTCGTTATTTCACGAATATTACATCTAGATAGTTTGTCTTGTACCGTCCTAACAGCCATTGGGGTACTTTGCAAAGCTGGTTGCGACTCATATTCGCGAAGTAGACGTTGAGCTTGTTCTTGACGTGACGCCTGGTCCGTTACCTGAGTGTCTGAACGTACGCATTCCGGATAATACTGATGATATAGGACTAAAAAAAAATTATAATTCGGGAATAAAGAGACTAACTTATACTTAATTACTTACAAGGATTCGGCAGCTATAAAAAATATAGAAAATGAGTAAAATTCATTGAATGAATTGGATCGAAAAATGACTTACAAAGGTAAAATTATGGCTTGGATGACTACCAAATGGCGGTTGTGGTCTTGGTTGTAAAACGAATTGCGGACGTTGTACCATCAGAGTTTGTTGATACGGACGTTGTAATTGTATAAGCGGCAGTTGGGCACGTTGCGGGCTATGCGGAAAGACTAGCCGAGGAACACTTTGCATAAATTGTTGATTGCGCAATGGAAATTGAACTGGTCGTTCTGGCCGTATGGGGAAAAATGGAACTTGTAATCTAGCTTCTGAACGTGATTGCGTAGGACGACTAGATGTTCCGGGCCGAACATTTCGCGGCGGATTCATCGCTTGATTCGCTGCTGCACGTTTTTTCTGCTTATTTTTTTTGCCACCCATTGTTTAGTTGTAATTTTCACCACTCATTATACTAGAAGAATAAATTGAACTTGCTCAAGCTATTCACCAATTAGTTTCGGAACGATTATTCAAAATTGGAAGTTATTCAATAATTCATCAGTTAAAGACAGAAAATTATTTCGAATTAATTTTAAACCAACTCAAAACTACATGGCTACCGATTGGCACGTCATATTCGTTACGTGTAAAAAAAGCGAACTAAAAAGCGCGCCAATCTCGAAAAAAGATCATCGAAAGTTCGACATAACCTAACTTTTTTCGCCCGATTTTTTACTACCTAATTACATCCCATAAATTGAATAAAACAAAAAAATTTTTAGTGAAGATCGATAATTACCTTACAAATAACGTTTTTACCCCGAATTATTCCAAACAATCCAATTTAAAACCACAAAAATCACTAAAATTTTGATTATGATAAAATATGGCGTCCGTTGTAATGGCGACCAATAATAATTGATTAACATAACCTAAATTTTAACGGTTATTTGTATTAAACTCCTCGTTTTGTTATTAAAAATCGTGATTTACCTTATAAATGCCGTTTTTAACTGAAATTTTCCCAAAAAATTGCTTTTGAATACCAAAAAAAGTGGAATTTTGTTACCCGGAAAACATGGCGTCCGTTCTGTTCCGCCCGAACGTTTTTGTACCCGTTACTAATATTTACACACAATTATTTCGAAAATAAATCAATAAAAATCGTTCCTTACCTTATAAGTGATGATTTAGAGTTGAATTCTCCTCTCCCAAACTCCTTTTCCCGCACAAAACTTTGAAAATTTCTGGACGGAAAATTCGTACAATGCGTTCGTGTAACGATGTATTCGGCCGGTAAGTTAGATAACCGACATTTTATAACAAAATTATGTTCTAAAATTTAATTCTTTTCATTATTTAATCGAATTTATAAAAAGAATAATGAAATGAATGTGGTTATTAACATTTTATGTTGTTATTGTGAAAATAAATTGAAAATAAAAATATTATTTGACATAACCTAAAATTTATCATCCGCCATGTTTTTAAGAGTCAAATCAAGATTAATTAATAAAAATCGTTTTTGACTTTACAAAGAGATTTTTAACTTGAAATCTTTGATGAAAATTCTATTAACACTAAATTGAAATTAATGTGAATGGGAAAGAAAAATGAAAATAAAAATGTTTAAAACACAATTTATTTAAATAAAATTACCTATAATTTAATTCTTAATTATTTGAATTTTCCATCCAACTTATAAGATCTAAGAAGCTAACCGTACAATTTTTCTTATACTCATCACAATTGTTTACTGTAGCACCGTGAACTTCCGCTTTTTCATAAATCAAATCGATTCCGTTATTAATCGACGTTGAAGGACTAAATAAAAATTTGTTTAAAATAATTTAATTTTATTACCAGGCTTGAAATGTTCTTACGTAAATACAACATGAAAAATGTTTCCTAAAACCCCATTGGTTTCTGTTATGCTATGCAAAGCTGTTTCGCATATTAATCTTAATAGACACGGCCTCCCTTTGTATCCATGACTAAAATGAAATTAAAAACAAATTTGTAACAAAAAAAATGATTTTTAATCTTACGATTCTAATTTAGACTCCATCGCATCATAAATCAATTTTCTATCGACACCTTTAAACATTTTCTTTTTGGTTTTTGTTGTTTCAATAACATTATTGTCTTTAGCTTCCTTTTTTTCGTCTTTATCTCCACTTCTTACACTATTTCTTTCAATAATAGGTGGATAAACATCTTGCGTTACATTGTAAGGGAGAAGGTAATTAGCTTCGAAATTATAAGCGACGTAAACGCTTTTATTTGGAATATCTAAAGGAATGGCTAAAGCTAAAAATAACTTTAAAATTTTTTTATTTAATTTAATTATTTTATTATAATTTAATTAACATACCCCCATACTACTTCCAGGTGGAAAATGAAACTTCCAGTTGTAAAACGTAAATTCACCCACTTCGTGCGTAGGAAATATTAAAACCGATATACAAAAGATTAAAAAATATACGTTCATTTTAGTGGGAAATTAATAAAATAAGTTTACTCCTGGTTTAAGCTCGTATTTATTACGCTTTAGTTGTAACGGTTTTATATTCTCTTAACAAATTAGTGTTAAATAATCACAGTTAAATACTAACCTTTTAAGCAAACACTCTTGATGACTTAATTTTGTAACAAGAATTTAAAACGAAACTATATTCTCAATTACTAATTATTATTTTCTTTTCTAGCATTTTTCTTTAATCATCGCTAAAAAGAAGAAAAACCATGCCAGGAGAAGAAAGCAGTAAAAATGTTAATAAATTAATTTATAATCCAAATAAAAAAATTTTTTTAGCGATCCATCAACTGTTATGCGAATTCTTCGAAGTAATCATCCACAACATCTTATATAGACGACACGTTTACCCAAAATCGATATTTATTAAAACCAAATCATACGGAATCCCAGCGTTTCAATCGATTCATCCGCAATTAAACGAATACATTTTAGAAACGTTAAAAGTGGTTTTATTCCATTTAAAAAATAAAACCCTTAAAACGCTCATTATCACAATCACAACCGGAAAAGTATTTTTGGAACGATACGTCATCAATCTCCTTGAAATTAAAGAGTACGCAACGAACGATTTATATCAATCTTTGGAGGGCGTTTTTAAAAAGTTTTGTTTAAAAATTGAAACTGCCATCGAGAGTTTAAATAATGTTCCTAAGGATCCCGGATTTCTCATTCATTTAGAAGTTACCAATCATGGGATGATTGTTTTTAATGAATCACCAGAATATTCGGTAATTAACAACTTCTTACTTGAATTTCCTGTATTAATTTCTGTTAAAAATAAGGTTTCAGATGTTTTGGGTATACTGTAACTTTTATTTAGAAGTCTGCATTCATAAAGAATTCATTAAAATTTTTTTTGTTACAGCATTTTCCTTGGTACAGCGACAACTTAAACGATGAATCATCAGAAATAATCCCAATATATAATTTTGAATCTGAAAATATAAAATTGGATATGATTGTGGAAAAAAATGTTCTCGATTTAAATCATCATGAATCTTTTATAAGTTAGGAAATTATACACAAAATTTGTATGTACAATCTTTTAATCTCATCATATAAAATATAATGCTTAATATAAACATATAATTGTAAACGCAAAAAAATAAATACATGATTTAAAAAAATTCGTTTTTTTTTAATTAATCCGCTGTGAGATTCATGGGTTGGTCATCATCTCCGCCGCTAATACTAAAATCTGTAGGCAAGCTTTCTGTGAAACTTCGACTTCCTTCTTTTCTACTTAAATCTAAAGAGAAATCACTTTTTGGAACCTTTCCGAACGATGAGGTTAAATCAGAAAATTCCGATTTTGTTTTAGTCGATGTTGGTAAATCAAATGGGCCGAAATCAAATTTGTTCTTTAAATTTAATACGTTAACGTCTGTGGGGAATTCGAGTTTTGGATTTTTAACTTCCGTTGGAATTTTTAGTGGCGAAGCAATTTTTTCATGTTTACTCTTACCACCCAACATCGTGTTTGTAGACAGGGGTTTCAATAATTCTTGCATTTTAAACAAGTTCGTTGAAAGAAACATGTTATTAGCAGCTAAAGTAGAATGCGCCATCGGATCTGGCAAACCTAACATGCTTGTTGCGCTTGGAAATTTCCCGGAATTAAACAATACGGATGCGATATCTGTAGGTAACATTAAGTTACCTAAACTTGAATTCATTCCCGATAAAATTGATGATTTATTAACCGTGGGTATTGATAAAAGATTATCTTTAAGATCACTTGGACAACCTAAAATTTCACGAATAAACGACCAAATCATATTTTCGTTTTCTTCTCGTGGAAATTTCGACACCAAAGCTGTACGTAACTTTTCAATATAAGTCGAAGAATTGTTATAACGTTCTGAAAAATCTATAAAATCAACATCTTTTTTATAATATTCAGCAAGTTTTGTTATTTCTTCTTTTACATATGGTGTTAATAGGGAATCTTGAACTACGCTATACGACATTAACATTGGTCTTCCATATTCGTTTGGTTTACTTTCCGGTGGGGGAATCACCCAATATGCTATTATATTTGATAATATTTCTAATGGGGCGTTATCATAATTGTACGGTGCTAAAAAATAAATTAATAAATTGAATGTAATATACAGTGTTTGATTTTAGTTGTCATAACAGATATATCAACTACTGTTAGAGATATGACAAAATATTATAGAAGGAAAGTTGCTCTACACTTAATATTGTGTTATCTGGCATATTAGAAAAAAGCAAGTGAGCATCAAATGTGTCAATCTAATCTCCAATAATAATCAAGATATGTGTTTTGTGCCAGCTAAAATCAAACACACTGTATATTATTTTATAGATTGATGTCTCACATAAAATAAACCCAATACAAGGTGTATAACTGTTATCAGAAATTCCTTTCATTTTAATTTGATAATCTAATTGTGCGTCAATATCTCGTAATGTTGGTGCGCATGGTAAAAATGGATGGGAATGATACCATCCAACTAATACTAATTTTTCGGCTTCTATTGCTTTTGCTATATCACTTTCTACTTTGCTAGAGTTTTCCCTATCGGATTTTCCATTTCGACATGGAAAAGTATGCGTTATTTGTAAATCTAAAAAATAAAATGGTAATAATTGTTTATTAATTAATTAAATCTTTATTACTGTGCGTATTAACATCCCAATGCCCAGCTAAATATCCATAAACCTCCGATTTCGATAAATGGGAATGGAAATCCATTAACAGGGCGGCATTTGTAGATAATGTGACTAAAAACGGTTGTATTTTTCCTAAATTAGAAAACGGAACGCATTCTATCAAAGTATTTGAATCGCTAAAAAGAAGATTTAAGCTTTTTAATTTTCATTTAATACTTTAGTGAGGTATTTAATTGTTTAATCGTCAGTACTTACTGTGTAAAAGTTCTATTTGCTATGGAATTGTGTTTAACAATCGTTCTTTGTACTGGCAGTTGAGTAATATCCATGATTTCTTAAATTTTTAAACAATATTTGTAAATAAAACAAATATTTTTACACATAACCTCAAAAGATGAAACGTCAGTAAAATTGCTAATTTCATTCCGTTTGATTTATCGATGCGATTTATTATTTATTTATTACGAACGTTATTGAGCTTTTCTTTATTATTTTTAATATAATGATGTGTTAATACAACAAACATTTTTATAAATCAAATTATTTATTAATTGCTAATTTCACTTCTCTGCAATTTTGACATATTTAAATTTTTAATTTATGCTACTTTGTTCATACAAACATACGGGTTTAGCTAAACTCAAATGTTTCTAGATCTGGTATTAGATTTTAGGCCCTAATTAGTTAGAGTTTGAAATAAAACAAGAAAAAAATCCATTACTATTAAATTTTAATTGAAAAGTTTCCAAAAAAAATACACTTCGTAGACGTAATGCTGAAAACTATCTAATAAAACAGAAAAAAAACAAATATTTATTATAATAATAATATTAAACGGGAATGAAATGGACATCAATTGGCACCAGGGCCAAAATGTACTTTTTTATTATACATTTCGATTGTTAAAAAACGTGAAAACGAACGTAAACTCTTTGTATAATCCTACAAAGTGCGCAAAAAAAACAAAAAGAATTTATTAACTATTTGTAAGGTATACATATACACAATTGATATTTTTATATCTATATATGAATCTAAAACTTGAATTGTAAGTAATTGTAATAACATACCAATTGCGTATATCCTATATATGTACTATATTATATGCATGTATGTTATATTTATTTTTAAACATATATATTTGTTTTAAAAAAAGAAAAGGAAATTAACGAGAAAAGAAACGAATGATCCATATGTTAGCAAATAAAAAATAAATTTGAGCGATGATAAAATAAGGGCAATACAATACTATCACAAATATGCAAAAATGAAATTGCCTTTCGACCCATCAAAACAAACAAAAAGAAAAAACAATTAACATTTTTATAAATAATCGCGTTTAACTCGACGTTGACGGTCCTGGGGATCCAATTCGACGTTTGGAATTGCGCTTCAATTCATCTAAATAAGTGTTCCGAGATTCGGCTAAAACCTGAGCCATTATTCCATCATCCCAATCTTCGTCACCTAAGAAAACAAGAAAATCAAATTGTTTCATCAAAAATGAAGTTTCTTACTAATTTCCGCGTTAGAAGCCTTATTAGTTTCATTAAACTCCTGATATGAAACACTTGTTGATGGTTGTAATTCAGGAGTTGGATCGAATTCATTGTTCCCACAATGATTTAAATTTCTGGGACTCATTCTATGACTCTTGGGAGAGCTAGCTTTTGGTGAAGAGTTTCCTTTCGGGGACGAACCACCTTTTGGTGACATAGAACCCCTACGATTTGCCCTCGGGCTCGAACAAACCGCGGAAGTAACCGTTGAACTGCTACCGGCACAAGCAGAACTTTGTGGTTTCAATCTACGTTCAGCGTCTCGAAAATATTGAATGTACGATTCTCGAGCAACTTCTTCTTCAAGTGCTTCATTAGTCGCTTCCCAATCGGTGGCTTTAATTTTATCTTCGAGCATAGTTTGTTCGATCAAAAGTTCTTCGCTAGCACGAACAGCATCCACCATTCTTCTACGGTTCAAATCGATCGGATGATAAGCTGGCAAACCAAGTCCTACACCTACTGATGGATTATTCGGGTTACTAATCGAATTATAGTGGCACATTCTATGATAAGAAAGCCGAATTGGTTCATCAGTGTTAATACGCGATCCGTTAAAAATATTAATAGGCTCTATTTGATAACAATAGACTTCGATAGTTCTATTGTACATTTCACTTAACGCTTGAATTTCGAGATGATTACCATGTACGTTCCACTTTCGTTTACGTGCAACGTATTTGTCAAAATCTTCTGTTACATATGGTGCGAAGAAATCTTTGTTTTTTACCTGGATTAAAATTTTTTTTGGTTTTTGAAATAGTTATTGATATTGACTTACAATATAATCCATGCAAGCACTTCGAACCATGTAATGCAATTCTTGGTCACCATATATTTGGTCAGCTATTGCGCGAAATAGACACGCTCCATCTTCGTGCATCTGCTTAATTTCATAGCCTAAGTCGGATAGACATCTTGCGAAAAGAGCATCTCTCTAAAAACGTTTTAATTGAAAAAAATAAATTTATTAATTTATTTAACTTACAGCCGACCATTCTTCATCGGTTAAATGTCGATCTTTCAAATTGCCTAATGTAGGTCCATACTCATCTTCACTATTAAATCCGGTACCCTCTTCAGATTCGATGTTAAGAGCAAGTTGTTCGCGTTCGCATTCGGAAGCGACGACTTCCGAAATTTCAGATGATGGAGGTGTCGCTGCGGTTTCAAGCGTCTCTTCCGGGGTTTCCAATCGCTTACCTTTGCGTTCTCGGTTATCGCGTTGCTTCCTGCGTACTTTAAAGCGTTTGCGCAGACAATGTTCGCTTGGTTCCGGAGTGGTACTTTTTCTTATAAGAAAAGAAAAGATTACGTTAAACATACAACTTATTTCAACTTACGGTATCAAATTAAAAACATATTCAAATGGGAAACAAACAAATGATAATATATATTTAAGGATATTAGAGGCTAATGTACACATCTTTAATAAACACATATATCAATAAAAAATAATGTTATGTAGGAGAAATGTTAATCAATACTAATTTAAAAACGATTTGAAAGAAAAGTATTATTCACGAATATCATAATCAGTTGATGAAGGAGTTGGAAAAGTATTTAGAAAATTTTATTTATAATTTTGATAAAAGTAAATCGATTTTTTTTGGGCTTCTCCGAAATTATTTGTTTTATAGTGATGTTATTAGTTAAAAAAACGACCAAAAACGATTTTGTCTATCTCACTTGTAACCTTATCAATTATTTTGGTTGATTTCATTATTGTAATTAGTTGTCCTTAAAGATGCACGGCTAAACCTGTATGTTCAAAATGAATTCGATACAAAAATATTACATATTTTCGCGAATTCTAAAAACGATACAGCCAGAGAAGTCTTTCTCTACGAGTTTGGAGAGTTATTTGTACAACTCTTGAAATAACTGTATTATTTCTATCAAGATTATGTAGCAGAATTTTGTAACTTATGGTATCCCTCATTTTTTAAGATGACATTATTAAACTTATTTAATATAATTTTACCTGTTTGGCCTGGAACTTTTTTCATGCCTTCTTTATAAGCGTTTATCACCTCAATTGCATCTATCAGGGTACCTGAGATCTTACTAATTTCGTGGTACTTTTGCATAAAAAATTGTAATTAGCTTGAATGTATGCTAGTTGTTCTACTATTTCTTGTTTAAATAAATCGTTACTTTTTTTATTGATTCAGCACAATCAGAAAATTCCTCTACGATAATTTTCATATTATCGTAATAAACAGCATAAATAAGATTTTTATAAATTTATATGGTGCTACATTATTTACAAAACATGCACTTTTTCACAAGGGATTCATGTTTTTATAACAAACTAGAAACCAGCCCGGGGAAACACAAGCAAACTTGTATTCTTATTACAAATCACGCGTTTACTATATTTATGTTATTAAACGAAATGAAAAGTCTTTAAAATATGCGAAATTATACAATAAAAGCCGAAAATATGCAAAAATCCAAAAAATGATAAAAATATGCAATTTTTTATTGTGTTATTTGCTTTATCTTCATGGAATTCGTCCAGAAATCAATTTTTGAAAATATTTCTGAAAATAAAAAGATGCATTTTGTATAAAATACGAGCCCTAGTTGTAATTTTTTTTATTTTCATTCTTTTTACCGATATAAAAAACTTGTATGATAAAAGTTTTAGATTCTAAATATACATATTGATAAGTAAGTTGTGCCTAAAACATTTCAGGTTGATAATTCTAATAGAATTTGAAACATTTAATCATATCTTTTGGAATTTTTTCAATTTTTTTCTTGTTACACATATTTAAGCTTTTTTTATATACAGGAAACACATCAAAGGAAACAAGATAGTCGATGAAGTTATGAAGTAGAAGAATTAGCTATTAATGATCAAATTTGAGTTCGTTATGAATTTTCTTTATATGATATTTATCATTTATCATTATTTGATGTGTATTTAGTAAATAATAAGTAAGTGTTGTCTTACTAATAATAAGTTTTACTGGGTTCGATATGATTTTGTTTCATTTTTAATTTCTTACTTGACCATTAACAACAAATATATACTACATATATTATAGTTAAAGACCCCACCCATCAAATACCAAAATTACATTCAAAAAATTTAAACAACATTAAATATTTAGATCATCACAAATAGTATCACATCATTAATGCTACATATTAAGACTGGAAATAATAAAATGCATGTTATTATGATACTCACACATATATATGTATATATATACCCCATAGATATATCTTACCTTCGGAACGGTCTTCTGTTAGAAGCGGTATCATTAAGACTGCTGGTATGAGATATATTATGATCCCGTCGTGTTGGGTTGCCCTATCGTAACAATAAGAGATTCGTAACACTTTAAAGGAGACATCTTTAATTGAGACTTAATACACTTACGTTTTGGGTGCTGGTATCTTTGTTTTCTTCGGCGGACGTGGACGCCCTTTTCGCCGGTAGAATCGTCATTGTGCACGTGCAGTTTCGCTACGAACCGTTTTTCCGATTGTATCGTTTCCTGGACGTGAAAACTTCGGAAATAATCATCAAAATATTTTGATAAGACGAACAGCTGTCACTATTATTTCATTGCCAACTTGAAACAGAAAAAATCCCCCAAAATTACAATAATGCGGTTGTGGCGACATCTAGGAACGTTCACAGTAATCTTAAAATAATTAATTGAGTTGATAGGTAGCGCTTTCATTTCAAAACAAATTTTTAAATAAGAAAATTTTATTTAATAAAGTTTATTTAAATTACAATAAATTCATTTCTTTGGGATTCCGTTTATTTCGATATAGCGAATTCTTTTTCTTGATTATAAACCTATAACATAATTCTTTTTATTTAAAAGGATTTTATATTTATAGGGAAAAGAAACACATAAATGCTTGTAAAATCTAACTGAATAAATATTTTAGTCGACAACATAAAACATATACATACGTAAATTGGACACACAAATCACACAAATACTGTAATAATAACATACACAATATAGAAAGTCAAGGTTACGATACACGGCAGCCAATCTTTGATTCCGCAGACGTGTACACACCTATAAAAAGGTTTTTGCTTCGGTGATATTAAAAAAAAAATAGGAGAGAATTTAGAAAGGGATTATAAAACTTGTAAATTATTTATGATAAAGCGACATGCGTGTCCGTCTCGTTGTATATGTCGATCACAGAAGCTACTCAGGACTTAACATAAATATTCGAAATGTGAGGGGATAAATATCTGCAACAAAAGAGAATAAAATAAATCGTTGTGATGACAAAAGTTTAATAAATAAGCTTACCTCACCCTGAAAATCTAAAGACGAAAAAAGATCCTATTACACATAAAGCTGCAGTAACTGATCGTATAAAAATACCATCATTACTACTATTACTATCATTATTATTATTAGGATCATCTACACTCCGAACAAATCGCTTTTTATGTTTTATTACATCAAATTCCGTTGAGAGTTCTGACCCATAAGTATCCAATAGAGATATAATAACTCCATTAGTCCATCCAAATCCAGTTTGGACCTCGTATTCACCTCCACTTCCATATGAGCCATAAAGAACATTATATTTCTCATATATACTGTTTGTTGCGATATAATTATTGTAAGTAGTTAGAATCCATTTATTACTAATATTCAAAGCAAGCTCTTTTGCAACTGGATCATCGGATTGTTGTAATCCAAAAATCATCATATGTTGAAGTGGTGGCCAAACGTTGGGGAAGTCCCATTGTTCCCCGGTGTCTTCTAAAGTAGTTGGAACTCCGAAGGGGTATTTGAGCAAATCCAAATTTGTCAAGTATGATATTACCTTGTTAATGTAATATCCTTGATTTGTTTGGGGATAACTCATTGTGTATAAAGGAACAAGGTTACTAGCGTAGTAAACGTGTCTTTTAGACAAGGTGTTGATGTCGAAATCAAACCACACCCCGCTCCTATCATCCCAAAGAACTGCGTTGATTGCTTCAAGTAGATTTTGAGCTTTCATATCATAATAATCAGCTTTTTTGCTGTTTAACATTTTATGAAAATCTCTCAAAATAACCGCGTTCCAATGAAGGAAAGAATTTAGATCAACAGGAATAATCGGCGTTGTTTCTGTGTAAGTAAGGTTATTGCGATCACCCATTGGAGAATAAAACCATCTACTAGAAAAATCCCAGCCGGATTCTGCAGCAGCTTTAATTTCAGTATAAAACGCTTCTTTTCCCGCAGTTGTTGTGAAATATTCCGCTGCTTTGACGTCTTCGTAATACGATTCCGGACGTGGTCCACGAGATTTATCTCCATACGCAGCCATGGTATAATCTACATTATTAAATGTAAAATTTCTCATGTGAAATTTCATCCAATATTCAAATTCTTTATCGAGAGTCTCTAAGTTATCTTTAATAAAATCGATATCACAAGTTGCATCAAAATATTTTTTTACCATAGGAACGAATAAAGGCGGTTGTGATCTTTCAACGTAATACAATCTTCCACCATTGGGAATATGTCCAAATTTATTAAGCAAATAAACGAAGTTTTCAAGCATACCTCTCGCGGTATCAAACATACCACTTATAAGAAGCCCATCGACAATCCAATACGAATCCCAATAATAATACTCGCGAAATCTCCCACCAGGAACAATAAACGGTTTTGGCACCCATATTAAAGAATACCGATCAGGAGATTCTCTAACAGCATCCTTAATTTGACGACCCAATTTGGTCCAAATCACATTTACATCCGAACCATATTGTCTGAGATCTTTATCATTAATTTTATTCAAATACGAAGGATTCTCAACCCAATCTTTCGGCGCCCACTTATCAAATTCGTTATTTTCTGGCTCAAAATTTTTATGCACGAACTCTTTTATGTCTTGTCTTAGAGGATTATCATCAGCACCCTGCATCATTTCACCGAAATCTTTCACTATTTCCGATGGGGATGCTTTTAGGTGCATATCGACGAATGTTTTGGAATCATTGAATAATCTCGCCATTTGTACAACGTGAAGAAGTGGACCATTGCAAAAAACATCTTCAATTCTGAAACGAACATTTTTTAAGATGATTTAATTTTTATGAAGTTTGAAAACAATCATGACGTCGAAATTAGTAGGAGTAAGAAAATAAATTACAAAAATTGTTTTAAAATGGTATTCATTACATTGTGATATCTCAATTTGTTTTTGAGATACGATGTTTTAAAGTTCTTTTAATACCAACCTAACTTCAATTAATTTAAAAAATTATAACATCGTGATTTATATTAATAAAGTAATTATATTTGGGGTGTTGAAACTAAATTAAATTTGCAGCAAAATGTTTTTTATTTAATCTTGATGTTTCATCTACTTTTTGAGATATGATTTTTTAACAGAAATGAGTGGTATTAATACCGCAATGTTTTCTGAAACTGATATAAGTTAAGACATAGACTTGATAAATAAGATATCTAATACTCAGAATTTTTTTGCAATTCGATTTATTTCAAGAATTTCTCGAACGATTATGACGAAAATGTGTGATTTCCAGAGTATTTACAGCGAAAAAACATAATTAAATAAAAAATTAACAATGAACTTTGATAAAGTTGATGTATAAAAAAGATACTCAAATAATCGTCAGCTAAATTTGCAATTCATAAACAAAATGTTAAACTATAAGAAAAATTTTTTTTAAATTAAATTTGAATCTTACCCATATTCTAGATGTGAAGAAATTGGTTTGAATTGAAATACCAATAGGATTAATACTGGTATGAATAAATAAAGTCGCTTCGGTAAGCCCATTTTCACTTTTAATAGTAAGTATAAAAAAAATAATGTGCGCTTGTGAACTCGTCGGCGTATTCGATGTGAATGCCAAGTAAACTTGGAATTGATTGTAGGAACAGCTGTGGTAGACAGGTAATTTAAAGAAACCGGCTACGTACGTGACATGCCCGTGTCGCGCCTACAAAATTGAACCAATCGCAAAAGCGGCATGGACCAAGTATCGTTGAACTTGCCTCCCAAGCCGTTCACCGTCCTCGTTTTTTAATTCTACTGTTCCACTTCAACCTTTACTTTGTAGTATCCGAACAAAACGATCATGCGCATTTTTGTGAAATTGTGGGATTTACAGAGATTTCAAAAGATCCAACATCAACATCGCTTGGAGTATTATTTTTAATGAACTATCTTTTTTTTTTGGAATTTTAACAAAACAAAAAATATATAACTTCTTTTAATTAAAACATTATCACGGAATATATGTTATTAACGATCTGTAATAACAAAGAATGTTGCGTCAGGTTAGAAAAAATCGCGAAATTTAATTTTGGGAAGGTCGACAAATTATAAGAAGGCGAAATAGAACAAAACTTGTTTGAAGGTCAATAATTTCACTTTCGAAAACTGTTTAGAAGCACTGGCTAACTTTAAATACCAAAATAGTTAATAACTCCGATTAGACTAGCTTTATTAACGCTTTAAATATTTTGCGAATTTCTCGGTTGGATTCATTTACCTGGAATTGAGCGTTTCAGATCGTTTTCGAATACTAAAATAGTTAACAATAGCGATAAGATTAGATTAATTTAAATCGCTATAAATACCACGGACATGTGTTACAAATTCCAACGTGTCTACATTTAAATAACAACTGATCTTTGGCGTCGAGAGAAAATTTTATTTTTCTAATTACGCCATTGATAATTTAGTTATTATATATAGTAACGGTTGTTTTGATAATGATTCTTCGAAAGCACGTCATTACCACATGTAAATATTAAAATAATATCGTATTGCACAACTTTTCCACCAAATTCCTTTCGCGGTAAGCCTGAATTTACTTAGAAGTCTATCGGGAATTGTGATTACGTGACATCGAGAATGTACTTTTCTTACTTGATTAATCAACTCACCGTATTCCCCGTTTAAACACATTCCCTATCGCATTGCGTGACATTATAAACTATGTTTACATTACAATCTCTATCAATCTACGTAAAACTACTTGCACAAAAATTATTACGACCCAATTTAATTTATATTTTTGATATATTTATTTCATAAGTATTTGTTTTTCGATTTATTTCATTTTTTAAATAAGAATAAAATTACGCAATATATAGGCAATACTTTATGGTGGACTCAAACAATATATTTCTACTTAATCGAGCTTTCGCATCCAGTAGGTGTTTGTAAAAGTAATTAAAATAATTGTGTACTTCTGCTTTTGATTTAAAGAGATCGCACTGTGTTCGATTTTATTATTTCAAAAATAATGTAGCTACTAATATAAAGAATAAATAAACATTGAGATATTAAAAAATAATATACAGGAATTCCTATATTGGAGCTTCAAATAACAAGAAATTAGAAAATTGATAAATTTAAAAAATGGTTCTAAAAAAAGTTGTTCCTTTTTTAATTCTTAACAAGTTTTATTTGAAAAATATTTTGATACAAACAATAATTAGGAAGATAATCTTGAATTCCATTACTATACTGTTAACATGGAAATTAATAAATTGATAATTCACTACACCAGGAGGATAAAGATGTCTACAACATAAAAGCCTCTTGGAAACTTGGTGGTGTTTCGGGTCTAAAATCAAAATTATTAAGAACCCAGTCGAATGCACCAACCTTATTTTGTTAAAACGTCAAAAAAAAGTTATATTAAATTATAATTAGTTAGGTATAAATTGGATAAAAATAGCATGTAAAATAGTTTTTATTAATAAAAAAATATACATAAAAATATGTACAAAAAAAAGTAACTTATTTTTATTTCCTAATTTAAACACAAATAAAAAATACTCATCAATCTTAAAAGCTGCGTAAAATACAACCACTGTTTTGACGAACACATTTTGATGATAAAGGTAATAAATAGAAAATAAAAAAATGATAACTGGTTTTTTTTAATAAGTTTTTGAATCATTTTATGGAATGTAATTAGTAATGAGATCGTTGTTTAAACATCTGTTTGTGGAACACCATCTGGTAAATACGCTCGATGTTTTTCATTTTTGGGTAGCAGTGGCGCTGCCTTTTTTGGTACGCTGTACTCTTGTAGTTCCTTCAAAGATATTTGGCTGTTTGATCTCAGTGAGCCGACGCTGCCCGATTTGACGGAAGTCTTCGGTTTGTCCGTGTACTCGAACCCTGGGGACCTCGTATTCGCGATACTTATCTCCTCATCGACTTGATTCATGTAAGTGTTATTATAGTATCTATCCGACTGCCTATAACGATAGAAGATAATGTTCTAAATCTAACTGAAGCACGCAAAGATTGGATCCGATGATGATGATCTTGAATGAATGAAACGATATGTCGATGAACGATGAGATTCGTGAAACTACTTACCTTTTTGCGTTTCTCCACAACATGCAACATACTACTACTAAGACTACTAATAATAAACACATTGTCGCCATGCTCCAAAAAGCTACTTGCAATGGGGTCCTTGGTTCCCACCAAAACTAAAAATTTGTACTATTAAAAAGAACACAAGAATGCTTAAAATTAAATACTTACTTCAGTTGTTGGAGGATATGTCGGAATTAAGTGTCCAACAACAGTTGGTAAATACATGGTCCAAAATGCAGATTCCGTTTGTCTGTAATTCCATTTGATCGTCGAGTTATACGTCGTATTTAAATTTAAGTATTTTAACATTCCATTTTCTGCCATTTCAAAATGTAAACCTAATATTCTTGTGTATGATGGTGTGCTAGAAAATTTATATAAATATAATACATATAATTAAGATGAATTAAAAACGTACCCATATCTAGCAAAATCTGTATAAGCTTTCATAAAGAAATGACTCATATTTCTATCATTATTCGTCCATTGGGTCCTTTTAAAACTTAAACTTTCTGGGAAAAACTCAACATCCATAAATGGAGCACCACAAAGTAAATAATGTTCGATATTATGAGGAGTTTTTCTCCAAAAATCTGTATTAAAAGATTCGACGGTTGTGTTTAAAACGTACATATAAACAGGTACGTTTTGTTCAACCAGTAATTTGATCATTTTGTCGTTTGGAGCTACGTATAAGAAATCGCTCAGTAATTCGATATATTTTTCCCTGATGTGAGTTACGTTTGATGGGTTTGGCCAATAAGTATACATGTATTTGATAGCTTCAAACGTTCCATTCATATTTAGGGTGTAGTTGTATCGTAGAACTAGTTCCCATAACTTTTGATCGAAAAATTCTTCGTTTACTATATAATTAGGCGCTAACGATTTGTTATTGTATATAAAATGAGCTGCTTCTTGCATGGTAACGCTTGCCATGTATTTTAAACCTTTATTAAATTCACCTTTACGTATTAAATTTTCAGGAGAATTTTGTAAAAAATGCCACTCTTTCTCGTACCATCCCTCATAATATGGCATTGAAAAATTCATTTCTGTAACTGGCCCCCAAGGAAATAATCCAACATGAGGGGGGAATTCAGCATTTCCTAACTCCAAAGCACTTCGAGCATGTTTTAAACAATTCACCAATTTCCAAGATGACTCAATACTGCAACCCATAATTTGTCCAAACACTCTACTTGTATTTTGCACCCTATATTTGTCGTTTATAAAAGCCCAATCTGCCAATGCAGATCCACTTTGAGCAATAACTTGTGTTACAATATTTCGCGTTGCCGGATTCACCATCAAAAGCCCAGCCGAAGCAGCTCCAGCTCCGGGTCCAAATAACGTTATCGAATTCCTATCCCCATTAAAATTATCAACATTCTCATGAATCCATTTCAAAGCCATCGCTTGATCTAGAATACCATAGTTTCCCGGGGAATTGATATCGCCCGTACTTAAAAATCCTAAAGCACCCAAACGGTAATTAAACGTCACAACTACCACTTTATAAAAAGTCGCCATTATGTGTCCTGGGAATAAATTTGAAGCTCCTCTTATGAAATCACCACCATGAATATACACCATAACTGGGTATTTCATTGGGACTATTTCTGTCGTTGGAGTGTAAATGTTTAGGTAAAGGCAATCTTCATGCATGTCTCTTATGCCATTTTGAGCGCCTGTATACATCGTTGGTTGTGGGCATGCCGGGCCAAAATCAACAGCTTGAATGTTTTGCCATCCTTTGTGCCATCTAGGTGGCTAAAAAATTAAAAAAATTCTGTCAGCAAAGTCCTACAATCAATGTGTTTTGACCAAATTTTGATTCACATTAAATTAATTTTTAATTTAAGGTTTGTTAAGTATAAAGAGTTTCTAATTTATATTAATATATTCTTACCCTAAATCTTCCTTCAGCTATAGGTGGTTGAGCATAAGGAATTCCAAGAAATACTGAAGTAACTCCTTGTTCTCTTTCAGTAAATTCTGTACCTGGTCTATATAAAGACTGTGGATCAGGAGTATCATATAAATAAACTTTAAATCCTTGAACTTGCCCATGACTTGTCTTAACAAATATATCTCTATCTCTTAAACGACTGTCAGGTCTCTCTTTTCCTTGCAAATCAGCTCTCCAACCGGCTAAGATCCCAGGGAGGATTGGTTCTGCATTGCCTTCCTTCAATGAACACAATTAAAGTTAATTACCACTACAACTCTAATTGGTCTTTATGAATGAAATTCTTACAAAGATATTTTTAAATTTTTTTACAAATAATTCTTACCCTATCATATCTAAACCGCGGATCTTGGCCAGATAAATTTGGATTTCCAGGATAACCTGGATACATGTGAGGTTGATTTTGCCCATATCTCCTATTGTTATATATGTACGTTTGATAATCTTTGTCTCCTGGGTTGGGAATGTGATAAGACGGATCTAAATGTGGATTTGGGGCTCCATAATATTGATTACCGTAATTTTGAGATTTTACAAGCACTAATACACAAACGAATATGCCCACTACACCCAGCTGTTTAGACATGGTATCGAGATCTTCACTTTCCGTTGATTTCACTTTAACTAACACCTGCCTTACACATCGTTCGTATCATATATACAATTGATGAATCATGTGGCTTAAAGCGTTGCGAGTTGCGACTCGGGATGACTTATCTAGGAGCGATAACGCCCATTTATTTTACAAAACTAACCTGCGTTTCTTCAGCTCTCTTTAATACGGTGCGAGACAAAAAAAGTGTGGCTTAAAACATGGACGGAATTTAAGGCACTTATTCAATGGTTTTAAGTTAAAATAGGACTTTTTTAATAACCCGTTAGTTTGGGATACCCAAACAAACAAAAGTCCTTTAACAGGTTGTAAAAAAACGTCAGGTACCAAAACAAGACCTCTATGAACAGGTAAAATTACTCAGGAGTTTTGGAGAGATAAAATAGCGGTATCTAAAGTAGCAGGATGCGGTGTTATTAACTGGATGATAGATGTCACTAGGTACGATAAAATAAAAAGATTTAAATAAAAAAAATACTTTTTGGAATCCACAAAAAATATTTATTTAACATAAAAAAATGTTAATAATAAATTTCGAATTTCAAATAAGATTTGATATTCAAATAAGAGGGTTAAAGCAAAGCCTACAAAATTCCCAATTCGCAAGCATAATCATTTCTCGGTGCAGGCATTTTGTGTTTAGAAATCCAAAATAATCCGTAGTTATATCGAAGTGATGCCCGCGTGTAATTGGGCACGTTGGGGATTTTCATTCAATTTGGGTGAGATTAAGATGTGGGAAGAACACGGTCTCTTTACATTTATTTTTGTTTACGATTGATAAATCATAGAATTTAAAAATGTATTATTAAAAGTATATATTGTTATTTTACATCCGGATTTTACTATTAATACAGCGAATATCAGACTTTTTTTATTGTTTCGCATAAATCTGGATAAGTAAAAATATACGATAGTGAGCGTGGATAAAAAATTAATATGAAATATGTCCTCGTCGGCAGATAGAGGGGGAATTATTTATCCAACAGAAAAATGTACACAAAACTCGAATATATTGGAAAAAAGTAATTCGGGTGGTAGCCGTTGCTCTAAAAAAACTAAACGGCATTTTTTGATCAATGGCCCGATAGAAGTTTATTTATGGTTATTGATGGTTTAAATCGTTGGAATAAAATGCAAATTGTTGAGACCGGGGACGTTTTGCCCCACACGGGTCGCGCAATCTCAGATAGGATCATAACGTGCGATAACCGCCCTAAATGACCATTAACTACGTCGTTATAATCGAGTTCGCCGTTGAAAAATCACGTTCGCCTCCTATTATTCTCAAAAATGCCGGCCCGGCCGTGGTTTATTTGCATACAACGGATGAATACAAACGCAGGTATTCAAAGGTGCCATACAGTCTGGTTGCTTCAAAAGAAAAGAAGAAGGATTCACGTTGGGCTTCTGTCCTTCTTCTTCCCTGCTTACGTCCTCTTTCCATCCGTAAGACTGAATTATGCCGGCCTTTATTTGTGGATTACCTTTTAAAAGGATATTAGGCTCTAATAAACTGTATCCGGTGTTTTGTGACCCACACCTGTTCAGGTAACTTTCTGGCTGTCATTCTTACTTGTTGCTACATCAAAGAACACCTACTGATTCGCCAATTTCCCAGTCAAGCTTAACGTCAACAGGCAATATATAGTTCCGTTTAAGTTATTTTATTATTATTACATGTAGCATTTGAAACAAAAAGTAACCATTGGTAAAAATCTCCTCTGTTGATAAAAGCAACCATCCACAGGGACGTTTTACTACTTTGTGTACAATCTGCATCCGACTTTACGATATTTCCCAATCGTTCCACGAATATAGTATACGGCGCAATTTTAAAATTTATTATCCGACGTTCCCGGGGGTCCATATTGGTCCTTCAGGGCCCCGGTGCCGATACGGCGTTCTATCTTTACAGTGCAGTTTTTACCCGAACTGCGGCCATTATATTTTCGTTTTACTGTCGACCAATACATTCACTAAGTGAAACTATGGTTCGGCCGGATATCTTCGTTGATACTTTGCCAGTCCTGCTTTGCCGTAAACTTTTACATTTCCAGTTAAGCTGTAAACACCGACGAAATGTTTCGATACCATCCATCATAATTATCATACATATAGATATTGCTTCTTTTTAATATTACATTTTTTATTAGTACATTTATTTCATAAACAAGTTGAAAAACTCTTTTTTACAAAACGGTTAGGAATTAAGGAATGTAACTTTTTTGGGTTACAACGAAATGTTTGAGGTTGACTTGTACCAAATTATAAGGTGATTACTTTATTTTATAAAAAAAATTTAAAAAACTTCAATATGTATTATACTCTATTTTTTAATTGGGAGGAGTGTTTTCAAATTGAAGCCCCAAAAAGAAGGGTTGCTATTGGTCAGTTTTAAGCAAAAATTACACTAGGAAAATTTGAAATGTTGCCTACCGCCTAGAAACATTCGGGTTTATAATTCTATGTAGTTCCAGGTCTTGTGTTAGTTCTAGTGATAGTGCTAGGGTAAAACTAGAACTAACGCTAGACCAAGAACTAGAAACATTCGGGTTTAGCCGCACGTCTCTCAAGACGGCTAAACCAGAATGGTTCTAGTTCTAGTTCTTGTGTTAGTTCTAATGATAGTGAAAATGGAGAAATGATGTTTTATGAAGTTGTAAAATAATTGTAAATAAGTTTTTGTTAAGATAGTAATTTTGGTATATAATAGTATAAGTATGATAATGTAAAAGTTTGAATGACTGGTAGTTTCGTGAGGTACATTTAACATTATAAGCATCACGTGTTACGACGAATCATTAAGCAAATAAACAAAAAGTTTCTTTTAAAGTCGGGAGCATTCACATTCGGCGCGCCTTTAAACGGCCGCATCTGTCAGTGGAGTAACGTGGCAACCTTCATTTCAGATCCTCGGGCCTTGTGATGTTCATTATGTGATTGTGCGGTGGTTAATGACGTATGATCTAAACGCCAACGTCGTTCCACCGTTTGTATGGCGCGAAGGCCTTCTGGCTCGGTCCGCCTTCGTCGGGTCGCTTTTGAAACGAATTTACACAATTTTCTTTTGTCGGAGGCGGCCCATTGTCAAGAAATTACCGGTAGCACATTAACTCCTTTTTGGTGTTCATTAAATTCGTCGAGATCGGGGTTCGGGGAGGGAATTAGTTAAAAATTTTCCAACTCGGGGGCAAAGCGCGTCCCCTAAATAAATATTTTTATAGAAAGAAATATCGGTCCGATTTGTCATTTAAATTGGCGAAAAGTCGGGTCGTTTGTATCCCTGTCGGCTCGTTATATGATTATTTCGAGACGGCGAGCGCTGCGGAGCGGGGAAAGACAGGTCATCAGGGGCTTAAATCCATCCGGAGATATAAGCCATAATAGGATGCGAGGATAATTTTGTTTAAGCCGTTCAATCTAAGTTCCCGCTCATTCCGAGATAGAGCGGCGCGAACGTTTTTAATCAAATCATGCAAATTTCCTCATTTTTCCTCTTAGCCCAAATTGCCTTTCGAACGCTTCGGATTATTTTGATTTCAACTCTCGCTCGCCCAACAGGATTTGGATCTTTTAAGGTCGACCATTTCAATTGATTATGAATACCATTACAATTTGTTTTATTATTAATATTTACTAGTCTTGCTCAACGTATTTCGGCCGTTACCATCATCAGTGTATTGAATACATTTACGTTATTTATTATGTTTGAAAAGCTGAGATGTAAACTCCTGTCAGTTAATTATTTAGTACAGATTCTTTATAGGCAATCTAGATTTAATGTGAAGGGGAGTTTGAATCCCAGGGGAGTAAGTTTGAGAATACAGGTATAAGTTTTAACAATGGATGGAGTCTAATAGCCGGCTTGAAAGTCAGCGATAGCCGTTTATTGTTAATAATCTTATTGGGAAGTGACAAATTGTATCGAATACAGGAAGTCCGTGTTATTATCCCATTCAGGGCGGCGTTTGGTGCGAAAACGTTGACTCTTGAATGATTTCCTGAATGAGTCCCCTTCGAGAATGGACCGGGTCTATAGAAAGTCGGATTTGTAGCTCGGATACACATACACGGATTGAACCACGGCCCAGGTGGCGGTCGGTAAGCAGCCGGTCGTTCGTATTATGCCGGCAACACAACACCCCGTGTCATTTTCTACGTCATTGGGTTTACTTTGGTGCGTTATTATTTGCCCATCCTTTAAACGGCTGACACCTTTCTGACCAAAATTCCCTCCCTTATTACCATAGCCTCTTGGTGCAGCTAAAAATTTCGGACGTTTTTAGCGTCGTTAACGTTGATTGGGCCCCATTAAACGGCCGTAAATGATGTGGAGCGGTGGTGCTCGAACCGGGTTCCGGTGCTACAATAGAAGGGAATCGGTCGGATATAAATAAAGGAAGTCGAAACCTTTTACTAGGACAATGATAACTGAGCCCGGCCGTTTAACTTTTGAAAAGAGTCAATTTGTATTCACAGTTTAATATAATTGGGCAACGGAAGGGGTCGCACCCTCCACAAGGGTGCCATATAATAAGGGCCCATGATCCTCATACAGCGATTTAATTATACTCGTGATTTATGCGGTAGATAATTCTTAATAGCGTCACATCGCTACACCTATATCTTAAATACTTGCTAAATTATTCACTTAATTCACCGGCCGCGGGGCGCGATTTTATTGGCCAGATAAAACCACCTCTTGAATTTGTTATTAAACGATCCTCGTTTTAAAACCCCTTCCGTTCCCAACGCTAAACCCCACGTTTACATTCCCAACATAAAAATAACCTTTTATTTTCGATTCGCTTTTAATAGAATCCCGGTCGGTACATCATTCAATCATTATTTTATTAAACCATAAACCCTATACGGCACACTTTAAAAGGCTGTAAAATTAATATTCAAAACTCGCTCTCATAAAGTTACCTTTAAATGCTTGTATCATACATTTTTATCGCCTTTTTCTATATTTTATGCCCCTATTTATTTTATATCTATTTATATAATAATTATTAAGTGTTATTTTTAAGACAAACATCCCTTTCATATGAAGCATAAAAATTGGCAGCAACTCAATTTAAGAGTGGAAATTTAATTTGCGAACAGAATACTAGATGGCGGTTGGTAGCGAGTTGATACCGAGAGTAAATGGAGTACTCCTTACATACCTAATCTAATCAATGAGAAACACGCAATCTTTGCGATTCACTCTTGGTTTGAAATTCTTTGGTTTTCTTATTTTTATGGATTTTTTTAAAACTATTTGCGTTATTAAGCTGAGTGTTTATGAAAATGATAATTAATTAATTCAAAAGATTTGCAACATCACTTGACAAAACCACGGCCACTTGCGGCTGAGGCACTACGCCAGGAAGATCAGTTTCAGTTTCTATAATCTTGATTACTTAGCCAAAAGATCTACAAGTTCACTTGACAAAGTCAAGGCCAAAGAGGTTATTTTTTAACACTATTACAAAAACAGAACACGGTCGTCTTTGATGACAACGGTCGGCAGAGATTCTACTCCAAGTGTTTGGAAGTCGAGATGAAGCTCCACCGAGTAATTCGGGGTTATGCTTAGTTATTGTAATTGGCCGACGTCTTCGAAGACGGCCGAGAGTCTTGGGTACATTTGTCTTGTTTCCGGGTTTATTGGTCAATAGTGGTTGTTATATATTAAGTGTCTCCGAAACAACTTAGACCATCCTCGGTCTTCGAAGACGTCGGCCAACCCGGGGCATCTCCAATCCCAAGATTATGTTAATTCAAACTTCAAGAAAAACATGCAGAGATTCTGTTGTAAGTGCTTGGCAGTCGAGAAGAAGCTTCGTCGAGCAATTCAGGGTTATGCTCGATTATTTATATTAACCTTATCGTTGATAACATCCATCATCAAGGTTATGGAGAACATAATTTCATAAAGAAGCTTGACATCAAGTTCTCCAGGTGGTAGCATATCAATCAATTCGAATACAAGGCTTCTTTAACAGTTGCGTGGTCTAGATACCTTCGAATCTGATTATTAATAGACTCCTATTGTAGTATTAGACCCTCAACTTCAATTTCCTTTTTGCTGCACTTTTTAGCCAAAGTGTTCATCTTGGAAATTTGTTATCAACGTAGAGTTTTAGCCATTTCTTGAAGGAGTTGTTTATGGAAATCCAGAAATATTTCTTTGGTTCGGGGAGAAAATAAACTATATTTTGAGTGTATTACTGAATTAATTCTACTCTATTAGATTCTTCAATTTATTAAAAAAGCAATAATAAAATCTTTATAGTTAATAGTTAGTGTAGTATACGTCAAATAAAAAAAAATACAAGAGAGAGCCAATAAATTGAGTAGGGAAAAGAAGGAGCCGAGATGGCGAAAAAATGGTAACTCCCCTTCTTGTATGTACATGTAAAGCCACGTTTTTCCGCAGAAGATATGGGGGTTGATTTATTTAAGTTTGGAGAATGGGTGGAGGTTGCAGGCGCCGCGACGTTTCCTTGGCTACGACGCCATGTCTTCGACGCTCCCCTCCCGACGTTCGCCGCCGCCGGGAAGCCGTTTTTCTCAATAACTTCCTCGTCAGGACAACGATGGCGCCCGTTAACTGGTTTCGGCGTATCGAAATAATGAAGTAATGAATTTCAAGCTTACGTCTTGTTCGAGCACGATCGTAAACTCCGGTTTCTCCTCCGACGTTTATCGGAGATGTTTAATAAGGGCTCTAGAAATCGATCGAAGCATCCGAGACGAGACAAACACCACTTGAAATCACCACAATAAGATTCATTCGGTTAATATTATGTTATCTGGGGTAATAATAATGCAAAATAAAAAAATTATTTAAAATCACCAGAACAGATTTATTTCTTTAATATTACAAATACAATGGCTTTTGTTTAATATAGTACATAATTTAGCTTGCTCCTGCGACTATATAATAAATAGATTGCACAATCGGTTTAAGGTCCTTAAAACGAGGCGGTTCTTAACTATGACCTGCAAAATAAACTCGGCAAAAATGACCGCGCTTTTTAAGTTGACACTCTATTCTTAGACTTTTATGTACAAGACGTGTCCCTGATTTCTCGACCTTTTAACGGAACAAAAGAAGCAACAATTACAAGTTGAATTGTACGTTCATCGTTTCGTTTTCGATCAAATATAAGGTGATAACGTCGCATATTAATACATAATACTGAACTACGGTTCTCAAGTGTTCATTACCTCGAAATTTAAACGTTACGAGTGATAAATTAACACTAACTAGCAATGTATATACGTATACATATATTTCACGTGTAGATTATATTATATATATTAACACTTTTATACAAGGCGTCGACGTGGAAATTGTTCGACCGAACATTCACAAAACACTAGTTTCCGGTTTTCCTTATGTACAAACAACGTCTCTTTTAGAAAGTATTTACATCATCAGCAATCGGTCACTGTAAGTTCTGTCTCTTCGCCATGTGATCTTCTTCCGCGTCCGAGATGACGTCGCTATTATCGTCGGTTTGATTATCCAACACTTCCTGTTTCCTCTTCGCCGTCGCCATTTCCGCAGCGTGCTTTTTCCGCCATTTTGTACGTCTGTTTTGAAACCACACCTGAAACGAATAAAAAGAAACACCCTTTTAATTTTTAATACCACCTCGAAACAGAAAAACCGAGCATAAACTGAGACAAACAACTTTTCTTAACGATAGGGACGTTATGTTACGGCTTCTTGAAGTGCTAATTGGTAGAGGAACGAGAATGACAGAACCCGAAATAAAATTCTTTACATTTGGGTTTTATTTCAAAAACGGTTTTGTCAACAAAAGAAAATTTTATATATATATATTGTATATACAGAGTATAACAGTGTGTTAATTATCGTACTCGACGTCATCATTACAAGTATGCAGCCAATATCACAGTATTGGTATTGTAATACGCAAATCGCGCGTGATATTGGTACCACTGTGATATTGGTTGCATACTTGCAATTATGACGTCGGGCACGATAATTAATTAACACACTGTATATGTAAGTTGGATGTTAGTATATAGAAATAAGAAGGAGAAATATGGACTAAAATTGTTCTGTCTAAAGATTTAAAAGAAGCAAATAGCTACAGCACTAAAGCTAATAGTAGAGGGAGTTTTAGGCGCGTTCGGTGAGGCGGGGAGGAATTTCAGGGGCGGAGCTGAAAAGTTCCGCGCCAGCGGAGAGTGGAGTAAGTTATTAAGGCCCGGGGAGCCTTTTATTTAACATTTTTATTTAATTTGAGCGAGGTTTTATTATCATAAAACATTCCGCATTTTTGTAGATGAAACGGCGCTCTCGGCATGGGCGTAAATAAATAATAAGGCGACGCCTCTGACCGTTAAACCGCAAGCACGACTTAGTTCATTAACTTAAGGGGGCCGCCGGGACCGGGGGTGCAGGAAAAAATAATAATCTCGAAAGAGAGCGGCGCAGTTAAGATTTTTAAGGGACATTCGCCCTTAATGAGCGGCGCCGTAAAAAAAGTCGGGAAATTAAAAATTAATTTTATCTCGGTAACGCGAATTAATTAAATTAGAATATGAATGGGGGCCGGATCTTTGTCCGCGTCAATGCGCGGCCCCCGGACCTATGATATATCGTTAAGGGGTGCAAGCTGTGATCGCATAATCTCCCGACAAATTGAATTAGGGCTTCGGTCGATGAAACCGTAAGGGTTCTGCGTGTTTATAACAAATACGGATCGCCGGTTACGCGCCCCCCTTCTGTCAATCATCTAAGATATCGCCATACTTGCGTAATCATAACTCCCCTAATAGTTCTATAGAAATTCGGATTAAGAACACGAACATAAATAAATAAAGTTTAAATAGAAAATAGGATTCTTTCACTTTTTTGGTTGTGTGTAGAGAATGATTGTGGTTAGAGTCGGGCTAGTTTTGGCGTGGGCGCGCATTTTGCATTGTTTATGAAGTGGCCCATCTATCACGGGCATGGATCATTCGGGCGACGCAGAAAGTGCACGATAAATATTAAAACCAAAATGAAATGGCCGGCCAGCCATCAAACAATAATATTTAGTGAATTCAATTAACTGATATATCGTATATAAATTTCCCCTTATAACTGTGACATTCGGCGGCATGGGCATGGGCAGGGGTCGGGGATGGGGATGAGGCCGGGGATGTTGCCGGGGGGTAGGCGGCGGTGGTAGCGGTGGCGGCAGCGCGAGGGGGGATAGCGGGGATAGGCGAGAGCGGTAAGCGGGGCGGTGGCGGCGGGGGGCATCCGGCCCCCAAAACTCACCCCAAAAGCCGGCGCCGTACACACCGGTCGCCATTGTTGTCTGTCCGTTCTCCAATCCATCACGGCATATGACATATATATGGAATTTTATTTTGCGGTATCGATGCATTGGCCGCCGCCGAATGGGATACGGGAAAACGGGATATGGGATACGGGATAGGAGTGTGAACAAGCGAAAGGGGATCCGCTCTTCGCAAAATGACGGCATGATTTATCGCTGACGTCGCTAATCTACGTGACGTATATATGTTTTTATTGTTTGCCCGGGCCAAATGTCCTGTTTTATAATTTCCAGATAAAATCGCTATGAGTTACACCCCCGGTACCGGGTAATCATCCCTTTCCCCCCTAAGCGCCCCCTAATCCCCAATTTCCCCTTCCGCCGCGCGCCGACCGCTATGGAAATGCCGGGTCATTAGTGTGTCGTTAAACGCTAACGTAAGGCGACCAAATCGATTAACGCTAAGTGACTGCGTAATTAGCTGTGTATGTTCCCTCCGTTCTGCTTCTCCTACTTCGCCTCCCTCCACCCTCAATTCCTTACGAATTAAACTCCAACACCCCCATTTATTTCCTATTATGCCTTGTCACCTACTCGTCCACCCAACCTCCCGTTCTCCAACTCCCACCATCTAAAAACTAACTACGTAACCCAACTAACCCAACAATCAATACTTCACCTTACTAATAATACCATCCTTCATCTTAAATATAATAACAAACTGTTTACGTGGAAGATTTAACCGCAATCGTGGTCTGGGGATAACCTCGTATCATTTCCGTTGAACAAATCGATTAAAACTCCAGGAGGATGGATGCCGGAGAAGATGGAACGTTGGCCCTTTCGTCGGAAATATTAAGGGTATTATTTTTTGTGAACATCCCGACTTGTATTCAAATCTGGCTGGCTAAAGATTCAATAAAAATGCAAATTTAGAGAGTAACAAAAGGGGGGCATTTACGCTTGTCAAAATGCGGGGACCGGAATCCTTCACCGTTTTCATTAATTCGGGACACACTGCCCATTCTGTCGACCGCCGCATTACTCACAGGGGATTTCGGCCTATTTTTAACCCCACGATGTACTTATACCTAATCCGATTCATTTTGGAACACACATCCCGCGACCGGCACGCTAATCAGCCCATTTTGTAAAGCCCACCTTAACATACCGCACCACCCTAACGTTTTTTAATCGAAAAATTATCATCTTAATCAATTTATCCATATTGAAATTCAAAAAATATATATAAAACAAAATTATAATAGCTTTTATATGTTGTTAATCTATATAAGAGAACTGGAAGGAAATTGTATCCACATTAAGTACACATTTGTACCTTTTTGCATTCTTGAGATTAAGCCTAAGGAATCAAAAATTAATATTTAAATCAGACTTATGAACCCTGAATTGAAAAACCACAAGAAATGATTTTGCCAGCATGTTTGGGAAAATATACTTAATGTAATTAAAGATTTGACAAGTCTTAAAATGTGCAGAATGACCTACAGGGCACGATGAGTGCAAGCAATTCAAATTTGGTAATAACAAACTATTTTGTATCATTCCCCTATCTACTCACAAAATAAAACTTAGTCATTTAATCACTTAGTCGGTGGGTTTGAAAGTCTCGGCTGTAAGCCTTAGAAGTTTAATCTGCAATGATGATTGAAAGAACAACCTGCAACGATTAAGTCAAAAATCGATTTCGACTACTACTTATACATCAAAAATAGAATTTTGTAACTTTGGTATAAAATACTTATTGTGTTCCAAGATCATTGAGTTTAATCTGTGATGATCGAGGAGGTTAAAATGAGGTCGGTTGCGGCCGAGGCGCTACAATTCAGTTTCACCTATCTCATCAATCGAGAATAAAAGTTCTTAATCCGGGTATACAATAGTTACTTGTGCTCCTAAATCACGATGATTAATTTTCAATGCCACGTGGGTTGAAGCCGAGGCTGCTTATGACAGAGGGGTTTCTTCCAATCAGAATTGACTCAAAGTTTTTATTCAACAATGAAGAAGTGTACTTGGAGGACAAAAAGTTATGGACGGAATGTTGCTCCACATTTATTATTCTATTATCAGCCGTATTTTAAAAAACAAGTTAGATACAGCGAATACATTCAAAATTTTAACTGGAATTTTACTACGGATTATGAAACTATAAAAAAATCTAGTTTATTATTTTAATGATATATCACATTATTTGCAATATGTTCCGAATTCCGAGAGTTACTATTAATAACATGGAAATAAACGAATTCTTCTAATTTTCATATTTTCGCATTTTTCTTGATATTTATGCATCTGAGAGCAAAAGTGAAAGAGAGCAATGTTGTTAACAATAAAAATTGCTACAACTTTCAATATAAAAGTTTTTTGTAATATCTTCAGAATTTCGAGCGTTACTATTAAACAATATGGAAAACTACACATTCATCTAATTTTCATGTTTTCGTGCAAAAGAGCGTGAAACCAAAGCTATCCTGCTTGAAGCTTACGGAACAAATAATCTCGGCCGACTTCGAAGACGTCGGCCAAAATTATTTCTTATATCACGAACATAACTTGAAGACTTCGAAGACGTCGGCCGCCCTAAGTAGTGTTCATAATACTTGTATTCGCTGTATCTAACACATTTGATTCTCACTTGCTTTTTTTTGAATATGCCAGATAATAGAATATTAAGTGTGGAGCAACTTTTCTTCTATAACTATTTGTCATATCTCCAGCAGTAGTCGAGATATTTCTTGTGATAACTAAAATCAAACACACTGTATATGTATATATACAGGGTGTTTCGGTGACTCGGGGAACAAATGTAACCTAGTACACTAGACTGAAAATGATGACGATTCATGTAAAAAAAATTAGTAAAAGTCCTCAAATTGCAAAGATACGGGCCATCAAAGTTATGAAATTTTAACACATTTTTCTAAGTATCTTAAACACTATTTATGGTAAAGCGTTGAAATTTGGTACAGTATAAACTAATATCACGTAAAATCATTAGGCAATTTTTGAGTTGCATCGGTACGCGGGAACAGTGCTATACAGGATGTTCCTAAAGTTTGTTTGTTCAGAACTTTTTTATTCTATCATAACCCTACATTTATTTTTGCAGTTTCTAATAGTAAATTTAGTTTAGAATCTTTTATCACTCTTAGAGAATATTGATAAAAACCACCGTTTTCGTATTAAATGCAAAAATGTTAGGCTCCGAATTCAATAACACTATAAAAAAAGAAATAAATAAATAATCTGAATTGGCAATGACAAGTGAAAATCGAACTGAGCTGTCATAACTATTATGTATGCAACATGTCCAAGTGTAGATTTAGCTAAATCACATTTTTAATTTGTTTTAGTTGGTTTAATAAAAGAATTCGAAAACAATAAATTAAAAATCAACAAAAAATAAACAAAAAAACGACAACACTAACAGGAATAATAAAAACATACATAAAATAACAAGACAAGTAATAAAAAATACTAAAGGAAATGTTCAAAAACTTAGATTTCTTTTTTTTTTAGTGCTATTAATGAAATCGGAACCCAACATTTTTGCATTTAACACGAAAACGGTGACTTTTATCAATATTATCTAAGAGTAATAAAAGTTTCTAAATTAAATTTGCTATTAGAAACTGCAAACATAAATATACGGTTATGATAGAATAAAAAAGTTCTGAACAAACAAACTTTAGGAACATCCTGTATAGCATTGTTCCCGATGACCGATCCAATTCATAAATTGCCTAACGATTTTACATGACATTGATTTACACTGTACCAAATTTCAACGCTTTACTGTAAATAGTGTTTAAGATATTTGGAAAAATGTGTTAAAATTTCCTAACTTTTATGTCGTCATCATTTTCACTCTAGTATATATGGTTAAATTTGTTCCCCGAGTCACCGAAACACCTTGTATATTAGTAATATAATTTTGAATTATAAAACAAGTAAAGATTTGAAGAACTGCTAAGTATCGAAATCGTGTTACAGGTTTTCAGAGATTTCCTCCAAACAGACCCATTATATATTAAATTTGCGAATTACACGGTATTTAGAGCTATGCTGCGGCGATAAATCATACGAAATAGGGTCTGGGGCCGAGAAGTTAATGCAGAGAGGAGCCCGGGACCGTTATTCCGCCACCAGGCTTCCCTCATCAATCAAGCCATTCTTCGGGAGGACGTACGAATCCTAATCACCAGATTATTTGAATTTTCACACAGATGCGGTTCCACCGCAACTCTTTTTTAATGTTACCTTTTTGAATGTAACCGTTTGTTAACAGCTTCGTTTACACTGAATTAAAATAAAAGTTTTGAAGCTTACCTTAACTTGTGATTCAGTCATTCCAAGTGCATAAGCTAACTTAGCTCTTTCTGGTCCAGCCAAGTATTTAGTCTGTTCGAATGTCTTCTCTAATGCGAATATCTGTTGTCCGGAGAACGTCGGCCTCGTATGCTTTTTCTTGGCGTCCTTATCGGGTCCAATGCCGCCCAGCGAGTTTTGGTTCACTGTAAATGCAAAAAAAGGGGTAGCTTAATATCGTTTTGTTTGCACGTACAACTTTATAAGGGCTACGCTAATAGGGGATGGTTACTTCGCTCTTAATAGGCTAACCCTACCATCGAAAACGGGGTACCACCCTATCTAATACAAATCCTACGGTGCGGTACATGATCCCACCCCTTTGGCCACCGTTCTTGGGGGGTGTTGGGGTAGTCGAGTGTGACCTAAAATGGAGCACCCTTGTCCTGCGAAAGCTTGGAAACGGACGCATTTTAAGATTTCGACCGTCACTCCTCGAAAAATATCGTTCTGCTAATGTTGCCGGGGAAATATGCGTGTAGGGTGTAACCGCAAAGGAGGGGTTTACAAAAAATAAGGCAATTAAGGACATATGGTGCGGCAGGAGGAATAATCGAGCGGCACGTGGTGATTTCTAAAGCGAATACCAAAGGAGCGAGGGGACAGAATGGGATTTCTGTATTGCTATCCAAAAGTCCTTTCGATTGAAATTCGTAAAACTTATTAGATTATATTTGCTTACCGGTTACAAGAAGATATTGTCATAATAGACAAACCACAACTACAAGTTTCAACTTAGATTATACAAGTTTCCAGTTTAAGATTTAGTCAAGAGTAGAATTGGATGAAGCTAGGATAAAGTAATCAAAGCAACCTATCGAAGAAATCTTTACAATGGAAACTCATCCGGTTGTACGACTGCAAATTGTAGGATTTAATAGAATAGACAAGGAGAGAAAGAATGTCTTAGATATAATCTTAGAGTCGGTGAACGCTGAAGAAGGGGTGGTTAATGGAAGTTTCGAGAAGATTTCTAAAACGAAAGCCAAAGTAGCGATTCGGGTGTCGTCGAAGACGGAATTGCGAGGCGAAATGCGCACGAAAGAAAGGCGGATCGATAAAATTCAGCAAGCGACGTACATAATGCCAGCATAATCCGAAAAACGAACGTAAACATAAACGGCATTCGAGTAGGGGAAATGCTAAAAGCCGTTTCAAAACGGGGGCCGTCAAGTTGTAAAATTTGATAACATTAAGTACTGTCATTAATATCATTGCAAAACCGGCGAAGGAAAAACAACTCGCACAATTCGTGTGCGGAAATCGCGTTTTTATCGTTAGGATTACCATGAATCCTCGAGGACAGCAAAGTGAAAAAACGTTGTGATGCGTTCTGCAAATCGTTGTCATCGAAATAATTAGCACGAGCTGCGATAATAAAACCATCCTATTCTCGAAGGGTGACTACTACAGACGAGATATTAACTGACACAGGGTGGCAAGAGCCGGTCATAAAAGAACTGGGCTGGATCAACAAATTTACTGCTGTAGACCTCAATTAGCTAACTTGCTTGTTATTGTACTACACCAGCCAGGAAGCCATCATTTCGGCAATGCCTTGCACGGGACGTCTCTTGTTCCCGCTGTTTATTGCCGGATGGACGTTTCGCTCTTCATTAGTTTTACCGTTTCATGGTTTTATCGCCTCCGGGGTACTTCGTCCCTATTGCTTCATTATTAGCCCCGTCAGTTTCTAAAAAGGAACTCGCATGTGACCGAATTCTACTATCTATTCCCGCTAAACTAACATTGAGGGCCGCCTCAAGCAATTGAATTTTCCCCTCCTAATCGCGTTAAATAAATAACCGACGCAAACAATCCCAACCGCAATTCTTAGTCTTCCCATACAATCATGAAGACATATAATACATACCTTGTATATTGTGTATTTAGATGTTATAACAAATAATTTTAAATTTATCCTGATTTCATATTTATCACATATTATATAAATATTTAATTATGATTTTCAAACGAAAAACATGAAAATGACGGATTTGGATTACTAACGTAATATAACAAATAGCGCGATTTGTTAGAATCGGGTATGAATAACAGCCAAACAAAACTAATACTTTCAGTATAGGATTTGAAGGTTCTTTTATCGCGAAATCTCCATTGCAAATAGCGCGCGGCTAATGTTTATTTATTATTATCGCATCAAACGATTTGGCAGCCGGATATTTATTCATTTATTTTCAATTTATTACGATTTATATATTATAATTTGGGACCGTTTTTCCCTTCAACCTTAATACCTTAATACGGCTACGATATTTATTAAAATTGTTAAACCGAAACGCGCTATGCGGACGGGTTGTTTGGTTAACCAATACATTATATGCGTTTTATGGTTTCATTCGAATTCGCGCAAAATGGCGGCTGCGAAATTTAAGAATAAAGAAAAGGTGGAGGCGGAAGTGATCGATACAATTCTCGTCGACTCCAAATTCATTCTGCACCCGTAAATTTCGTGGTCAAACCCAGCGTGGCTCCTCCCCCAAATAACGGCGCAAATCCCCTATTCATCAGCCCTATCAATTTGCGCTGATTTTGTTGCCGACGAACAGAATTTGAATGATTTTTTTTTATTTTTACCATTAACTGTTTCCATTTGAATAATAGAAGAAATTGTGTTGGGAGTAATCTTGGGAGGTAGATAAAAAGTGGTGGCATAGATGAAGGATGGCGGTGAATTTCTTGTACGGTAGCGCGTTTTAATAGGAAAAAAGTGTGAAAAATTCAAATGAAGGAAGGGAGCTGCGAGGCGATTGTTATCGGGGCAATCCATCTTCCCTATCTCGCAAAGTGTTGTGTGTGTCGTGTAATACAAGCATCTACAATGTAGCAGTATTTCTGCGGTCTGAGGGCGGTATCCTAGCAACGGCGAAGGGTGAAAGCCGGGCGCAGGAACGTTACGACGATCCAGCAAGCTGTTTTAAGCAAGACACCCTGTTAGAATAATTATATCTCTAGATAACAGGATCAAGAGATTATCTACGGAGCGCCGTATCGCTCTCTCTGTCGGACGCGCTTGCCGGGATTGTTATCTCCGAATTTCGGCACCGGCGCCGGCGGGGCGCTGCCGGCGTTCGTCATTTCCTTGTTCCTATGAATAATTTCTAGATTACCGCCGGGCTCCTCTAACAATCCAATTAGGCGTAACAGACTATGGACTCTAGGTGGTACTCATCGATCGCCATGATTTCGAGTTCGTGCCGCCGTGCCGCCCCAGAAGATGTCGCCGCCTTCGAGGAAACCTCGCTTACAGCTTTCCCGGCCGTAGATACATTATTGAATTTGTTCGAGGCTTATATGTCCCCGGAGGACTATCTCGCGCTACATCCTGCATTGTCAGCATATATAGATTATTATATAGACATCTGGCTCCGATATCCCGGGAATCTTTCAAATATAAAAGCATCCGCCGCCATTCGACCGTAATATAACCTGCTTTGCATGGGTTTGTTACACGCTAACAACGCGTTTTATCCACCATATTTCATGGTTTCTCATAAATAATACAGTTTCCGAACGATCACATCAGCATACAAACATTGTTTCCTATATATTCAACTTTTTACACACTCACCATAAAAACCACTCTCTTTCAGAATTATGTTTTTTACCTGATTTTAACTGTTCTTTTCTAAATTTCAGCGACATCTATAGCTTAATTTGTTGGTAATTTTCTTTAACGGTTCTGTTTCTCCGTTTCTACTTTGTGATGTCTAACATTTTCTTCTGTAACTGTATTTAATATATATATCTTGTCAATCATAGGATCATAAATGTCTTTTATCTGGTATTGTAGATGTTTTGTGAAAACGATTACAACTTATTTTAATCGAAATTTTAGGTGATATGGATACAAGATTTATAGTATATATAATAGTATAAATATATATAAACAAAAATGCTTCACAAGCCATATCTTAAATCAATTCGAAAATTCTTTTTTCTTAAAATTTATCGTAGAATATAAATATGACCGAAAGAAAAATTTATTTATATATGTATTAATTTTATTAATCTTAAGATCGACGATATCTAATTGAGCCCTAACAAATTACGACCGTTATTAGAGTAATAAATAACAATAACACCCGCATATTATCACACACACACAGTGTCATATGTTCAGATTACGCGAATGATGTCCCGTTTATCGCCTTTTTGAAATTTTCATATAATTATTTACCCTGCCATGTCATTATTCCTTATCTACGACGGCATATGCGCTTAAGCATGTAATGAATATTGTTAGTATCGGTTTGGTGTCGACCTTATTAATTGATAACTGGTATTAATATTCGTTTCCATTGGAGCGTGCCGTTAATTAAAATTGGTTTGCCTTCCAAATGTCAAACAATATTTACTTTATGTTGTTCATATATTCAGATTTAAGTGGAAATCAAAATGTTATATAAATTACTCAAAAATATAATTCGTTTAAAGTGTAAAAAAGTAAGGTGTGGAAATGAGGGCTTTTTAGCAAGATTTAGGGAATGTCGTGAGGGGATTGAGATTGACAAAAGGGGATGAGAATTTTTTTTTTATTATTATTGTAGTATGACAACGTAATTTAGAATTGTTATAATGAATGGATGATGATGATCGTGTAGGTAACATGTGTGATTTCTTTATTAGAAACGTTGAGACCTGAGTTGATTACTACATATCAATACAAATTTTGTTATCGCGAGGGAACACATATGTTTGCAGCATTATTACATCATATATCATGATATACAAGTATAGGTGATTGCGGCTAACTAGAATATAGTTCGGCGAGAGGCGGCGCGGTCGGCGCGCAACGGGATACGCAACGGCCGATGACGTATATGTTATTTGTACGGCGCCATCTGGTTGTAGCGTTATTAACTTGACAAATCAAACAAACCCCGACATTAATTACCCTGATCTGGACGTAGACGGGCTTTTCTCCGGCGCTCGATACGCTTTCAAACAAATAACTATAATTTATACTTTCGCCAGTCGGTAGGTTTTTTGTTCGCTTTTTTCGTTCGTTCGATAATTCACACTTCCTGCCTCCGACATCCCTGAACACCACCCCACGGGCTACCGCCTATCGTTCCCCCCGCGGCCTAAAGCGCAGAGCCGGACTCGAAGTGTTTGATTGCTCACCATATCGCGCCCTCGGGAGCAGTGATATCATCGAACTATGAGCACTCCTGAACTCCAAACGAGTCAAAAGGACGCAAATATGCAATATTGTTTTCACGCCCCCGCCCCCCGGTGGTGAAATAAATCTATCCGCTCTCGAAATTTTTCGTTGGTTACGCCCCGTTTCGGCGAGGGTTTAGGGTCGAAATAAGCGAATCATTAATACTATCATCGGGAATCCGTTCGGCTGTCACCGCCTGGGGGCGGCAGTGTGAGACGTGGTGATGTTTTTATCGGGCTTTTTATCAAGATTTCTATATCCAAACAAATGACCGGGGGCGCCGAGGTCGGCCCGTTTGTGCATTTCTGCGGAAATAGAATGATTATCAAAGCGACGGGATAACAGCGCTCCGGGGACGACAAATAAAAGAAAATAAAGGGCCCGTTTGAAAAGTTTAAAGCTAGAGTGGCTTCGGTGTATTGATTGGGACCGAAAGTAAATAATAAATCAGCGTGCCGGGAAGGTAATAATAAATAAATTTACTCGAAACTCCCAACTTCGAAAGAGTTTGAACGCCGGCCGTGTGCGCGCGAAGTCTGTCGCAAATTTCAAGCTGGTTACTTAGCTTGAATTTAGTGTACTCTACCCGCAAAACTGCATCTACTATATTACTTCTATTTCGTCAGTCCTTTTCAAACTTATCGTTTAAATTTCGCAATATTCCTTTGATTAATTAACTTTATTAAACTTGTTATGGTGTGATTTGATTAGATTACACGTAATTATAAGAAATAATTCATCATATTAATCATTATGTGACATAACCTATAACTCAAGAGAATTAATAATATCATATCTAATATACATGCTATATAATTAGAATTTATAGAGTATAACGGAATTAAAAAAATAAATGAAATAATACGAATCTGAATGGCAAAATCTTAGATTATCATCCAGATCCGCCGGTAACACGATATTAGAAAAGGTACTTACTGGAATTAAGTCTATCTCTCCACGCGATGGGGTTGGAAACGACACCTTGAAAGCCGGGCCAATACAATCCTCCGGTCGTTCTGCCAAGTTCCATGGGAGGTTTGTTAACGGAATTGGCGACGTGGTGATGAAAGAAAGCGGCCGCGGCGATGTTGAAACCGCGTAGACCTGAGTTGGAGGTACTCTGCGAAGCGTTCGCGGCCATTCCCAACGCGTTTTGGGAGAAACCGAGCCCGTGGGGAAAGTGCAGCGGACCTGTGGTGATCTGCGAGGGCCTCGAAAGGATGTGGTCAATGCCGTGGGGATTGGCTCCTTGGGAGCTGTTGCTGTTGGATGTCGCCCCGAGGGGACTCCTCGAGGATAAACCCGAACGCGTGTGCTCGAGGAGAAGGTCGGTTTCGGATTTCTCGACCTGGTCGGAGGATTGGTTATGATTGGAGGGTTGATGAGGTTGGTGAGGCTGGTGCGGCTGGTGATTCTGATGAGGCTGTTGTTTCATCTCCGTCATAGAGTGGAGAGCGGCCAGCGGCGCCGCGAGCATATTGCGATGCTCGAGATTGAGAAAGGAAAGGTTCTGTTGAGATGCGAACTCCAACATCTTGGAGACGGGTGGCGGCGGTGGCGTAACGGAGACCTCGGAGTGGTCGCTGGATGCGTCGCTGTGCTGGGTCATTGCTGGAGACGCCGTTTTCGGGCCGTTGCCTCAGACGCGACCGGATCGCGTCTTCTTCTTCCGAACTCGCCGCGATGTCACACTAGCAGCACGTGGTCACACATCACAACAAACACTTTCGACGGAGTTCTTGATTTGAATGGAGCGTTTCCTCCCGCGTCGGGACGACGTTGGGTTTTGGGGTTCGAGCGTCGGTCGTCGGGCGTCGAGTTGCTGCCCGGTGGGCGTTCTCCGGTAGTCGAGCAAAGAGAGGGGGAAGAGGTAGAGGTAGAGCTCTATGAAGTGAAGTGCATGTTAAAATATGTGCTGGCGCTCTAGATCATTACGGTAGCCTTTATGGAAGGGTAGCATTGAGTGGTGCTACCCCTTCGCGCGCGCTCTATTTTTAAAATAGATTAATGCTTTTTTCATTGGTCCGAAGAAGGAGAGGGTTCCGTGTGTGGGGCCGTGATTGGCGGCATGGCTATAGACCGGAACCGCCGCCATTGGCCGTGAGACCGCCCTTCCCCCTCCGGACTCCGGGCTCCGGTCTCCTATTATCGGAGTATACATGGGACTCAATCTGTAAGGAGCTATTTTACTAGCATAAACATGTTAGCGGTGAAAACAAGGTTTTCCGACCCCTCTCTTCGAGGACCGGCGCTTCTCTGCTATTTTCTCCTACCGTACCTACCCCTTCCGTTGTTCCGACGTTTCGTTCTCCTTACCCCGTCCATCGTGTCTATTCTCTCTATCCTCTCCTACCCTCTACTCTAACCGAAAAATCATGCACACCCACTTTACTCTTTATTCCTTTGCTATTTCCCTATTATTCTTATGTTATACCTCGTCTCTTCTTCTCGCATCTAAATGGCTATTTTCAATTATCCTCTTTCGTTTATTATCTGTTCGTTCCTCTTAAAATAGAATCTATAATAAAAATAGAGAGGCGAAATGTTTTTGCCATTTATTATTATAGGTGAAAAGGGGCCCACTCTTTGTTTTGACCCTCTAAAGATGGTGGAAAAAACAATTGACCATAAAATCACCAATCGATCTGACCGGTGGTCTCCGATAGTATAAATCTCCTGAGCTTAGCCTTTGCCCTTTCAGGTCTCGAAAACGTTTCACAGCCGATTTATTTATATCTAACTGAACTAGACGTAACCGAGTGCTATTATGTTCAACTGAATATTTATTATTATGTTTCCTTTTTCAATCAAAACAATTTTTAATCAAAATAATCAAACATTTTTATTTTCTTACATTTGTGAAAATTCAGTTATTATCTAAAGACACTCATTCAAAGTTCTAAATCTTCATTATGACCCGTTTCGGACAGAATTTGTAGCCCACTAGGAGCTCTCGCTTCCGAACCAGAAGTAGTTTTGAATTTTGCGGTCGCCAAGCTAAGTGGCTATTCGTTTGCGTTAGCGATTACTGCGTCGGGCTTTTAACACGTCCGCTCTTATTATTGGGAGCAGATTAAGTTCGCCGCCCGTTTCCGGATTGATTTTCCAAACGGGCCGATAAACAATCCGTCTCCTGCTCGGAAAGGCGAATGGCACAACGGATTTCAGAGATTGACGTCACTTTTGACGTACTGGCATTGTTCCAAATCTGTCGAACTATGTCGCACTTTGCTGTTTTCAGAGTTTTCCTTCCATTCACTGTCTATCTAACTAAACACTTTCACCCACTATCGAATAACTTCTTTTTGGGGTATATTTAACGGGTTCTTAATACACTTTCTTAATGCAATTTCATTTATATTAGACGATATAAAATTTTAAATAAGTAATTTATGAATTGAAGGCGTTTCGAGGTTCGATTTGGAGAGTATAGAGAAGGGGAGAAATTTTTAATTTGGATTTGGCGAGAGGCGATAATTTTTTGCCGTTAGCCGGGGAAGTTCTTGCGAACCAGCGTGTATAAGCGACCATAAATTTTTCACTTCATTTCGATAAGGACGGGCGAATACCGGCAACTAGGGATTGAACGACTGCCCGCGTAGCGATAAATTAAAAAGTTCGCAATGTGTTTCATTTATGTAATTCGATTTCCGACCGAGAGAGCGGCTTGGTTTGCATTCGCGCCCGTCATATTACATATTTTATAAGTTCGGCGATTGAATGACGTTTCGACTGGCGGTAGTAAAAACCTCGGCCCCGTTCGTGCTAATGCAATAACTTCTTTTCCTCGCGAAATTACAAAATCCAGCGCCGAACGGGCGTAATAAATCGGAAAGTTTTTCACCTTCTAGTGACAATCTACCCAACAGAAGTTTTGCGCGCTTGTTGCGAGATTAATTTTTGCGTTCGGCCGGGGGCAATTCATTTGTAAAATAGCCAGTGGGGTGATCTAATAGGAGTCAAGTTGGAGGACAAATATCATTGTATAGTGAGGGTCCGTAAGTTAATTAAATGTTCCATTGTGCTGTAGATACCGAGGGCCGTTAGTCGTAGATGTTGTAGGCCAAATCGAATTACTTACCCTCGTTTTAACATGTAATATCCAGAAGGCTTTTAGCGCCCCCGCGAACGGCAATACGCCGGGTTTCCCGTTCGAATAAATACGAACATTCACAACACCCCCCGCTCCCGGGACCTTTTAAAATCCTATTTACCTTAGTGGCCAGTTCGAATTCGTTCCGTCCCTTTGGAATCGTTCGGCTACGACTTCGCTTTAATTATGTGAATAATTTTACGCATTTGCATAAATGTGATTTTATCGTTACACGATGCACACGGCCCTCGTACGATTTTAATTAAAACGCTAATTTTAATTACCGCGTACGGTTAAGCGAAATTAAATAAGAAAACTCACCAAATCCAATTTTACCATATTAGGGTTTATTTTCGGCTTTGTTTCCCTTTTACCAACGTTACAAAATTTAAACCAATATTAGAATAAATATGTTATTATAACATCAATTTGGAGCACGTCTAAAGATCTTTGGTATGCTAGGGTGATACGTGAACTACTGCAACGTAACGTATGGTGATATTGAAATCTAATTGCCGCTATAGGGTAAAGGATTTTTTAAATCTCCGCAATGCACGGGACCGACTCTTTTTGTGTTATCTAGCTCTGGTTTCCAATCGACAATTACTTTGTCTTTCAAATCGAATTTGTTGAAAACGTCGAAAAAAAAGGCTCCAAAAAAAACAGATTTCTTCCGACGATGGTCGTCCCTCGCTTGGCCCCACCGACGGCAAAGCTCTTTCCGGGGTCGTAGGGGGGACACGGTGGGACGCGGCATTACGCGCGCCCTCTAAACTCAAGATAGAGCTACTCTGCATATCATTAATCTTAATTAAAGTCGAATTTAGATATCTCGCATGAACGTCGGTCTCTATTCGAGCCGCATTGTATCAAAAGATACATTACCGCCTGGCTCCGGGTCCCCAGAGCGAACCGGCCTAATTGTTAACGCGCCGCGCGCCATTAACAACACCTTATTTGAACGTTTAGTACCTCGTGTCTGCCGCGGCACTGCGAGCTGATATTGTCAGCGATTCTGATATTGGAATCGTATTATCGCGAGGACGCGTTTCGTCGCGACGCTATGACGTACACACACATCCCCAAACGACTATTTGAATTACCGTTTAACATCTCTACACTTCATTTCCCACATACACTACAATATTACTTGTTGAAACTTGGAACTATCGCATTATAATGCATTCTTTTTTCTTTACTATCTACATGCTCATTAACTACTTATTATTTAACGTAACCAACTTCACACAGGAAAAAATATAGAGAAAAAATCAACTCTAAACCATGGTTCAGATCGATCCAATATATTTAGAGTTATTTTTTTGCACTATGTAGTGTAGGTGAATAGATTAAAATTTTACACTAAATAGTGAAAGCTGGTGTTTATTAAATAGTGTAAAATCGTTACTCTATAACAGTGTATTATATGTAATCTAACTAGATGTTGTCGTGACTCTAATTAGATACATTTCTAATCTAATCAGTGTAAAATTAGCACTGTAAATTATTAAAGATTCGTTCTAATTTTACTCTATTAAGTGACAAAATATCACTAAATAGTGTGTATCTTTCTTTTATATAACCATACTCAATCTTAATTTTAAATTTTCCACCGAGTCACCATGAAAATGCATCTAATGAGTCTTCTATAAGTTTTCTGTATGTATAGTTGTACATACTTACCAATCTTCGCAAGGAACTCGTACGTAAAATCTTCCACTAATTTCACAACACGAAGGGTTGGCAAACATAAATAAAATAAAAATAATCGTTCTTTCTTTTTATATCGCGTAAATCAGGTCTCGAGACGCTGTCGAGTTCCGACTCGTTTAGTAAATGACCGTTAAATTTTAGCTGTATCACACCACATGTTAATCACGTGGTACCGACGAGTAATCCCGAGCAAAATAGTGCGATGCCTACGAAGTACCTGAAGGAAAAATACAGTTTACACGTCTTGTGTAAAATTTAATGTTTTATATATTACATAACTTCACTAACATAAGTAAAAAAGAACTCTCCTTTAGAGAACTGTAAAAACTACTCTATTAAGTGAATAATATATGAACTCTATATTAATATTAAATATAGTGTACATTAGAGTTATTTTTACCATGTGATATTACAATTTTTACTCTAATTCTTTTTACCAACTACTCTAAAATTTTTACACGACACGATTTTTTCCTGTGCATTTACAATACATATTTTTATGAAAGTCAACAACTCATTTGAGTTACCTACATTTTTAAGTCTTAACTTTTACTAGGTATATGCATTGTGAACTTGGCATAAAAAAGAAAATGACTGAGAAGAACCAGAAAGAAGTAATTCGAAGAAATTCAGAAAAAGAAAGCCAGAAACGAACTAATAATTAGAATGATACCAAGTCAGAAGAAAATTCTGGTAATATAGAAGAAGACATAAATATTTTTGGAACAGTACTTCTAAAAAACTAAGTATTTTGATTTTTTTAATGAATCAACTAACTAAACACCACCTACAAAGTGTCTTGAACCTTACTCGGAACGAACTCTGGGTAAATATCAAACTGGATTTAACTTAACTATATTCTAATTAACCGTTTGAATCCCAGAGAGTATTGAAAAGTTGTG